TTTGACAGCGCATACGCACCTGCGGACCACTTATGTGCACACCTGTGTTGAGAGTCAAGCCTTTACTGTAAACATCTGATCCAGGAGCTCCAGCAGCAACCATAGAGCAATTTAATTTGGGTTTGTTTTAATAAGGATGGAAAAGAAAGGGAAAGGTGAAAAAACCGAAGAGAGGTTGGAGAGAGAGAGAGAGAGAGAGAGAGAGAGAGAGAGAGAGAGAGAGAGAGAGAGAGAGAGAGAGAGAGAGAGAGAGAGAGAGAGAGAGAGAGAGAGAGAGAGAGAGAGAGAGAGAGAGAGAGAGAGAGAGAGAGAGAGAGAGAGAGAGAGAGAGAGAGAGAGAGAGAGAGAGAGAGAGAGAGAGAGAGAGAGAGAGAGAGAGAGAGAGAGAGAGAGAGAGAGAGAGAGAGAGAGAGAGAGAGAGAGAGAGAGAGAGAGAGAATCAGAAAAGATGAAAAGAGAGAATAAAAGAAAATACTTTGGAAATCCGGGTTTGGCACACACACACACACACACACACACACACACACACACACACACACACACACACACACACAATGTGTGACTGACCTGCTCTCATCTTCTCGGTTTCTCTTTGGATAATACTTCTTAGACAGGTTCCTGCAGGAAGACAAGACAGGTGACATTTTTAGGGATGTCCCGATGCAACTTTTCCACTTTCGATACGATACTGATATTGCAGCCTTCGGTACTGACGGACACCGACATCAATCTGATACGATATCAGACCAAATCATACACACGTTTACCTACTTCGTAGGGTGAAACGTATGAAAGGCATTGACTCCCATAAACATCCCACCTTCACAGCAGAAATAGACATGTTTACAGCCTGGTTCAGAAAAACATTGAAAGAGCAAGTCACCCCCTACAAGAAACTTACTCCACTCCCACTTTATGTTTAAAAAACGCAACAAATGCTGCTGCCTGGCAGACCGAGAGGACGGAGCCACTAAAAAATACACACACACAGGCTCACAACGACATTGTGACATCATAATGTACCATCTAGCGTCATAGTGTACTTCTTAGCCAATAGCGACGGCAGATTTCAATTCAAATGCAGTGCAGTTTTTACCTGACGACGACACAACACTGACAGTTTTAGCGCCAAATGATTGAGTACGCGTGTCTGCAGCACGATTAGACAATCATTTGTGTAGTTTATCAGCAAAAAAAAAACTTGGTTTGGCGGTGACTTGCGTTTAAAATGTCAAGTTTATCGTCATGACAACTCTGAGGGGGGTGAATTTTTCTGTAACTCATATATTCAGATAGGGCTGCACAATATATCGTAAATATATCGTCATCGCGATATCAGCATGCACAATATGCATATCGCAAAGAACAGATAAATATCACAATAAATGGTCAGCTCAAATGTTTGCTACCCATGATGCATTCTGTCAATCAAATGAAAGCATTATGTTTTTTTTAACAACGCAAATAGAGCTCTTCACCCATTTGGCCAATCGGGTGGGTTCTCATAGGTCAGATGCCCGCCCCCGAGGAGGATGGCACTTAATTTTGATGGTCAGAAAACACCTGAGTTAGCTTTGTTCTGCTCTTTCTGCTGATTCTGCTTTTCCCGGGATCCACTGAATGTCTTTTCTTCATTTTCTTTTCCCCTTGCCTCACATCCTTTGCTTTTATAATTTTTATGATTTTTTTTACTTCTTTGTTTTGATTAATTTTGTTCCTGAGTTAAGTTTTTATTTATCGCAAGCGATATCGTCATCGCAATATTAATCATTGTAATGGAATATCGCAGGTTTTCCTAATATCGTGCAGCGCTATATTCAGATGTAATTAAAGCTTGCAATCAGGAATAATTAGCGGTGTGTCTATTTGATTGACGGGTAGCAGACACCAATCTAGTGTTGCTGCTGTTGGAGTCCTGCCCACAGAGACCAGGGTCATCGCCATGGCAACAATAAATAAACTAAATGTTAAAATAAAGTGAAATGAATAAATTAACAACTAAAAAGGTAAGTTTTAAGCTTATTTCTGAAAACATCAACAGTCCCGAGGTCCCTCTGCAGGTTGTTCAACAGGCAAGGGCCGTGATGGTGGAACTGGGCCTCGACAAACTAAACGCCCGATGCTGGGGACCTCAGGGTCCACGAGGGCTCCAACTGTGAGTTCACTTCGGTTCCTAGAGTCTCTAGCAGAGCAGGACGTAGGGCCAAGGTGATTGCAGGTGAGGCGTTTATTTACCTGATCTGTTTGGCGTAGCTCAGCTCAATGTCCACTCGCTCTTTAACAAACTTTGTGTATCTCTCCAGGAAGTCGATTCCCCAGCTGGTGTGTTTCTCCAGATTCTCAAACTGATCCTGAAACAGCAGAAAAAAACGGGTTACTCCAAACAGGTGTTGTTTTTAATCGTTTTTATTATTAATTATTGGTTTCTGATCATTTCGGAAATCTGCAACAGTTTCAACAAATCTAATAGTCAGGTGAGAGTCAGTGGGGCAGGCAGGCTGCAGCAGAATCATAACGGTTCTGCTATTATTTTACCTGCACGCGCGTGGGACCTAACGGGGAGTACGTTCACCTGCTTATTAGTTTCGGATCAATTATTCATATCAGAAAACACTGTCAAACACTGATTTATTGTCGTCTCTGCACCGTCCGTGATGCTGCAGCGCCAGCCGCTGACGTCACCCACCGTGTTGCTATGGAAGAGCGGGCCTCACGCGCACATGCGGACACATGCACTGATGGCCGCCCAGCAGCAGGTTTCTGCGCTGCCGTTAACCGGTTCTGAGCGGGAACAGGTTCACGTACCCACAGCTCCGTGCCCCAGTTGCAGCTCATGGTTCCGTTCCGCTCCAGCCGTTCCGCCTGCCGGTACCGAGCGACAAATTACCGCGTGCTGCTCTCGGCCGCGCGCATCCCTGGGACCTGACAGCAGCTTTGTGTGCGATGAAGTGAGAAAAGCGCATGCGCAGAAAACCTTGCTCCATCACATGAAGCTTTGAAACAATAAAATCAAGTTATGCGTCAACACCTTGGTGTTCATGACAAAATTATATCATTGTTGTATATTATATAATCATAACGGTTATTATATAATTATATCATCAGGATGTATCTTGTCTAGCAGATTACATATGTAATTATATATATATATATATATATATATATATATAATTATATATATATATATATAATTTTATATATATATATATATATATATAATTCATTATTCTGAGCTACAGCAATCAATTTCCCTGTGAGATTAATAAAGTATTTTTGAATTGAATTGAAGCATCACATGATTTCACAGTTTTGTCTGAATCTAGTGAGGCTAGCCAAACGTTATCTCAAATCACTATTTTCATGAAATGGGTGACTTCTGCCTAAGAAGAGTAGCACACCCCAACAAAAGTGAAACATGACATCACCGTTTGTCATGAAAGGGGGGTCAGTAATGCAAAAGGAGAATCAATCATCTCCTCACATCACTGTTCTGCATGTGAGGGGTCAGTTATGCAGGGGGAGGGGGAATCATCCCGTCACTGTTTTTAATTCAGCATGGAATTGTTTTAGTACTGGGAAGAACACAACTTTCCTAGCAGAGGAAGGCTGCTGGACACCCGACTGTCTATTTGACCTCTGACATTGCTGTGGACAAATAAGCTTGTTGGCCGTTCCCAACGTTACGGTGTTGTACCTTCTCAGAGTTTGTGCGACAAGTTCCTGAAATTCTTTTTTTTTTTTCAGATAAAATTCTGCAGATCAGGTCCTCTAGCTCCTCACCGTTTACTTCAGACCCTAGTTGATCTACTTCCTGGTGCCAGTTCTGTCCTGTCTCTTTGGAAGAACTGTCAGCAATTGTCAGTTACTTAAGACCTTCTGGCTGCCACCTGGATTATCTTCCGCCTCATTTCCTTAAAAAAGCCTTCAATAGGATTGCTTCTGTCATCCAAAAGCTGTTCACTTTCTTCTGGCCGTGTTCCAGTATTTTAAACTGGTTGTTGTCCATCCACTCAAAAAATAAACACAATCTAGATCCCACCTGTCTTTCAGAATTTTGGCAGATTTCCTTGAGAATGTCGTTCAGTCTCAGCTATGGGATTATTTGGCTCTAAATGATATTTCAGAGAAATCCCAATCTGGTTTTAAAACATGCCATAGCACTGAGAGTGCTCTTCCACGTGTTTTTAACGATCTGCTTTTAATTAGTGATCCTGGAAATTCAGTCGCTTTATTATTACCAGATTTGTCGGCTGCCTTTGACACCATTGACCACTAGACTTTGCTGTCTCATCTCAAGTTGTGTTGGTCTCAAAGGTACTGTCCTTCAGTGGTTTTGTTCTTACCTACAGGTCATTTTCAGTGAATTTGGGCCCCATCACCTCTGTTTCAGCACCCCTGACCAGTGGAGTTACCCAAGGCTCCATCCTAGGACCCACGCTCTTTCCACTTTACGTGTTGCCACTAGATTCTAGTTTTGAAAAGTACAATATTACACTCCACCATTTTGCTGATGACGTTCAGATTTACTTGCCCTTTTTCCCCAGACATAATTGTTTCTTTATTAGACTGCTTGTGCGAGGTTAAAGGGACTTTACGGACTTTTGAATTTTTATGCTCGTGATTGCCCCTTCAGGCCAAAAGCATAACGGCAGCTTTAGGCTCGTGCACAAGGCGCGCATGCTGTACGTGCACACTCCTTAACGAAAATAACAGCTGAGACAGTCCCGTTTGTGTGTGTGTGTGTGTGGCCCAGAGGACAGGAGAACACGCAGCTAATTAATTAAATAACTTGGTTCTGTACCTTTCTCTTCAGCACAGCCGACAAAGGTTTATGAGGGTCAGTCCTCCTGCATGCTCAGATCATTCCCTTCCCTTGCTTGAAAAATTGTTCCAAAATGAAAGTTGAACCCACATCTTTTTTATCTGTGAATTCAATGCCGTTCGGCGAGTCTCAAATAAAAATTTGGGCATCTTACTGTAAAAAAATATACCATTAATGTAAAAAAGAAACTCTACATAAACTATGTTCACATCCAGAATCAAACCCAGGTCTTCTGCATGAGAGTCCAACATCTTACTAGGTGAGTTAAAGCACCAGTGACGTCCTTTGTATCTGTAACATTTATATCCTTGATGACAGCTGAAACAACGTTCAAAGAACGGTTCGGAGTGAAAATGGCTATTTTGTTGCTAATTAGCAGGAAATATCTAGAAGAAAGTTCTACAGAAAGAAGCTAAGGGTCCTCAGAAATGTAGCTAGCTTTGTCACTAGGCGTTAGGAACAGCGACAAAGTGGCACTGCCTCTCTCTCTGCTGCTAAAGCTACGGATAGCAAATGCTACGGGCGATGCCTGAGCGTGAACGCGCATGAAGCAGCCTGCTCGACCCGAGCATCTCTCTTTTTCTGTGATTTTACAGAAAAACAGGCAATCACAGTAAAAATGCCAGGGCTCATTCTACAGGACCAGGGCATTGCAGGAGAATGTATGAAGAAGACATTTATTAGTTCTGTATGTGGCAAGGTGGAGAAACGAGGGCCCAGGCGGGATTCGATCCCCAGACTCCCGGGTGAGAGTCGTACGCTCTAACCAGTCAGCCAAAGGGACATCCCCTTGGCCAAGTAGCCAGGGTGCACGATCTATCGGGACGCTGTGACAGGACACTCACACTGCCACATATACATGTTTTGGCTGTCAAACTTCCACAATGTCCCTTTAAGCAATGGATGTCCATCAATTTATGTTCATGTTTATGTGTTTAGCAGACGCTTTTGTCCAAAGCGACTTACAATGATAATCGGCATGTTGCCCTTGAGGCTAACAACAACAATAACAACAACAATAATAACAACTTGACATCAGTCATGGAGAGGAGGGAACAAGGAGTGGACAGTAGAGGGGGGACGGGTGCAGGGAGGGTGCTAGTTTAGAAGATGTTCTCTGAAGAGCAGGGTCTTCAGGAGTTTCTTGACAATTGAAAAGGAAGCCACTGTTCTGGTAGTGCTTGGTAGGTCATTCCACATTTGTGGAACGATGCATGAGAAACTTCTTAGAGCTAAAAGACGGAGATTTTACTCTTTGGTAATAAGAATCTTTTGGATGATGTGGTCAGTCCTCTCACCCCTTGCTCGTCCTTATTAAGTCCTGTGTGAAAAATCTTGGAGTCTTTCTTGATGGTTCTTTCTGGCTGAAGAGATAGTAGTAAACAGTAGTAAACAATGTCTTCCTGCTGAAGTTTCTGATCATATCAGCCATCGTTTGAACTACTGCTACTCACTTTACTTGGGCCTGGATCTGTCATCTCTAAATAGACTCCAGCTAGGCGATGCTTTAAAAAATAACACACTTAAAAAAAATCACATTTATTTAAATATTTTTACACAAATGGAAACAGGAAGTGTAGATTCACATCCGACACGTGTCATGGAATGCCTCCAGGGTTCTAAAGTCCCTCCAAGTGGGGGGCAGTCCATCCTGCAGGAAATGTCCACAACGCTGACAGGAAGACTGGAAGAGCTTAATGTAGCTCCGCAGCCATGTCTGCAGGGGCACAGGTGGGTCAGGTAGGACAAGTGAGACGGGTGGGACAGTAGCAGGCAGATTAGTTTTACTGAAGCCTCACCATGAAGGACCGGACCACGACGTCGGGCATCTGGGGCAGCTGGTAGTGCAGCAGGGCAGTAGTGGCGTGGTCGGTTACCTAGCAACGTCAAAACCAATCTCAGCTCTGGACATTTAAATCGGTTGAGTTTTTAACATGTTAACCGACGAGTCTTACTTTTTGGAACACCTGATACTGAGATTTGGTCCAAATGTCCAGCTGGGGAGGACAAACGAACAGGTTACCACGGGGACCTCTGTATCAGTGACTACCTGACAGGTGAAGAGCCACCTTTCCGTCCTTGGTGTAAACATTCTCATTGAATCCTCGAACAACCGTTCTGTCAATGAAGAGTGAGCGCATGACAACGATGGCCTTCAACACCTTCCCCAGCGTCACCTAAGAGCGAGCGAGAGAGAGAAGACCCACCTGTCACCTGCTCCGAACACACCTGTACAAGAAAATAAAAACATATATTTACCAGCAGCACAGCTGACGTCCCGTTGGGTCTGAAAAGCTCGATGGTCATATCAGGAAACATCCTGCCGATCCGAGCGATAACGTCATCCACGTACCTGTGGAGAAGAGCAACAGGTGTGACTTCTGTAACAGGTGCACCAGACACACCCCACGCACCTCTAACCCCAGGTAGGGGACGGGGAGGAAATTCTGCTTTTACCTGCTAGTGGTCATAATGATTTGTCTGATCAGTTTTCAGAAGGACTCACTGGAGAGGGAGGACCAGAGTGCTGGGCTGGACTTTGGGTCGTCTTTTAGCTGAAGGTCCCAGCTGATTGGCTGATCGTTTGAGTGACTGCTGATTCAGCAAACTGGAGGCCAAGCCAGCATGATACTGCAGCTACACACACACACGCACACGCACACACACACACACACATCAGGAGCCTAAAGGGGATACCTCCACTCTGAGCTCCACCCTCATCCAGCCTGTCAGGTGGAGACTGAACGCTGCTGATTTACAGAAAGAGAAGAAGCAGCAGCTCACTTTGTTGGACCACTTGTAGGCCTGCAGCAGCTGAGAGTACAGAGGTGTTTTATCCTGAACTGGATCCAGACTCAGCAGGCCGCTGTTGTGGAGGGGATGGGACTCTGAGGGACGGCCCACCAGACCACTGAGACGCTCCAGCTCGCTGGGCGGTGAAGAGGTGTGGAAGAGACAGAATGCTATTGGTTAGTGACAGTAGTCAGTGACATAGTTTAATTGTTTGTGACTTGTCTGGATGTGACCAAGTTACTCAAGTTCCAACACCTGTAGTCGTGTTTTCAGATGTTTTAGCTCACAGGTGTTATTGAAACGTGGATTAGTGTGTGTGTGTGTGTGTGTGTGTGTGTAAACTCGGAGGGTGTGAAAAAGGTGACAACTACAAAACAACAGTGCAAAACTCTTCGGTTTTACGCGATTCACGTGAACGCCACATACGGCTTCGACAAGTTTGTAGGTAACGCATCTTTGGCGTGTTCTTGTTGTGTTGAAATTCTAATTCCATCTTTTAGTTCTTTTTAAAACACAGAAAGGTTTTATTTACCTGCAACGTTTCGTTTGTGGCTGGTAAATAAAACCTTTCTGTGTTTTAAAAAGAACTAAAAGATGGAATTGTAGCTAATGAAACACCTATTGTTCACCGTCATTCACGGAATCTCGACAAACGCGGTCTTTTTCATAAATAAATCACGACAAACACTGTAAATTTTTGCTAATAATTATACTACAGTTCTGAATCTTTGAGTTATATCACTTATTTAAAATAAATCGTGCTTAATAAGCGTGTTACGATACTGTAAGCGAGAGCGACACTGTCGTAACACTCTGCGGTGGGAATATTCGACGAGGAAGCAGGGATAGTCACAACACCGGACTCACTTCAGGTCTCTGTTGACAGCCTGCAGGTTGTCCTGGAACTCGGTGATGAACTTCTTCTGGCGTTCTATCTGCTCTAGCTCGCAGTTCTTCTTCTCGCGTTCTATCTGGTCTAGCTCGCAGTTCTTCTTCTCGCGGTCTGTCAGGTCTATCTCGCAGTTCTTCATGCCGTCCTTCAGGGACTCGAACACGCGCGTCACGCTGGATCGCAACGCCTGGATCCCGCTGATGGCATGAGAAAAGGCGTCCAGATTCACCCCGACGGTCACCGCGTCCGCCATCTTCTCCTCGTAAATACGATGACGTCACTGTGATGCTGTGGTTTAAAAACCACACATCCGGTTACTTCAGCTTCAGGTGCGTGATCGCCACCTGCTGGAAAGGAGTGGAAGTCAGAACCTGAATCCTTTCAGTAAATCGTGTTTTTAATCTTCACATTTGTAAAATGTCCATAAAAAGTGCATCAGCTGGACACATTTTTCTCCACTCTAATGACGCACTTCTCCACTGAGGTTTTAAAAGGAGGTTCTGCCTCTAGAATATTTGCCAAGCTGCTGTCATGTGTGGTATGGCAAGCCATTTTAACATTTGTTTAATAATCAATTTCTTTACAAGTCCCATTACAAACCAATAATATAATGTGTTCTATGAAAAATTGCGGACTACACGCCAAAATGGCAATATTAACAGCTTTGTTGTTACCAGTAGAAATTATATCCACAATAAAATCCTGGAATTCTTAAGTGACCATTTTAACATTTGAATGCAGACTGGATATGTATCCTAAAAATCCATACGTTTCTGTGAAAACATAACATTCCAAATACCCATAGGAGCTGTGTCAAATAATCCAATTGTATAAGGGAAGACCAATCCGACTGATATTTCATATTTAAATGGAATATCACTTCTCATGCCCTGCGATGGACTGGCTCTCTGTCCAAGGTGTACCCCGCCTGATTGCCCATTGACCGCTGGAGATAGGCACCCCCCACCCCCCACCCGCGACCCTACGTGGACAATGCGGGTTCAGACAATGGATGGATGGATCACTTCTCATTGATCATTTAATATATATGTACGCTACAGTCCCTTCTAAACATGGTATTCATTAAAATTTGGCTTATTTTTGATACACTTTTTAACATTTGGGCTTTTTTTTAAATACCTGTTTCATATTTCACCCATTCACTATTATTTTGTTTTGGTTGACCGTTTTGCTGTTGAAAACTGTTTCGCCACCAATAATAATTTTGTTCTGTTCTAATCTGGACAAACTCCTGATCCTGATCCTTCATTAAGAACCTAACGAGATTAAAGGATTCACATATGTTCCTGGTCTTAGACAGTTTCTTAAAGAACCAACAATATCGTCTGCTTTTTAACTCTAACATGACATTACAATTCAACAGCTCCATTAATAATAACACTGATCAGTGATCAGATCAGATAGTCAAGATTAGTCAGCTGATGTTCATTCTGTGCTGAGAGAGGATGAGGAGGAGGGGTTGAGGAGGAGGAGGAGGTAGAGGAGGGAGTAAAAACATTGGAGGTGAACTGAGACAAGAGAGCTAATAAAGATGAGGGTTGCACGGAGGAGGAAGAGAATATGAAAAAGATACAAAAGGGGAGCTGAAAGAGGAAAACTCCTACATAATCTAACTCAGATCCAACCTGGAGTCACCAAGGGACGGAGCAGGTGAGTGACTAACAGGTGAGCTAATGAAAGGTAACTAATATATCAAATCAGTTCAAGTTCTCTGAGACCTCCTGGAAGAATGTAGCTTTCATAAGTGCATCCTTTTGGATAGTCGCTGAGAGAATGTGTTACAGTGATCAGGCAACCAATTTCACTTCATTGTCCTCGCGGGGGGGCTTTGTTTTTGTAGCACAGAAAACACAGTCCCAATCTCAACAGCAGTGGATCAGAATCAATTTAATACTGATATGATGATGGTATTAAGGTGGTGGTGTTTCAATAATGGTGCTACGGTGGTGGTGTTCCAGTGATGGTGTTATGATGGTGGTGTTCCAGTGATGGTGTTATGATGGTGGTGTTCCAGTGATGGTGTTACAGTGGTGGTGTTCCAATGATGGTGTTACAGTGGTGGTGTTCCAATGATGGTGTTAAGGTGGTGGTGTTCCAGTGATGGTGTTAAGGTGGTGGTGTTTCAATAATGGTGCTACGGTGGTGGTGTTCCTGTGATGGTGTTACAGTGGTGGTGTTCCAATGATGGTGTTAAGGTGGTGGTGTTCCAGTGATGGTGTTAAGGTGGTGGTGTTTCAATAATGGTGCTACGGTGGTGGTGTTCCTGTGATGGTGTTACAGTGGTGGTGTTCCAATGATGGTGTTAAGGTGGTGGTGTTCCAGTGATGGTGTTAAGGTGGTGGTGTTTCAATAATGGTGCTACGGTGGTGGTGTTCCTGTGATGGTGTTACAGTGGTGGTGTTCCAATGATGGTGTTAAGGTGGTGGTGTTCCAGTGATGGTGTTAAGGTGGTGGTGTTTCAATAATGGTGCTACGGTGGTGGTGTTCCTGTGATGGTGTTAAGGTGGTGGTGTTTCAGTAATGGTGCTACAGTGATGGTGTTAAGGTGGTGGCGTTACGGTGGTGGTGTTACGGTGGTGGTGTTTCAATAATGGTGCTACGGTGGTGGTGTTTCAATAATGGTGTTACGGTGGTGGTGTTTCAATAATGGTGCTACGGTGGTGGTGTTCCAGTGATGGTGTTATGATGGTGGTGTTTCAGTAATGGTGCTACAGTGATGGTGTTAAGGTGGTGGCGTTACGGTGGTGGTGTTACGGTGGTGGTGTTTCAATAATGGTGTTACGGTGGTGGTGTTTCAATAATGGTGCTACGGTGGTGGTGTTCCTGTGATGGTGTTAAGGTGGTGGTGTTTCAGTAATGGTGCTACAGTGATGGTGTTAAGGTGGTGGCGTTACGGTGGTGGTGTTACGGTGGTGGTGTTTCAATAATGGTGTTACAGTGGTGGTGTTTCAATAATGGTGTTACGGTGGTGGTGTTTCAATAATGGTGCTACGGTGGTGGTGTTCCAGTGATGGTGTTATGATGGTGGTGTTCCAGTGATGGTGTTAAGGTGGTGGTGTTCCATTGATGGTGTTAAGGTGGTGGTGTTACGGTGGTGGTGTTCCAATGATGGTGTTAAGGTGGTGGTGTTCCAGTGATGGTGTTAAGGTGGTGGTGTTCCAGTGATGGTGTTAAGGTGGTGGTGTTTCAATAATGGTGCTACGGTGGTGGTGTTCCTGTGATGGTGTTAAGGTGGTGGTGTTTCAGTAATGGTGCTACAGTGATGGTGTTAAGGTGGTGGCGTTACGGTGGTGGTGTTTCAATAATGGTGCTACGGTGGTGGTGTTTCAATAATGGTGTTACGGTGCTGGTGTTCCAGTGATGGTGTTATGATGGTGGTGTTCCATTGATGGTGTTAAGGTGGTGGTGTTACGGTGGTGGTGTTCCAGTGATGGTGTTAAGGTGGTGGTGTTCCAGTGATGGTGTTAAGGTGGTGGTGTTTCAATAATGGTGCTACGGTGATGGTGCTACAGTGGTGGTGTTTCAATAATGGTGCTACAGTGATGGTGTTAAGGTGGTGGTGTTTCAATAATGGTGCTACGGTGATGGTGCTACAGGGGTGGTGTTTCAATAATGGTGCTACAATGATGGTGTTAAGGTGGTGGTGTTTCAATAATGGTGCTACGGTGATGGTGCTACGGGGGTGGTGTTTCAATAATGGTGCTACAGTGATGGTGTTAAGGTGGTGGTGTATCAATAATGGTGCTACAGTGGTGGTGTTCCAGTGATGGTCAAGGTGTTGTTGTTTCAATAATGGTGCTACAGTGATGGTGCTATGGTGGTGGTGTTCCAGTGATGGTGTTAAGTTGGCGGTATTTCAATGATGGTGTTACGGTGGTGGTGTTCCAGTGATGGTGTTAAGGTGCTGGTGTTCCAGTGATGTAGTTAAGGTGGTGGTGTTCCAATGATGGTGTTAAGGTGGTGGTGTTTCAATAATGGTGCTACGGTGATGGCGCTATGGTGGTGGTGTTCCAGTGATGGTGTTAAGTTGGTGGTGTTTCAATAATAGTGCTACGGTGGTGGTGTTACGGTGATGGTGTTATGATGGTGGTGTTCCAGTGATGGTGTTAAGGTGGTGGTGTTTCAATAATGGTGCTACAGTGATGGTGTTAAGGTGGTGGTGTTTCAATAATGGTGCTACAGTGATGGTGTTAAGGTGGTGGTGTTTCAATAATGGTGCTACAGTGATGGTGTTAAGGTGGTGGTGTTTCAATAATGGTGCTACAGTGGTGGTGTTCCAGTGATGGTGTTAAGTTGGTGGTATTTCACTGATGGTGCTATGGTGGTGGTGTTCCAGTGATGGTGTTATGATGGTGGTGTTCCAGTGATGGTGTTAAGGTGGTGGTGTTTCAATAATGGTGCTACGGTGATGGTGCTATGGTGGTGGTGTTCCAGTAATGGTGTTAAGGTGGGGGTGTTCTAGTGATGGTGTTAAGGTGGTGGTGCTATGGTGGTGGTGTTCCAGTGATGGTGTTACGGTGGTGGTGTTCCAGTAATGGTGTTAAGGTGGGGGTGTTCTAGTGATGGTGTTAAGGTGGTGGTGCTATGGTGGTGGTGTTCCAGTAATGGTGTTAAGGTGGTGGTGTTCCAGTGATGGTGTTACGGTGGTGGTGTTCCAGTAATGGTGTTAAGGTGGGGGTGTTCTAGTGATGGTGTTAAGGTGGTGGTGCTATGGTGGTGGTGTTCCAGTAATGGTGTTAAGGTGGTGGTGTTCCAGTGATGGTATTACGGTGGTGGTGTTCCAGTAATGGTGTTAAGGTGGTGGTGCTATGGTGGTGGTGTTCCAGTAATGGTGTTAAGGTGGTGGTGTTCCAGTGATGGTGTTAAGGTGGGGGTGTTCTAGTGATGGTGTTAAGGTGGTGGTGTTCTAGTGATGGTGTTAAGGTGGTGGTGCTATGGTGGTGGTGTTCCAGTAATGGTGTTAAGGTGGGGGTGTTCTAGTGATGGTGTTAAGGTGGTGGTGCTATGGTGGTGGTGTTCCAGTAATGGTGTTAAGGTGGTGGTGTTCCAGTAATGGTGTTAAGGTGGGGGTGTTCTAGTGATGGTGTTAAGGTGGTGGTGCTATGGTGGTGGTGTTCCAGTAATGGTGTTAAGGTGGTGGTGTTCCAGTGATGGTGTTACCCTTTCTGCTACCGTGGTGCAGCACTATAGTCAGGCAGAGGTTTAGCGATAAAAACTTTATGCCACAAATAAGGTTCTGAGTGTCCTTGTTGGTTTGTTTCAGGACAAATGTTGGAGACACGTCTCACTGGTGGACAGCCGATCACTAGGAAAATTCCTGCTCACACTGTCATCATGCCAACTTCACACAAACCTTCACCTGCTGTCTATTTAAAAAAATCATGAAGGAGCTGAAACTTTATTGGAGAAATGTGGATGCCAATCAAATTTCTGTCTGACTGAAGTCCACCATGTCCCCACCCAAATGGCTCACCGACTGGTCACATTTATCTGTCTTCCTCCTTGTGCTCTTGCTGCCAATGTGCTGGTCTCAGACTGACAATCCATTTGAGAAGTGCAGCTCCTCACTCAGCTCAGAGGAAGGCGTGGGGTGGCAGCCCTATGCCTGTCAGCCACCTTCAGCCAACATGAAGGAGTTCATGCAGATTAGAGTTGACCCCCCTGGGATCACCTGTGGAAACCCACCTGAAAGGTTCTGCACACTGGTCAGTTCTATACACACAGCTGAACAAGCTGAAGTCATCCAGGTGTAAATAATGATCAGACCAGACTGGATGTGAGGAAATACGGGTCACCCTCCCCAGACTGCTGGTGCCAACCGTCACATAAACAGTCACAAATTGTACAAAATGCAGCAACTTTATCGCTGCTCTGAAACAACTCCGCTCAGTGTTTGGTAAACGTTGGTTCACAGTTCTGAGTAATCCAGCTGTTAGATTTAGATTTTCTTTATACCACAACAAATCAATTATTAACAGTTAGGCCTTTGCTTCATTATCTTCTGCATTTATTATTAATTCAGGCACAACTTCAGTCTCCCAATGGAACAATTAGGCAGACAGCAGGACATGTGCAGACGGTTTGTGTCCACCTCAGCTGTTGCTCAGGGGACTCCCTGAAACCGAGGACTCTCTGGATGGCATTAACTTATCCCGGAGGACTAATCTGAGGAGCATCGGTGTTCTTCTAGACCAGGATCTGCCCTTTAGCTCCAAAAAAAATCATGTTACTAGGACTGGCCTCTTCTAGTTTTGTGTAGAGGAATCAAAAACAACTCTAAGAGCACACTTCCTCTCAATCAGCCACGACAGTGAGTGTCCAGACACCCTATATTGTTTCTTTGACATGTGGGGTAATGGAGGACATCAGGAGGACCGACTCTGCATCATCAGACCCAACGCACCTGTTCACATCACACCTCCAACAGAACAGCCGCACCCACTGCGGTCTTGTACAAATGTAAATAACTTACTGCGATCACCTGAAGAAAACATTTAACACGTGTGTATTTCACATTTCTTAATACAATTATTGTACTTTTTAGTCATTTCCCGCAGCTGCGTGACAGCAAGTCGCCAAACAAACTTCTCTTTTAAAAATGATGGATGTGATCGTTGATAGAGTTGGTAAGTTAGCTCCCGGTGTAGTAAGTTTATTTAGACAATTGAGTTTTGTGGCCAAAGTGTGACAGTTGGCACCGTCAGGTAACGTCTTGGGGTTAAACCGCTTACTCGCTGATCGGATTAGAGCTAATCTGTCACTCTGACTCCTCGGGGGAGTTGTTCGTTCAAGCGGTTGCCTGCTCTCCTCTGAGTAAATGTTCAGTTTAAAAAGCGTCAGACTTCCGTTCACAACAAATCAAATCTGTAACCACCCCCAACTGCCTCGTCCTTTTGACTTGTCTACTGAATAAGCAGTCAAAACCAGATCATGCCACCTGTCTAACTGGAGCCCCGATCCTCCTCAAACTACACTGTAAACCTTAAAAAGTTCACAGAACTCAAAACTTATTTTGTAACTGATTACACAAAAATATTTAAGTGATGTTTTTAAATATTTAAAGTTTACATTAAATAAAAATTACATTTGCAGTTGCCTTAAATTATCTCAATGTTATCTTATAAATATTGATATTCCTGAACTTATGATTAGGTAGTAATTCACTTAAAATTTATAACATTTTCAACTCATATCAAACAGAAAATATACTCAAAATGAAATGTTTCTTTTAACTCAAACTTGATAAGTGGATATAACTCATAATTTTTGGTGTAAGTGATTACGTACCACACGTTGCTAACTGCACATGACTCACACTCACCCATTGATGCTGACAGCCAATGAGAGTTAAACACCCAAAGCCAAGTCAAATGCATCTGGTGCGAACCATCTCAGTATTAATTAAAGTGGGACGATACAGCGTTGTCATTCCTTTGACCAACCTCCTCACTTATGGTGCCAACATCATACAAAAAGTAACACCACATTTGCAACAATGAGTGAAGTAATAACTAAGAAGAGCAATCCCCTTCAATAAACATGCATAAACACCCCAAAATAAAAGAAAAAAAACTAAAAACATGACTATCCACAATGCACCTCACCCACCAGTTCTTTATTGTGCCTGATATCCACCAAAATTGCATGTTTGTGCTTGTTTTTTTCCCTTAAATCTACAAATATTTTAAGAAATTTATACGTCTGTTTATCAGACACACTTTAAGTTGACAAAGATGAATAGATTAATATAGAAACACAAAATAATAGATTCATATTTCTTTGTTAATAGTACTTATTCAAGTTCAGTTGTTCTTTATTGGTTCATTTAAGGTATGCTCACTACAAATATATATTTATTTTTCAGATTAATTAAAAAGTTTGAGTTCTATATACTTAAAACAAAGAAAAGGTCGAACCAACTCAACACATTTGAGTTCTAAAAAGTTTCTTTTAATTTATGAGTGTCACCTACTCAGTATTTTTGATTATTTTCAACATTTGGGTTTACAGTGATAGGGAAACAGCAGGTGAGTCAAGATTTCTGCATCAACAAACGCCTCCAACATGCTGGCCTGCTCCTTAGACCAGGGGTGCCCTGATCCCGGAGACCAGGGGTGCCCTGGTCCCGGAGGGCCAGTATCCAGCAGGTTTTGTGGTTTTCTGCTCCAACACACTTGATTAACTGGTTGAATCACCTGTGCAGCATCTAATCAGGCATCAGCAGAATTAGAACTAAAACATGCTGGATACCGGCCCTCGAAGACCAGGATTGGGCACCCCTGCCTTAGACCGATTAGAGTTCTGGTGCAATTTTCTCTGTTTTTAATAAGAAATTACCAAGAAGAGGTTTGTAGATCAGATCGTTCAAAAGTCAGTTTTTCAAGATATTTTTCAACATAACACTTAAAGTGACGATGTGTATTTCCCGTGGCGATGGGGGGCAGCACATACCTAAATCATTGCATACAAACAGTATTTTCGTGTTCAAGTAGCAACGGATGGCCATTAGGGTCAAAATCCCTGGGAGCTCACTCTTTCATCCCTGGCAACGAGTGGAGAGGTAAATATGTAGGGCGATGTTTATGAATGGGGAAATTTTGGAAACCGTTTGTTACAAATCAGTAAATGCGATTTGTCCTCACAGGCTCCCGTAGAACTGCGTCTAATAAGGCATCGCCCGGAGTCTTAGACCCGCTCCCGTGTGACTTAAACCCGGTTTTTAAGGTTTTATGTTACTAAACTGCCAATATTTTACAACTAAATGGTAAATGGCCTGTATTTGACAGCACCTTCTAGACTCCTGGAACCCCCCAAGGCACTTTACAACACAATCAGTCATTCACCCATTCACACCCTGGTGGTGATGAGCTACACTGTAGCCACAGCTGCCCCGATGCACACTGACTGCCGAACATAGGCACCACCGGTCCCTCCGACCACCACCAGCAGGAGAGGTGGGTTGAGTGTCTTGCCCAAGGACACAACAACAGTGACAGACTGAGCAGGGCTCGAACCGGCAGCCTTCCGATTACAGGGTGAGCTCTTAACTCCTGTGCCACTGTCGCCCCAACAACAACTGGACATCATTTACTTCATTTTCAACATGTATTGTATGTACATTATGTAATAATATAATAATAATAATAATTTTTATATATATTTATAATAATGATGATGATGATGATGATGATAATAATAACATAATAATAATAATTAAAAATATATATATTTATAATAATGATGATAATAATAATAATAATGGACATCATGTACTTCATTTTCAACAACATTTTAATGGATATTTTCAGAAATTAATGGTAAAAACTCTTTAATAATAATAATAATAATAATATTTGCTGTCCACCCTTCATCTCAGTCTAGTATCAACATTTTATGCTAACATCTGTGTCTCACATAACTTCCTGTCTGATCGTGTGTTTGAATCGTTAGCCGTGTGCAAAGCAGCAGAGCACAAGCCACTTAGCGTCATATGCACCGGTGTCTGTTGCCCCGCTTGTTCTAGCTGACACATTTGTTTGCGTACACAGGAGAACCCATACCTGTGCAGCGATGAGTGTGATGCCTCTAGCCCTGACCTGTCTCACCCCCCTCAGTTGATGGGAGACAGGGAGAGGAGTGGGCTCATCACCTACTGGCAGACAGTCACATGGTCCCGGTATCCAGAGCCACTGTTGGCTAACATCACCCTTTCATGGAACAAGAGCCTGGAGGTGGTTGATGATGTTGTCATCACCTTTGAGTATGGCCGACCGACCAGCATGGTGCTGGAGAAATCTGTAGACAAAGGTATGAGGGGCAGCAGGGCTGGGGGGGCAGAAACAAAAAGTGATAAATGTGCCACAATTTCCAAAAGTAACTCTAAAAATTAAATTCATCCACCGTGTAGCAGGAACTGAAACACGATGCTGTGAAACATGATAGTGTTTCTGTTGCAGGTGCAACCTGGCAGCCATATCAGTACTACGCTGATGACTGTCTTGAAGCCTTTGGCATGTCGCCCAAACAAGTTTCGGATTTAGCACCAGCAAACTTGACCAGAGTCATCTGCACTGAGAACTATTCCCGCTGGGTTGGAGCCAAGGTGAGTATCTGCTCCGAGCCTCAAGACTGACGCCGAGGCAACACACAGGTTACAGATGTTTCACTGAAACCTTTCCAGGAGAAGAAGGATGTGGTGTTTGAGGTGCGTGCTCGGTTTGGCGTGTTTGCGGGTCCAAAGCTTATAAACATGGATGCTCTTTACACCCGAATGGAAACAATGAAAGGCCTCAGAGACTTCTTCACCTTTACGAACCTGCGACTGCGGCTTCTCCGACCAGCGCTAGGAGGCACCTACGTTCAAAGAGACAACCTGCTGAAGTACTTCTATGCTGTTTCCAACATCGAAGTACCTGCAAGGTAACCCACACGCCTTACAGAAGGCCACACATCATTCCTACTAGAGACGTAAGAAAATATCGATATGGCAAAGTATCGTGATTTTTTTTCCTGCGATATATCAATATTCAAAAGCAGTGTCAAAAATATCGATATGGAAATATATTGTGATTTTTTTCCTGCGGTATTTTATCGATGTTCAAACGCCGTGTATCTAATTTTTGGAAGAATTTACATGCAAACATTTGTGCAATTTCTTTTATTTTGGTGCAATTCAAACACCGACCACTAGTTGGCAGCAGTGTTCAGTGGGTTTGGTTTCCACCACTGAAATGTAAATCCCTCTCTTATGGTTCAGATACCTCATGTTAAACATGTTCAGTATCGGTTTGAACTGTTTATTGAATATTCCTACAATAAATTCAGTTAAAAAAAAACTGCTAATAACGTCTCCCCTGTATCGTGATACGTATCGTATCGCCAGAGTTTCACCAAAACACATCCCTAACTCCTATTAACGTGTGTCTGGCACACACCCAACAAGAACCAACTTAGCCTGGTAGACATTCAGGTATATCCTCACTGAGGACCAGTCTGTCTTTGTGTCGTTCACAGGTGTAAGTGTAACCAGCACGCGTCTCGATGCGTGCTGCGAGATGCAACCCTGCAGTGTGACTGTGAGCACAACACCACCGGACAGGACTGTCAGCTCTGCAGAGGAGGGTTCAGATCTCGCAGCTGGAGAGCAGGATCATACCTGCCCCTCCCCAAAGGCACTGCCAATACCTGTACGAACACGCAGACACACAAATCCACCTCTGTACCCACCTGCGTGTGAAACAACCGACAGCTCTTCTAACTCTGATATTAATGCTTACCACAATTGTCAGGAACACAAATATGTTTGCTAAAAACTTAAAACTAAGACAGCATAAGAATAGGAGCTGGGTCTGTGCAGTCTGAGCCTGGATGGTTCTGGTCTATAGGGCCTTACATGGACAAGCACCATCTTACATTGGTGATCGTCTTAGTCCCTACACCCCCAGCAGGTCCCTGAGGTCCAGTGATCAGAGCCTACTGGTTGTGCAGCACCAGGCTAAAGGTCAAAGGTGACAGATCATTTGCTGCTGTGGCCCCCAGACTCTGGACCTCTCTCCCCCTGAGCCTGAGATCAGTGGACTCAGTGGTCTCCTTTAAACTCACCTGTTCAGGCTGGCTTTGGTGTGACCTTCATCACTCTCTCCTTTTTCTGTCCTTATCCTTTCCCGGGATCCACTGATTTCTCTCTCCATTTGAAAAAATTTTCTTTTAATCACAATTTTTTTTGTTGCAATTTTAACATGTTATTTTTTATTCTTTTAGAAATCTTTTTTATACTCAAATATTTTGTATTTTTTTTTTGTTTTGTTTTTGTGAAGCACCTCATGAGTTTTATCTTGAAATGCACTATATAAAAATGGGGTTTCTTTCTTTCTTTCTTTCTTTCTTTCTTTCTTTCTTTCTTTCTTTCTTGATGTTTTACAGGGAAACAAGATGAGTGGGTCTCTTTTATTGAACACTGCGTAGAATCCTTACTAAAACCGTACTTAAGCTCAGCAAAAAAAAAGTACTTACGCCAAGAAGGTTTGTGATCTATCAAACATGGAGTACTGCACGCAATCTCCGCTTCATAAATCAGAAACTATCTAGAAAGGTTCTCAGCTGCTTTTTAGTCACATCCCGCCCTCACCACGCCCACTTACTGCCATAAATAGTCAATGCAAAGTGCCTTGTGGACCTCATGCATATATATAAGCCGGCTGTTGCAGAGCTCCGCCAATGGCGACCGTAGATCAAGGCAGATCAAGGAAGCGCAATTTCACAGAAGCAGAAGTTGAGGTACCTGTGGGTGAGGTGGAGAAATGAAAGGAAGTGCTTTTGCAAAACAAATAAGAGAAAATCCACGGAGTGGCACAGTGTTGCTGAAGCCGTCAATGCTGACTTCTTCAGAGAGATCTGTAGCGGATATAAAAAAAATGGTCCAATCTGGATTTTGTCCCCAGACTCCCGGGTGAAAGTCACGCTCGCTAACCAGTCAGCCAAACAGAGATCTCCCCTGTACAAGTAGCCAGGGTGCATGAACAATCGGGTCACAGTGACAGGACACACACTGTCACAGACGGATGATGTTCTGTCTCAATCTGTCCCCCCGCTGATATTCTGCATTCCGTATTCTGCGCTTCAGGCTGTGTGTGTGAATGTGGGGGGTCTTGTTCTGTGTGAAAACGAAGCAGTACAAGTGATAATGCTGCAGGATTTCATAATGGTACCCTGCTCAGCAGCAGCACTGCAGGTGTTCTCCATGTCCAACATGTGTGTAAGCCAGGTCCTTAGTCAACTTAAAGTTGTGCACATTTTTCCGCTAAGTTTTCTTTCATAAATCCCAAAGTTTGCGTGGAAAGCTGCTTACGTAGTTTTCCGACCCCGTTTTGTGCGTAAGCAAGCTTGATAAACGAGGCCCCAGAGAATTAACTCTTTACTTTGCAAATGTGCAAATCTCGGCTCATACAGAAGATGCTAAACTCACTTTAGCATCTTTTTGTGTTGCACGTGGGTCTGTGTGGGGCTGTCAGGGTCGGTACAACCAAAGTCAGTTTAGACTGAGTTTCCTGGTGACCTAAGTTGCTCCAAAAGTAGAACAAGTTTAAAAACAGTAGGACAAACAACACGGTGTTGGTGTAGTTACCTGTTATTCTGTCTTTTACAGGTGAAGCTCCTAAAAGTGAAACCAGTGAGTAGAGTTCTGCTACTTACATGTTAGTTAAGCTGTGTGTTTGTCTGCCGTTGTGTCCTGTTTGTCAGTCTCCTCACACACACACACACACCCGCACACACACACACACACACACACACACACACCCGCACACACACACACACACACACACACACACACACACACACACACACACACACACACACACACACATGCACACACCCGCACATGCACACACACACACACACACACACACACACACACACACACACACACACACACACACACACACACACACACACACACACACACACACACACATGCACACACCCGCACATGCACACACCCGCACATGCACACACACACACACACACACACACACACACACACACACACGCACACACACACACACGCACACACACACGCACACAGGCACACGCACACACATACGTGCACACACACACACACACACATACATGCACACACATACGTGCACACACACACACACACATACATGCACACACACACACGCACACACACACAAACACACACACATGCACGCATGCACACAAACACACACGCACACACACACACAGGCACACGCACACACAAGCACACACGCACACACACACACACACACACACACACACACACACACACACACACACACACACATGCACACACACACACACACACACACAGCAGTACTGGGGAGGACTGTTGATTTAGTAGAGCTTGTCTTGGCTAGTAAAAGCTAACCATTAGCATTAGCAACTCCACAGCATGGCAGAACTCCTTCGGGTTTGTGTTTGTGGAGATAAAACATCAACATTACAGAGCAAACGGAGGCAGTGGAAGAGTTGCATTGCCATTAGCCAATCAGAGGGTGAGATGTCCGAATATCATGAATAATAAGATTCCAAATCCTGCCGTTTTCGACCCTCCATATATACACTGGACATTTTCCACAGGCTCAAATTATAAGTTGTTGTATCCAAATGGGAGGTTCCCACTACCGCCATTTTGACCGTGTCACACGTCTAGTCACGCCCATACAATCCAAAAACGGGAAAAGAGGTGGAGCCAGGGGTGGGGCTGTTACGTTTGGGACAGGGTTGGTACAAATGAACCAGTGTAGCTACTAGCTAACTTAGCTAACCCAAGAAGCTAAGAAGGGCACCGGGGACTGGAGTAGCCCACCCACACAGCCGACTGGCTCCTGTGCGAGGCTGTAGTCATGCTGGTTGCCTGTGGAGATCTTTATGGACTGTTAAATTACAAGCAGAGCCTCAAACCGCTGCGATCTTAGCCGGGCGCCGTGGCCTTTTATGTCAGCTCATGCTCCACGGTCGGAGATCAGTGGGACATTAACTACATGCTAACCTGAAGCTAACTGAGTTTTTCCAGGCATTTTTAGCAACTCTTAGACCAAGCAGAGTTATGATAAATGCATATAATTCTCCCCCACTCAACCAGCAAACTATTGGCAAGAAAAATGCGGTTGAGTGACTCAAAAGTGAAGCAGTGTCAATAAAAAGAAGAGCTGCAGTGTTTCTGTGGTCTCCCCAGAGATCCACAAGTGACCAGCATGACTACAGCCTCGCATCGGAGCGGTCTGCGGTAAACGGGAACAGACAGCCACCTGCTCTAACAAACGCTCTCAGGTGGGAGACAGGAGAAGCTGGGCACCAGCTCCAGTTTCTTATGCAGCCCCACTAACATGTCTGACCAAGCACCCCCCCCCCCCCCCCCACACACACACACACACACACACACACCCGCCAGTGATGGAGCCTGCCAAACTCCAATGGGCAACGAGTTCCAAACGCTTTGGGGCAGCGTGCACAAATGCTCGCTCACCCCGCGATTTCTATCGCATCCGGGGCGTGCACAGCAGCAGGAGGTCAGCCGACCTCAACGTGCACGTGGGTACATATGGAGTGAGCAGGTCAGAGAGACAGGGAGGTGCCAGGTCGTTGAGTGCTTTAAGTCAGTAACTTAAACTGTACTCTGAAAATGACAGGGAGCCAGTGAAGATGTTCCAGGACAGGGGTAATACGGCTACGTCGGTGCGTATTTGTCAAGAGCCTGGCAGCAGCGTTCTGGATGACTTGCGTAGTCCAGGCGAGAGGTAATGAAGGCATGGATGACTGACTCAAAATGCCTCCACATCAAGATTTGTCTGAGGCGAGTCAGGCGACAAAGCTGAAATGTCCGAACATCTGTCAGCGCAAAGCCGAGGCCTTTCTCTGGAGCTAGCTCTGAAGTCACGTGGCTCCGATGCTCATTAATTATTCTAAATTTTAAGTATTAAATTACACTTGAACAGAAAATCTACAAGGCAATCGAAACTAGATCTATTAAATCTAAAATGGTTCTTTTAACCAGGCTGTAAACATGTTTATCTCTGCTGTCAAATGGGCATTTTTAACATGGAAGTCAATGAGGATTTGCTCGCTTCTGGTGCCAGCCCCTAGTGGTTGAGAGTGGAACTGCACTTTCCCCCTTCCGAGATTTTTATCTTGAGAGGCGCTTTAGAAAATTTCTTCTTCTTCTTCTTCTTCTCCTTCTTCTTCTTCTTTTTCTTCTTCTTCTTCTTCTTCTTAATTCTTCTTTTTCTTCTTCTTCTTTTTTCTTTTTCTTCTTCTTTTCTTCTTCTTTTTCTTCTTCTTCTTTTTCTTCTTTTTCTTTTACTTCTTTTTCTTTTACTTTTTCTTCTTCTTTTTCATTTTCTTTTTCTTCTTCTTTTTCTTCTTCTTTTTCTTTTACTTCTTTTTCTTTTACTTTTTCTTCTTCTTCTTTTTAATTTTCGTTTTGTTTTACTTCTTTTTCCTTCTTTTTCATTTTCTTCTTCTTTTACTTTTGCTTCTTCTTTTTCCTTTTCTTTTTCTTCATTTTCATTTTCTTCTTCTTCTTTTTCTTTCTTCTTTTTCTTCTTCTTTTACTTCTTTTTTTCTTTTACTTTTTCTTCTTCTTTTACTTTTTTCTTTGTCTTCTTTTACTTCTTGTTTTCTTCTTCATTTTCATTTTCTTCTTCTTTTTCTTCTTTTTCTTTTACTTTTCCTTCCTCTTTTTCTTTTCTTCTGCTTCTTCTTCTTTTTCATTTTCTTTCTTCTTCTTTTTCTTCTTCTTTTACATCTTCTTCTTCTTCTTCTTCTTATCTTCACTTTCACCTCAGAATTATGGGGGCTTGGTTTCAAACCACACTCCTCCGGCTAACTTCTACTTTGTGAAACAAGAGTGAGAGAGCTTTCTAAAAGGTGAATGAGAGCTTATAAAATGCCAGTTTACCTTGGCCCAATGCACAGAGACGTTTATTTTACGTACAAGCTCAGTGGAACTGAAAATCTAATTTTGAAGAGTTGAGCCAGTTTTCTGTAATGTAACTCTTTTTCTCTGACAGCGACTGGTGTGTCTAACTATGATGCATCTGATGGACCTTCTGCCTCATCAGATGGAGTGGCTGACCCTGCTCTGGTTCCTACTCCAATTCTGACTCCATTCACTGACAGCTCTGCCACCACTAACCCTAAAACCGTTAGTGATACCCAGACTTATATAAACGCTGCTGATGGGACACCTGCACTCATTGGTAGTACTACTTCAGATACTGGTAGTACTGATAACAGGCCCTCTACCACTACCAATAGTGTGTTTTTGTATACAATGAGTACTGTGGAGAGCACAGAAAAGGCTCTTACAACATCAGATGTGTTCAGTAGCTCTACCACCGCTGACACATGGAGTATCACTGCCCCAGAAAGAGTTACTGATGCTGATACTACTACTACAGTCAGTCCTACTGGTAGTGGTAGTACTACGAGTAGTTTCATGGTTAACACCGATACTACGACTTGCTTCACTTGTACAAGTGATGCTGATGTTCCGTTAGACTTATCCCAGACCACTGGCAACAGTCCTGTAGGTTTTCCTGCCACCACTGTCAGCTCAGTGATGACTGAAGCGGACTTGAGTAGGACATCAGGACCTTCAGGAGAAACAGCTACACCAAACACCTCAGATTTGGAGACTGGGGACCGTTTGTTCACACCAGTTTTCACCAATCCCAGTGTGACCACTAGTAGCTATGGTCCCAGCAGTACCAACCCAGTAATCTCAGGCATAAATAGCAATCTGGGGGTTTCTGGGACTGATTCGGTGTCTGGATCCTTGAGCACCACTTCAGGCTTCACCTTATCTGGGGATTTTAATGCTGACCTGGTGACCAGTCTTATTCCACCTTCTGTTGGTGTAGTGCCATCGTCCAAAGACCCGAATTCAGCAACCACTCCAGAACTAACACCTTCCAGAGACCTGGCATCATTTGGAGATCTTCTGCCAACTGGTTCTGCACCAACCACACAAGAAGTAGAGGATTCACTGGAAGCAGGATATGGGACCACCTCTGCTGCTGAAAGCCTTTCAGAACCTCCTCTGGATGCTTCTCTCCCAGATGTTCCTTTGAATGTACAGTCTTTGGATCGTTCTCCTAATGAAGCTATTCCTGTAACCCAATCCCTTGGTGTACTTTCTCCAAAAGTGCCTCTGTCTGATGTACCTCTGAAAGAAGCATTTACTGAGTTACCTCCTCCAGAGCCGACTTCAGGAATACCATCCTCTACAGATCAAGTTACGTCGATCGATATGCCTCCTTCAGACGTTCCTTTTGTAGGATCACCAACTGAAGTCGTCTTTACTGGAGTGTCCTGTCGTGAATCATCTCCTCCAACAGAGCCATGTTTTAAAACTCCAGGTGATTCAATGGGCGTAACTTCTCTAAACTCACCTCTTTCTGTCACAATTCCAAAGGAACCTTCTCCCGGTCCACAGTCTTCAAATGCTCCTCCCCCAGAGCTACAATCCTCTGGAAATCCAGACATTCTGAAGGAGACTCCTGGTCCTGCTCCTCCTGTCGAATCTTCAGTTCCTCCCTCTGGAGGAGAAAGAGAGGAGGCATCAGACAAAGTTTCTAGAACCTTAAGTGAATCAAACCTTTCAGCGAGCTTAAATTCAGAGCAAGAAAATAATCCAGAGTTTAAATCTGAACAAGGAGCTGCCGGTGGTCCACTTTCTAAGCAGGAAAGTGTTTCATCTGAGGACATCGCTCAACCCTCCGGAGAAGTCGAGCTGGAAGAAAAGAAAAAGTCCAACAAGGAGGAAACTGACGAGCAAGAACGGAGGAAAGGTAAAACGAAAAAACAACAAATAAAAGTAGTTAAGTAGAATTAGAGAGAAGTGAATCGGATAGCAGGGGAGCTTTTGGAGGACAATCCTGAAACGGCTTTATTTTGGGAGTAGTTCCTTTAAATGAGCGACTTAAGCAAGTTTCACAAAAGACTCAAAATTAAAATGTCACTACAATAATTTACAACACTTTTATTTGTTTGTTTGTTCACGCAAGCGCTAACGAGCAGCAAACCTAAAGAGGAGAAGACAAAAGACGAAAAAGGATTTGAGAAGAAAGGTATCAAACGAGTCCCATCTTTTGTCCTTCAGGCTAGAAGACATGTTTTCATCAGCCGCAGTAGAAAAAGTCATTAAGAGTGATTAGTCAGAACTACTAACTAACCATGTGACTGCTGGTGAGTGGAGTGTTGACCCCTGACCTGATGTTTCCATGGTTTCATGTCTCAAGCCACCCAGAAGATTCTGATCCCAGGAGGACCAAAGTTTAGTCAGTTGTCCAAGATCATTTATGTCAACTTCCAGGGTAAGATCGCTCTCCAGTAGCTGAGTTTCCACCTTTACCTGCCCCGACTCCTCAGCAGAGCGTGAACGCCCAAAGATTCCTGAAAGGTTTCAAAATGACCACAACCCGGTCAGGCTGGTGCTCTCCATCTGTATCCCTCTGTCCCATCCATGCTCACCTGTTTGGTGTGTGTGTAATGTGTTGGAGGTGGGGCTGTGTGTGTGTGTATGTGGGGTGGGGGTGGAGGGTGTCTGTAAGTGAGGTTTGTTTTCTAACCGTGTGTGTTTGGGGTCAGATGGGTGCCAAAACCCGTGCACGTGTATTCGGCGTGCACGGGTCCACATCGCACGTGCGAACGGGACTCGCGCTTGGAAGTTAGAACCTCTCGAGCGAAAATTTACATGGCAAGAGGTCATTTTTACACTGAGAGGGAGCAAACTGTGTCTGTGAGCGCACAAGGATGTGCACAAGCATGGACGTAATTTTGGGGGGGACAGGGGGGACATGTCCCCCCCCCCCCCACACACACACACACTTTTTCCAAAGTCAAGTTTTGACCCCTGCACTTTTTACCATCCAAAAACAATATTACGCTATATTAAATCAACACTGGTTGATCTCTAGGACCAAGCAGAAAACAACCGTTTGTGTTGAAGCCTGTTTCCCATTAGAGCATACTGTAAAGACACTATACCATACCCCCCCCCCCACACACACACACACACACACGTGTCCCCCCCCCCCCCCCCCCCACTTCTTAAGTGAAAATTACGTCCATGTGAACAAGTGACAAACCTGCGTGCGCGCGTTGGCCAAACATGCGCACGGCAGCCTCACTGCGAGCGCGCAGAAAGGTTGGTCAACGCGCGCACGCAGGTTTGTCACTTGTGCACATCCTAGTGCGCTCACAGACACAGTTTGCTCCCTCTCAGTGTACAAATGACCTGTCGCCATGTATATTTTCACTCGAGAGGTTCTAACTTCCATGCGCGAGTCCCCTTCGCACGCGAATACGCGTGCACAGGTTTTGGCACCCATCTGACACCATATGTGTGTTTCCATTAGACTGTGAGTGTAACGGTCACTCCAACCGTTGCAGTTACATCGAATTAATCAATGTGGTCACCTGTGTGAGCTGCAAACACAACACACGAGGACACAACTGCCAGTACTGTCGCCTCGGTTACTATAGAAACGCCTCGCTGCCGCTGGATGACGAGAACATCTGTGTCGGTGAGAAAACCAGCACATTAGAACAAAAACACTTACCAACACAAAGATGGTCATGGTGTGTGTGTGTGTGTGTGTGTGTTTCAGAGTGTGAGTGTAATCCTGACGGCAGTACTCATCCTCACTGCTCTGATGATGGACTCTGTCGCTGTAAGCTTGGAGTCACGGGGAGGCGCTGTGACTCATGCTTACCTGGTTACACCTGGCGAGAAGGTGGAGGCGGATGTAAAGGTAACACAGACGAACTCTCAGTCACTCTGCTTGTTTCCAGTTTAGAGCAACTCCATGTCACCGTTTCTCCCTCAGAGAATGCGTGTGACTCGGAACGACTCGTCTGTCAGAACGGCGGCACCTGCGTTGACTTTCAGGGCTGTGTGTGTCCAGACACCTATACAGGTAAGTGCACACCTGAATGCTGACACAGCTTGTGCATGGGGAGGGGGGTGTCAGCTAGAACTGACGATGTTGCGGATGCCTGTGCAGGAACGTTCTGTGAGAAGAACGTCTGTCTGAAGAAAGGTGGCTGCTCTGAAAATGCTGCAGGATCTCCGCTGACGTCACACGTCTACCTGCTGACCCTCAGCCTAATCACTGCCTCCTTCTCCTGACCACGCCCCCTCACACCAACAGCTCATCTTGTTTTCTGGTGGGACCGGATGTGACATCCCACTCAGACATCAGAGCGACTGGCTTCTCAGCAGTTTTGCTGAAAATGTTATTCTGTGGATGAATGTTTCTAGTGTTTGGGTTTCATGACATCACTCCACGCTTCTCCGGTGCTCCACAAATATGTACTATAGTACCCAGAATGCCTCAGTGTAACAAAACACCCGAGGTGTACCTTCCCTTTAACTCCAACAACCTCTCAGCAGCTGAGAGCTCTAAATATCTGCCTTGGGAGGTTCACAGATGTTCACAAAGGAAACGTTCTGCTGGTCACAGTTTAGCCGTCATCTCATGAGTCAGCCTGAACATCCGCTTCATTTTCATCATTTTAAAAATTGTTGTACCTAATTTAATGACAAACCTGCTAATGAAGATATCTGACACAAATCATCCTTTCACCAGAATTAGCGTTCATCCACGCAGGATTTAGGACGTAAGGAAATGAATGCTGCCGCCTCGTCTTGGCAGAGGGGGTTTGAGTGTGGAACCAACGGCAAGCAGGTCCTTGATCAGACAAAGTGCAGCCCAAACAGCCCTCATGATGATAGGAATGCTGGCCACAGTGGCCCCCCCTCTGGGGCCAGGCCTGCAGATGGAGCACTCAGAAGAACAAGAAGAGTTCAGATACCAGTGATGAACTTTCTCCTCAAGCCGGGCGGACACTCTGTGACTTTTTCACTTTTTTGAGCCGATTTTCCACTCGTGCGAGAATCCACGAGATCGGGGCGAGTTTAGCGCCGAGCGTCGTGTAGTGTACAGGGGGTTACGAGAGGCGATTAACACCACGTGACCAGCTACCGATCAGCAATCGTAAGCTAGCACGGACTTCTGGTGTGTTTGATATTTCGCTCGTCCCTCGTGAGAGTATCGCACTGTCGAAGCGGCGCTGCGAGCGACCCAAAAAGTATCAGAACCGCTCACGGCGCATGCGCAATCATGCATCAACACCGCTCGCCTGCTATTTCCCTAATAACACACGTTGTTCGTTTTTATTTCTACACGGTTTTTTACTCACAAAGATTGTCAATAAAGCGTGTTTGACGTGTTCATGTCAATTAAACTGATCACTAAACACAGATTTACTTTCTTTATTTTGTTTTCCTCATCCAACCCCCATAAATCCCTGTGTGTCCTCCTGCAGCACTCCCGAAGGACAACAGGCAAGTTGTGTAAAAACTGCTATTTTTAGCATATTTTTAGGTCCGACGTGTTGCTACCAGACGTGCATCGTGAGCACATGGCACGTGAGATCTGCCCTGCGAGGAAGTCGTAGCTGAAGCGGAGCGCTACGGGTGAAAAAGTCGCACAGTGCCGTCGTCAGTTGATCCCAGCCTTACAGCCCCACCCTCAGCTCCTCATCTCTTCCCTTTTATGGAATTGTCTGGGCTGGACGGAACCTGTGACACGGTCAAAATGTCGGTGGTGGCCACCTCCCATTTTAGCACAAAAACTTGTTATTGGAGCCTATGGAAACCCATTGTCCATATATTAATGTCGATGGTGTCCGCCCAGCTTTAGAGATCAGGTGGGAAGTTTGGTCATCCAGGAAGGGCTCAGAGTAGATCTTCTGCTCCTCCACACCGGCAGGTGGCTCAGGCATCTGGTTACCTCATGGACGCCTCCCTGGTGAGGTTTTCCAGGCATCCAAACAGGAGACCAAAGGGAAGACCCATAATGGAGGGACTATGCTTCTCTGACCAGGGAACACCGTAGTAGCCTACTTCCACCGGAGGAGCCCCTAAACCCGAACCTGGCCCCAGATAAGCAGGGAAAATGGATGGACACTAAAAAATAAACCCAGCGTTCATCTGTCCCACTTTGTGCCTGGCTGGAAGTTTTATTGTAGTAGAAATAAACAACTAGTAAATCATGATCAGATATTAAAGTTGTTATTTAACTGGTAGAGCAGAGCACTAATAAAAGTTTTATAGAGCTTTCTGGAGTAAACTTTAAATGTCACAAAGTGTCTTTTTAGATCATTAACTTTTCATTCCTTTGATCACAACAATCATTTAAAGGAGACACGGCCCAAGCTGACTTCTATCCGACATTTCAAGTTTCCTGCATGAATCAAAACGCTACACGAAGCTGATCTCAAACATTTCTGACTGCTACCCAGCTTGCAGGTTCCACAGCTGTAAGTAGATAACTCTACAACAGTCCTCACATCCTAAAACCTCCAACTGCCTCACAACACAGACATGTTAACTGTGTATTTGGGAAATTATTGGAAAACTGGTTACAACTCAAATGCATTTTATTATAAATGTGGGTCTAATGTGTGATTATCAGAAACGAACAAGTCAGCTGACTAACACGGTTCATGTGGTTATTAAAACACGACATTCACAGAGAATTTCTGTTGATGTTTTTTATTTAAGTTATTCACAAATGCAAATATATGAGCTTTGGTAACAGTTACAATGCCTAGAAGGACAGAAAGGATGAAAAAAGAAAATAGAAAGAAAATATAAAAAAATGCTGGATCATAATTGGGGTATTAATATTCAAATGAAAACAGTAAAAATTTAGTTCAATAGTACAGAGAATGTTCTGTGTGTTGTGGATGTGGGTGACGTCATCAAGAAGCGCCCAGACAAGCATGGGACGAGTAGGTCTAGCCGGGGTGACTTTTCTGTCCGGAGCGGGAGTCGGAGCTTTCCTGAGCCACCTGTGGCGCAACAGATGCGGGAAGGAGGAGGACAGGCCAGGGCTGCTGAGCCGGGTTCCGGTCATTCCCGTTCCAGGACTGCCAGCGGTCCAGGCTTCCGAACTGACGGTGAGTGCACCGGTTTGACACCGCGGTCAAGTGAGCCAATACACGGAGTAGTATGGCAAGCCGGTCGGATCAATAATCGCCCACTTAAGGATATTTAACGGCGTCTAAATCGCCGTCTTTAAACAAAAAACGCCGGAAAAGTGGCGAAAACCCCTTCAGTACGCCGTCTTCAGGTAGTATTTTGGAACGCCGTAAAAACGACGTTTATTCTGGTCATTGAACGCCGCACCGAGGCACTTCGGACGCGTTCTCAGAACGGCGCAAAAGACGGCGCTTTTGACAGCCTTGCGTGACTTTTCCGACGGCGTAGAAGACTCCGTTTTATTTTTGATCATGCAGACCACTCCCAAAGGTTTTCTGAGCCACTTAGTTTAAACCGCGATCGCCCAATCCGTAGAGAAAATACAGACAGCTGTAGGTCATCCTAGATGCTACTTCCTGCTTCCTGTAGATGCTACTTTATGCTTCAATTCACCAAAATGACCTCATCTATAGTACTGATAGTTGCATTGGCTCATGGTAAACATAATTTTATTACTGCTAATAGCATTGATATGAATACAATACAGACACGGAGTACGGTCTAATGTGATACTGGGAATCAGACTTGTACCAGTAACATGTACTCGCCACTAGGGGCACCCTCACGTAAGCCAAAAGCAACGGGGAATTTTTTTTTAGTGGGTTTTGGCAATCTGCTGTACGTGTTAGGATGAGTGGTGTCAAAAGTACTCACATTCATCACTCAAGTAAAAGTATAGATACAAGGTTTTCAAAAGACTTTTTCAGAAGTTGAAGTATCAACTCAAGCTTTTTATTCAAGTAAAAGTATAAAAGTAATGGTTTCAAAATTACTTAAAGTAAAAAACAGAAGTAATGTAAGGGAATAAAAATGACATTAATAAGCTTGGGTCATGCCGCAGGGACAACAGTCCACACACAGAACAACATACAGTTACCAATAGGCCTTGTTCAGCCGCAAAAGCACCTGGCTCTCAAAGTTCTTTGAGCTCATGCTCTTCTTGGCCTGAAGATCAGCCCCGCAAACACCAAACAGTCTTTCACAGGCTGCTGAGGCAGGCAGTGCCATATTAAGCTCAAGTGAAAGCTGGCACACAGCTGGGGAGGACCTCAGCACCTCTAATGTTTCTCCAGGGCACCCAAGGTACGCATCCAACTGCTGACTCGTTTCAAGCGGGCCGGTCTTCTTCTTCTTTTCCTCTTTGAAGAAGACCGGCCCGCTTGAAACGAGCCAGCAGTTGGATGCGTACCTTGGGTGCCCATCTTTCAATTCTGCAGTCAGTTAATTAAGTTCTCTAGGCAACAAGGAATAGAGCTCAACTCAATGCGTTAAGTCACACCATTTATTGTGTTCAAGGTTGGGTTCTAACTCAATCCGAGTTCATTCACATGAAAAAATAAACCATAAAAAAATTACTGTGAATTGTTTGACTCTACAGCTTCATACAGCAGCTGGAAGATTTTGAACTGGACTGACATTTTCTTCTCAGAAGGTATTTTTCCAAGCAAGTCAGCAACAACACGTCCAAATCTGATATCTTCGGTGTCATTTAGGACAGCTCTGTCATGCTCAATCCTGTCGAGCCTTTTGAGCAACAAGTCATCCATCATCTTCCTCCTCTTTGGTGCTGGGCCTGGACTCATTAAGACACTGGTTAAACCTGAACAGAAAAGCAGTTTTGTAAATATTTTAAAATACATTTCCAATTAACGTTCTTTCCAGAACTGCGCTGCTCTGGGTGGCTGCATGTCGGAGTAGCTCTGTTGACTATATGTAAGTTTTGCCTTTTCTTGGGCATTTTTTCTTCTAGTTTCTCAAGAAAAACTGTATTTTTTGGACACTTAACTTTTCTGTTTCTGGTGCTGTGAAGCTTGGAGGATTTTTACTGCTATTTTTTTTTTAGCTTTTTTCACTTTTTGAGCATTTGTTATGATGCGTAACCATGACAACAAGCTGGTTTACAATCGGGAGCAGCTGATTAACATTGGAAAGGCTGAAATAATACCTCAACTGAAGCCACAAATCCCAAATGAGCTAAAATGCGAGAAGCGTGGGTGCAGAGCGGGAGCAAAACGGAGACAGAGAACGAGAAAATTCAAACCATCTCTTCCATCGATCATAATGGGCGATGTGAGATCACTGGCCAACAAGATGGAGGAACTCCAAGCCCTTTCAAGGACTCAGCCAGAGTTTCGGCAGTTTCGGAACCGCTGGAGGAGATAATGCAAAGAAGGATTCTCCAGAGAATCAAGAAAATGATGGACAACCCTGAGCATTCTCTTCACAAGACTGTCCGACAACGGAAGAGTGTCTTCAGTCAGAGGCTTCTTCAGTTTGGCTGCAACACTGACCGCTACTGGAGATCCTTCCTGCCAACAGCCGTTGTATTATACAACAACTCTTTGATGACTTGATTATTGTTATTATTCTGAGCTACTACAGCAATCAGTTTCCCTCTGGGATTAATAAAGTATTTTTGAATTTTGAATTGAACTAAGTCTTAGTACAACTGCACGTACCACCACTGGATCCTGGAGAGGAGCAGACCTTTTCCATTGGAGGAAAACGTGTCTTGGAGGGTGCTTGGGCATATTGGCGTTGGGACAGGGGAGGTTGGGGAATCAGACTGGAGGAGATCTGCATCTGAATCCTCCTCAACCTTTAAAATAAAATAAATAAAATAAAATTAACATACACATATTTTATTGAAGCTGTTTGTTATTTAGCATTAACAGAAAAAAAAATAAAGTCTTTCTATGAATCCTGTGATCAGACACATTTCTTAAACCTTCACAGAAAAATAACTTTACCACGGCTGATGTCACGTTGGTTTCTGTTGCTCTATGTTTAATGAAAGTCGAGAGCCAACTCGGCTCTTTTAGAATTGGTGGAGCATTCTTGTTTCCACCAGGATCACCGCTTTTCCCTTTGTTCCCCTTCCTTGCCTTCCCATATCGCTCCCTCATGTTTTTCCAGCATTTTTTAACAGCGTTCTCGTCTTTTCCGACAGTGCGAGCTATTTCTCTCCAAGAATTATTAACAACATGTTGATCACGGTGATCTCTGAGAGCTGAATCATACAAATGTCTGTATTTACGAACCTCTGCCGTGCCGGTCCGCCATGTTTTTCCGTGTCCGACCGTCCGCGTGGTTACAAATTTTCCTAGGTGCGCGGTGCGCAGTGTTGCCAGATCCAAAATCCCACAATATCGTACAGAGAGGCTTAAATTATCGTTTTTCAGTACAAATTATCGTACATTATACATTTGATAATAACGTTCTATAAACGACTTCTCACTCCAATATAATATAACAAAGAAGGTGTTTTATATTGCACTGTTTAAATAAACATCTTTAAAACCAGTAATATAATGCTTATAAACGTGCAGAGTGTGTCGGCACCACTCCGACCTCCACGCATTGACACAACATGCACATTTGCGCAGTCCTGTTTATTTCATTTCTACATAGGTTAAAAGCACGCAACTAAACATCACAGCAGTGGAAAAACTGACCCAATAAATGACAAAGCAGCCGACTCACCTAGTTGCTGATCTCGATCTCCTCATCTGATTCACTGTCTGTCACAGCAGAATGCCTTTAATCACCTGTACTAACTGGTCTGTGCTTCTCATTGCAATGTTGTGCTGGGCTAAAAAGCCACAAAGCTTGATTTCAGCGTTTTTCACATCATTTTCAAACTTCTCTTTTTCATTAGTTTGTAGGAGACATTTATAAACCTGTAAGCACTGAGGTGAAATCTGACTTCAGAACAGTTTAAAATTATGTAATTGACTTGGGAAAGCCACAGCAAAAGATGGTGTTACTAGATGCAATGTGAAATTATCGTACATTTGAGGATTTTTGAAACTATTGATCGTACATCGTACAGAGCCCAAAATTATGGTACAAATACGATAATTATCGTACATCTGGCAACACTGGCGGTGCGGAAAGTTTGGGCCGTGCGGAGGCGCGGCGGAGGGGCGTGGTTGTTAAAATGATGCAACTTTTCCACGCGGAGCCGTGCGAACCTCGCGGACGCGTCAAGCATAAACCAAGCTTTATTCTATTGCATGTTTGTCACACAATGTTTCTGATCATCAAACACTTTTAACCGTTAGTCAAAGATAACACAAGTAAACGCAAAATGCAGTTTTGAAATGATGGTTTTTATTATTTAGGGAGAGAACTAAATCCAAACCTACATTGCCCTGTGTGAAAAAGTAATTGCCCCCCTTATTATCCACAAATGGCAACAACATGGAACAGTGGTGAACCTTCCCAGGAGTGGGCGGCTGACCAAAATTACCCCAAGAGCGCAGAGACTACTCATCCGAGAGGTCACAAAAGACCCCAGGACAACTTCTAAAGAACTGCAGGCCTCACTTGCCTCAATTAAGGTCAAAGTTCATGACTCCACCATAAGAAAGAGACTGGGCAACAATGGCCTGCATGGCAGATTTCCAAGACGCAAACCACAGTTAAGCAAAAAGAACATTAGGGCTCGTCTCAATTTTGTTAAGAAACATCTGAATGATTGCCAAGACTTTTGGGAAAATACCTCGTGGACTGATGAGACAAAAGTTGAACTTTTTGGAAGGCAAATGTCCCGTTACATCTGGCGTAGAAGTAACACAGCATTTCAGACAAAGAACATCATACCAACAGTAAAATATGGTGGTGGTAGTGTGATGGTCTGGGGTTGTTTTGCTGCTTCAGGAACTGGAAGGCTTGCTGTGATAAATGGAACCATGAATTCTACCGTCTACCAAAACATCCTGAAGGAGCTTGTCCGGCCATCTGTTCGTCAACTATGCCTGGTTCATGCTTCTCCGTCAGCTCCGCATGGGACAGACACGCACAGATTAACGGAAGTGTTTTGCTCTCATACTTTTCCGTTTGCTGAAGGGGCGTTGTAAAGCAATTCTCCGCCAGGACAACAGAGGGCGTAGCGTAGGTTGCAGTACAGTGACGTACTATTTCCTTGGAAATCACTTCCGCGGTCTGAAAAATGGAAAGCAACAAGAGACAGAGAATTTGGATCGAGTTGGAACTGTGATCTAGACGAAGAAATGCTTATCCTGCTGTAATACCAGCGAGAGCTTAAAAGGAGACAGTGGCGTCGGTGGGATGTCCGTCTGCTAAACAGGTCTAGGCAGACAACAGGCAAATTTTCAGGACTTGTGCAACCTTTGAGGGACATGGGCGCGGAAATGCATTTCAGGTATTTTCATATGTCGGTTGACAGATTCGATGAGCTGGTTCGGTGATTGAAACCACTGATAAATCACCAGGGGACACACAGCTTACCGATAGCTGTTGCCCAGAGACTGGCAGTGACTCTGCGTGTTTTGACTTCTGGTAGCAGTCAACAGGCTGTAGCTTCCAGCTACAAAATGGCGTCCAACAGTGTCGACGATTGTTTCAGAGGTCTGCAGTGCGTTGTGGGAAGCACTGCAACCGGATTACCTGCCATGTCCTTCTACTAACCAGTGGGCAGCCATTGCAGCAGATTTTTGGCGTCTTTGGAACTTCCCAAACTGTGTGGGGAACCTGGATGGCAAACATGTGACTATCAAAGCACCACCAAATGCTGGGAGTGACTACTTCAACTACAAGGGCACTCACTCCAGTGTGCTGTTGGCAACATGTGATGCCCAATATCGATTTACGTTGGTGGACGTCGGTGGGTATGGACGGGAAAGTGATGGTGGTGTGTTTAAAGAAAGTGTCTTTGGTTCCACTCTGCTGAACCGGCCACCTCCCGCGTTTCTCCTTGGAACCAGGACCGAAGCACCACACATGCTAGTTGCTGATGCTGCCTTCCCCCTGCACATCAACATAATGCGACCTTTTCCAGGTATGCGACTAGCCATATGTTTCACATTTAAAATGGCAAGTGTGTCATCATGTGTATTAAGTTGTGGTTATGTTCTGTTGAATAACACTCATTGCTGCCGTTTTTAATTTCAGGACATAATTTGGAGAAGGATAAGCTGATCTTCAATTACCGCCTTCCCAGAGCCCGGCGTGTCATTGAAAACAGCTTTGGGATCCTAGCGGCGCGGTGGCGAATTCTTGGGAGGGCCATCGAGTTCCACCCAGATAAAGCTGTGAAGGTTGTAAAGGCGTGTGTGGTTCTCCACAACTACCTGGCTTACTGCAATAATGCCAACACACCAGAGAGCCGATACATCCCACCCACTTTTGCTGACAGCGACTCGGCAGGAGTGGTGCACCCTGTAGATTGGCGGAGAATGGTGGACGGTGACTCCAATCTGCTACCGGTCAACACAAGGATGATGTGCAAGAGCCGCTCAGACAGGAATGCCATTTGTGTGAGGAATGAACTGACAATTCTTTTCGTCACCAGCAGGAGGAGACTGTATCAGGTGGCACACTCACAGACTAGTTGTTGTCCATCCTAATCATAGCGCCTGATGGTAGTGTTCTGTTTTAGTTTCTGTTTACCAGGTCTATTTTCTAGTGCCTTGTTCACTGCCGTTTAAATGATTATACAGCTCATATTTTGTTATGCAAGTGCTACTCGTAATAAGAATAAACCCTGTTGTAGTGGAATTTTTTTTAAGAAACTGTCTGCTCTTTGGAGCCTAGTCAAGAGTGCAAAATATTGTGTGCAAATGGATGCCAAATAACTGAAAATGAAAAAATAAACTGTAAATGGAAGAAAAGAGACTTTGCTTTTAATAGAAAAGAAACATGTAAATGAAACACTTCTATTGGGAATAAAAATTAAAACATGCAAATAAAAAAAAAACTTTAAACACATTTCAGTCCTCCAGAAGGTCGCACACACACGAGATGAGGTTGCGCCTGGCCACCACCTGCTTGTGTTCAGGGACCCTCCTCAGTAGGTCGGCTAGCATCTGCCCAAATCGGTCATATTCATCGTCCTTCTGCAGTCTCTCACTGAGCTCTTTCCTGCGTCTGTCAATTCGGGCAATTTGGTCAGAAAAGAAGTCATCCAATTGCTGCTGGCGCCGCCTCTTTATGAGAGCAGGTCGTGGTGTGCTGGTGGACTCTAGCCACTCATAGGTTGTTTGATCCATTGAAATGGATTCTCGGTCAAGGGAGGCATGGAGAGATGGAGATGAATTTGCTGAAGATGATGATGATGAATGTGATGAGCAGGTGATGTGAGCAGGATCCAGTGAGGATTCATCCTGCTGTTGAGAGGCAGGCAGCGATGACCCCCGAAATTGTGATGATGGAGCTGGGGCCTCATCCTGTGAGGATCCACACGAGGCCTGGTCCTGAGGTGGTTCAGTTGAAGCCTGGTGTTCAACAAACACAGGCGTATAGTTATCTCTTTATTACTTACATACACTGGTAAAAACAGAATGCAAATATAATTATTAATCGGTTTAGGTAATCACAGTAGTATAGAAAGATGAATTTGGATGACTTTGATGAAAGCTTTTAACTAGAACTGCAGCTTGTTAGCACTAGGGATGCACCGATAGATCGGCATTTGATCGTAATCGGCCGATAGCGCCCCTATCGGTTTTAATCTGAGTTTTCAAAATAGATCAAAGCAGACCGATCAGGTAGGGTTGTCACAGTAACCAGTGTAGCGGTAAACCCTGGCAAAAAAAAAAAGTTGACAATAATAATAACCGTCTTGTTTTTAAAACATATATTATCTCGGTGGTTTACCGTGGCTGCGGTGTAGGCGCGGTGACCCTTACCAGCCACCGTATCATCTGCTGAAGTTGCCGGCGGCACATGCGCACTTTGTTGTTTACAACCCAAACTTTCTTGAAGCTAAAGCTGAAATAATGGCCAAAGGAGGAGACGGCAGTGCTCAGGACATTTATTATCCCTCAAAGAAGACAAAGTGGGAAGTACAGGCATCTTTTGGATATTTGAAGAATGCCGAGGGACAGCTGATAGAAGACGGCTATCCTGTTTGCAGCACGTGCAGAAAAAGTGTCTGTGAAAGGCAGCAACGCTTCAAATCTCATGACACATCTGCATGACCATCACCCACAACTCTACAGTCAACGCAAGGCAAGCTAACGTTAGCGTTTTAGCTAAAATCCGAGGATTTGGGTTGAGGGAGAATGCAACGAGTCGTTATATAAAGCAGCCGCAGCGCCGCTACCTGCATATAAACCGTGTCGCGGACACCGCCATGTTGAAATGACGCTATGCATTACGGGGCTCCCAGGGGCCGATAAGAGTTGGTCTCTCTCCGAGAATAATTATGAATTTAACAACGATTACTGCCTGATGGCATTTTCCCAAATCTGCAAAGCTCACTGGAAGGACACAAACCGAGGATGATATTTTCCTGATATAGGGTTTATTACTCAAGTACGGGTAAAAAAGTATCTGATTAGAAGGCTACTTGAGTACTGAGTATCATCTGATGTAATATTTTTAAATGATGACAACAGACATAAAATAAGAAGTTATGGGCAAAAATTGGTATTTAAAGACTAAAGGGGAAAAATGTAAACAAATAAACAACATAATTACAAAATAACACATTTTAGGCAAAATTTAGACACAAACTGACGACAATATTTTCCTGACATACAGGGTTTATTTAATTGTGTGAAAATGTAGCACGTTCAAAAAAAAAAAACATACCGCGATAATACCGAAAACCGTGGTAATTTTGGTCACAATAACTGTGAGGTTAAATTTTCACACCATGACAACCCTAATACAGACCATTTTAGATTAGGTTGCATTTCCTTTATTCCCAGATTATAGTTTGTAGCACTCATAATGTTGTAGAAAATTTCTGGCCAATCCACGTGATCGGTATCGGTGATCAGCATTCTTTGATATCGGTATCGGTGATCGGCAGCAAAAAACCTGATCGGTGCATCCCTAGTTAGCACCATGTGTAGCTGGAAGCACAGACAACCAGGAAGTACAAACATAGCGTGCTAAAGTAGTTACCTTGAAATTTGAAGATGTGGGTCTATGCTTTATGTGCAGCTCCAACCACGAAAGCATAACATAAAAAGCCGGAACCTTTTTGCTACGTGGATCGCCACTGGTGCCCCTCAAGCTTTTTTTTAATTCGGACAAATTTGTCCCGCATGCTCCTCCACTTCTTCATGCAAATGTGGGCAAGTTCCTTCTAGGAGTTGTAAATGACCTGGGCATCTTTATAGTTTTTCAAAGACGGATTATATAAATGTTCATATTTCCGTACTTCCTCCGCTAGACGTTCCTCGAACTGGTCCATATCTACTTGTTTACCACACACGACTCCGGCACTGTTGACAAATTTAAAGGAAATGGCGTCATGACGGAAGGGATCTCAGGTTTCTGGACCAACCAGTCACAAGCTTGCGTAATCCGTCTCCTTCGACGGATATTTAAAAAAGTGGGCTTGACTCCGTACGTACTTGCGTGCCTGCCGGAGCCCTACGCAAGAACGGATAACGGCGTTGCGTGTCTCCGCGCTGACGCAGATGGAGAAGCATGAATCAGCCTTAAAGCTGAAGCCATCTTGGGTGCTGCAGCAGGACAATGACCGAAAACACACCAGCAAATCAACCTCTGAATGGCTGAAGAACAACAAAATGAAGACTTTGGAGTGGCCTAGTCAAAGTCCTGACCTGAGTCCTATTGAGATGCTAGGGCATGACCTTAAAAAGGCGGTTCATGCTAGAAAACCCTCAAATAAAGCTGAATTACAACAGTTCTGCAAAGATAAGTGGGCCAAAATTCCTCCAGAGCGCTGTAAAAGACTCGTATCAAGTTATCGCAAACGCTTGATTGCAGTTATTGCTGCTAAGGGAGGCCCAAGCAGTTATTAGCTTCAGGGGGCAATTACTCTTTCACACAGGGCAATGCAGGTTTGGATTTTGTTCTCTCTCTAAATAATAAAAACCATCATTTCAAAACTGCATTTTGTGTTTACTTGTGTTCTCTTTGACTAACGGTTAAATGTGTTTGATGATCAGAAACATTTTGTGTGACAAACATGCAAAAGAATAAGAAATCAGGAAGGGGGCAAATGGTTTTTCACACCACTGCATACATTTGCATGGCAGGAATGTCGTCAGGCCAGAAGTAGGTTTTTGAGTTCTTTCATTGTGTAGAAAGTGTGAATAAGGTAGGTTTCATTCTAATCTTTAGTTCACCAACTCTATTTAGCTCTCTGCTCCGAGTCGGCTGTTGCGTTTCAGTTGCAAAGCGTTAACTCATTTACATACAAACAGGAAGCTCCCTGTGCGGAGTAGGCAGCAGCAAGGAGTCAACATTTACATTCAAACAGTCAAAAGAACCTGGGTGTGACTCTTTGTGGTCCCCCACATGACTTTAATTTATTTTCAACTAAATTTGGCTGATAACCTCTTAACAGAGACACTTAGGGTCTGAGCGCACACTCTCAACACAGACAGGATCATGCCTATGTTTAGTACATGCTTTACCAACCAGATGTAGACTATAGATTTGCACAATTTAACCCTTTGATGCATAATGGTCACTACAGTGGACAGGTACTCAAAATTGTTTATTTATTTTTACTATTAAGCACAGCTGTTGAAGACTTTATTGCATGTGAGCCCCTCCATTTGGACTTCAGTAAGTCAAGCCAACATATTTCATGTTCAGAATGCACACTGTCCACTGAGGTGCACATGTAAGAAATTATTTGTAAATTAAATGTCACAAAAATACGTAAAAATGAAATCTGTTTCATACACACCTAAAGACGAATGAAAAAAACTGTTAAAAAATCATGGTTGAATATTTCATAATTCATGCATCAAAGGGTTAAAATAACTTCGAAGTATTGCATAGCAAATATAAGCTCAGATAATATTTGACTAGAGTCTAATTTAAAATGTCAAACAAACAAACTTGCAACATTAAATCTTAGCTTACTGCTAGTAAGCGAGCCATAGCATGTGCTCAGGCGTAGCAAGGCAATTGGCAAACAGTGAAAATCTACCATTATTATGTTACTACAATATTTTGTCAATAATCGAGTGATAATATGAAACTTTTAGCTTACCTCAATATGCTTTTTCAAGTTAGACGGTGAGGTTTTGAAAGCCATCGGCTCGTGGGACTTGGGTGCACAGAGCTCGCAGCGCCTTCGGAATGAGTTGTTTTTGCATCCAACCATTTGAAAAGATCCTTCCAGGTACGGCCAGGGATGCACTGGGGTCGGCTTGTCTTCCAGGCTATCTGCGTCCTCACGGGTACTTGGTTCAGACGGTTCAGACGTCTTATTCAAGCAAGTTCTTTTGCCTCTCCGCCCAATGCTACTGCTACAACATACGTTTGCTAGCAGTCTTACATCCTGGAGTGTCACGTGATTTGTGTCACGTGCAGTTGCGCTGACCAATAGCATGTCGGAATGGTAGATCTCATCCAACCACAATCAAAACTTTGTTTTTCACCGACGACAATCCGTAACAAAAAGCCGAAACGAAGTGGGAGTAACGAGGTTATTTTTTAAAAAAGTAAGGAGTAGAAAGTACCGATAACAGGGCTGCCAACTTTTGAACATTTCAAAGAGTGAGACGGGGTCATGGGGTTGGGAGCGGACAAAGGGGGAGGTGTGTGTGTAAATGAAACGGATCGGGTTTGAGTGGGGCAACTGAATTCACAATGCCAACAAGTCCTTGGTTATAAAAGTTAACTAAATCTGGTGGAGAAATGGTTTGTAATGATTCCTCAAGTGTATCAGTACCTAACTGAAAATTGTCCATGTTGATATTTTTAAGTTTCCAAAAAGTTATTACAGGAAGAGGTTTGATGGTGTAGACAGTATTAAATGTAAGGAGAGAATGAGATGGAAATACTTATGCTGTCATTCAGAGTGAGTCCAGTACAGCAAATTAAATCCAAGATGTGTCTAATAATGCAATCAGAAGAAATTCACAGTAGGAATACGCAAAAGAAGTATAATGAACCCAAAGTTCCTTCCAAATTATTTAGATTTCCTAACCAGTGCTTGCTCTGAAGCAGTGGCGGATTTAGCAATTTGGGGGCCCAGGGCGAACACAGACATGAGACCCCTTACACTAAAATTTAGACGATCTTATCTTTAACTGGATTTGCGAAACTCTCCCTTCTTCTGACACGAGTTATTTTCCCTTTTTATTAGTCCTCTTTTTTCCTGTCTTTCTCTCCCTTTGAGTGCTTTCTTCTTCCTGTCAGTGCTCTTATGCTTTGACCTTTCTTTTTCTTCTATTTTCCATTTTGGTCTCTGTTTTCCTCCCTTTAAACATGTTCCATTGTCTTTCCTTTCTTCTTCCTTTTGATGTTTATACTGAAAAACGACGTCACTTTTGGAAGTGAAGATAAAAGCTTTTTAAAGCGAGCTGCTTCTTTCTCTTATTGGAGCCACTACATTTCATGCTTCATGTTTGAACTACCGCTTCGAGTTTGTTACGAATGCTCCCGCCTCTCTTATTTTTATTTGTGGTCTTATGGCACTTGGCAAACAACAATTTGGTGCATTACTGCCACCACCTGGATTGGAGTGGAATGACGACCAATCACTTCCTGTTTGTGCATGGGCATCTTAAAGGAATAGCCCATTGTGGCATTAACGGAGGGGTGCCAGCAGTCAGGGCTAGGGGCCCCCCCAACATAAGGGGGCCCCAGGTGGCCGCCAACCTATGCCTATTGGTAAAACCGCCACTGCTCTGAAGCAGCCTTGGTGGGAGACCGCCTCCATCGCCACATACGTGGACGAGGCCTTTGTCAGGAGTTTTGATCCACAGGCTATAATTGACGGTAAAATGCAGAATAATCATTGTTTTTGAGCTTCAGCTGAATCGATAAGTGGTTGACAGTCACTGATCTTTTTATTTGTAAGTTGCTTTTACTCAATCATACACTGACCACTTTTCACACTCTACTGCTTTCTTCTACAGTCTGCTCTTTAACTGTACTATTTTGTGCAATTTCAGCTGTTAACTTTATTTTCTCTGTAAGTGTTTTTCTCCCCAGAAGAAGCTACAATGACGTTCTGCTCAGCTGTGGTGGCCTCATGGAGGGGGCCATCGACTAGCACACTGCTGCTAACCACTAATACATTCTCTCTCCTGATAATAACTTTTTGTTTTCATTCACTTTTGATGTGCTAATACTAGTTTATCCGTTTAATTATCCACTAGGATAAATACAATAAAGTTTATCTTTCACCAAATACAATATTTACTAAGACATCACAATATAACTATAGACACATTACTTGTCTTTGTGTGTGTGTGTGTGTGTGTGTGTGTGTGTGTGTGTGTGTGTGTGTGTGTGTGTGTGTGTGTGTGTGTGTCTCTGCCTGCTCTGTCTTCTCGATCCCCAGTGAGTCGTGGAGGATGGCTGCTTATACTGAGCCAGGATTCTCTGGAGGTTTCTTCCTGTTAAAAGGGAGTTTTCCTCTCCACTGTCACTGCATGCTTACTTAGTATGAGGATTGCTGTATAGTCACTGACACTAGTCAGTGACTTGATGCAATTTGCTGGGTTCCTTATATAGGTAACATTATTTCTGATTGGCTTAATGAACTGTGAATTGGAATGTTTATTATGTGAAGTGCCTTGAGACGACTCTTGTCGTGATTTGGCGCTATATAAAAAAACTTGAATTGAATTTACCTGATGTTTCCTTACCAAGGTCAGTCCAGGTGGCTCTGGAGCAGTGATGAAGTATGGCTTTCCCTCACTGGCCAACATCAAGACTAGAGAGTCCTACATTACATCTTATGATCCTCGCACCCGCACTGCATCTTGGGTAATAGAAAGACTCAACCCTACCTCCCTGACGGGTCCCTCAAACAGGAAGTTCTGCGACTTCAAAGAGGACGACAGGTGAAGCAAACACTGTAAACAAATGGGTGCAGGTGATGACAGGTGGACCATAACCATTTCTCTCTTCTGCTGGCAGTGTGCACGTTTTCCACAGAGCAACTAATGACGACTACAGGGGGAGTGGCTTCGACAGAGGTCACCTGGCTGCTGCAGCCAATCACAAGTGGAGTCAGAAAGCCATGGATGACACCTTCTACCTGAGCAATGTAGCTCCTCAGGTAACAGAACACCTGGGTTAGAGTTGGTGACGTTTGCCTGTCTATGGTAATAAGGCTGTAATCTCTTCATGCTCTGGTGCAGTTTTTAGTCTCAGAAACAAATTAACCTGAGCCGAATCCGTTTGTTAAGGTTTGAGGGAACACTTGTGGTGTACCTGAAATAATCAGGTTCAAAGTTTACATCATGTTCCAGGAAACATACTAACTCCTCAGGTGCAGGGGGAGAACATGCTAACTCCACAACTGTATTGGGAGAACATGTTAACTCCACACCTGTACTAGGAGAACATGTTAACTCCACACCTGTATTGGGAGAACATGCTAACTCCACACCTGCAGGGGGAGAACATGCTAACTCCACACCTGTACTGTGAGAAGATGCTAACTCCACACCTGCAGGGGAAGAACTTGCTAACTCCACACCTGTATTGGGAGAACATGCTAACTCCACACCTGTACTGGGAGAACATGCTAACTCCACACATACAAGGGGGAACATGCTAACTCCACACCTGCAGGGGGAGAACATGCTAACTCCACAACTGTATTGGGAGAACATGTGAGAACATGTTAACTCCACACCTGTATTGGGAGAACATGCTAACTCCACACCTGCAGGGGGAGAACATGCTAATTCCACACCTGTACTGGGAGAACATGCTAACTCCACACCTGTACTAGGAGAACATGCTAACCCCACACCTGCAGGGGGAGAACATGCTAACTCCACACCTGTACTGTGAGAAGATGCTAACTCCACACCTGCAGGGGAAGAACTTGCTAACTCCACACCTGTATTGGGAGAACATGCTAACTCCACACCTGTATTGGGAGAACATGCTAACTCCACACCTGTATTGGGAGAACATGCTAACTCCACACCTGTATTGGGAGAACATGCTAACTCCACACATGCCGCCCTGTTGAATCTTGGTTTTATCAAACCAGGTTTAGGGAAGTCTAGTTTTGTTGAACCTGATTTGAAGTGAACCCTGTTTGTCTCCAGAACCCTAACCTGAATCAGAACACCTGGAACAACCTGGAGAAGCTCTGCCGCTCTCTGACAAAACGCTACCTCAATGTCTATGTGTGCACTGGCCCACTCTACCTGCCCAGGTAATCTCTTTTCAAACACCATTGTATTTGGGGGTGGGGCCAAAGGAAGACATCCATCAGTGACAGTTTTTTCTTAGCAAAGAAGATGATGGAAAACTCTACGTGAGGTACCAGGTGATAGGACAAAACCACGTTGCTGTGCCTACACACTTCTTCAAGGTAAATCTGATCATTCTGGGATGTCATCAAAACACTTTCCCACCTTCTGAGTCCACCTGTCTCATCTCTCCTCAGGTGCTGATTCTGGAGCAGGCGGATGGCAGAGGGGTGGAGCTTCGCTCATATGTTTTACCCAATCAGCCAATTGATGATAAGGTTCCTCTGGAGCGTTTCCTGGTTCCCATAGAAACCATAGAGAGGGCGTCTGGACTTCTGTTTGTCCCAAACATCATGAAGAGGACAAGCAGTCTACAGGCAATAAAATGAACTACAGTACCCACAATGCCCTGCTGCTGTTTGTGTAAACTACTGCCCCGCTGAATGTTCTGGTTCTGCAGCTGTAAACATCTGTAATTACAGAGTCGGAGATGAATAAGCTCAATAAATTCATGTGTCGAATGGATAATTGATCCTCTTCAGTGTGATCCGATCAGGTGATTATTTGACATTGAAACGATGTTTGTTGTCAGATGGACGCAAATGGGTTCAAAGCATCAAGCTCACTTTATTTCAGTTTAAAAATAATCTGTTTACAGATTCAATAATGCATCATTTTACAGAAATCTTCAAAATAAAAGCATATTCACATCCTGTTCAAGGTCGGAGAACTCAGCTGGGCGGGGCCTGTCAGTTTTTGTAGCAGATGTCCATTTTGTCAGCTGTCACAATCCTCGTCGAAGATGTCACTCACATAGTACCTGTTCTCTCCCTGTTGCACTTGTAGCTCCGCCCTCTCATCCCAGATTTTTAATTTGCTTGTTAAGTAAGGAACCTCATGACACTTCAGGTAGTCGATGATGTCTGAGGACATGTGGGAGCCGTAGTGAGGAGGAAGAGAAGGCACGTCAGGAACAGCTGACAACACCAGTCATGGCTCAGCCTGCTGAAAACTGCATAAGCGTTCAAGCTAGCACTCACCTGCGTAGGATAAACGGGACCAGTTCGGAACTCTGTGACGCTTCAGGGTGGTGAACATCTGTTGGACAGAGAAAGGGGTGGCCCTCCTGCAGCAGAACACAACTACCATCAGCACGGGGAGCACTGTGCTTACATCCAGCTGAAACAGCTGTTGGGACTTGACCGCTGGCCTCACCCGACAGCCTGAGCGACTTCATCCCAGTCGATGTCAACAGGGTCATCCACATCCATGTTGTACAACCTGAGAGAGGAAGGAGAAGGGGTCAGCAGGACTCGTATAGCAGGCTGACCCAGGACCAGGTTCTGGATGTGCCCCTAACCACTGTTAAGCTTGGTTTATGCTTGACGCGTTTACTTTCCGCTTGGTGATGCGGCTCGCGGATGGAACGCGCTTCACAACTCGCAGCGTTTATGGTTCATGCGGCTCGTCTCTGCGGTGAGCCAATATTCTCCCAAACTGTAGGGGGCAGCATGGAGCTCTACGGCATGCATCCAACACTACACCATAGTAGAAGTAGAAAATACTGTTTACAACATGGCATTCCAGCATTTTTAACAGTGTCCTCGTCTTTTCCGACAGTGCGAGCTATTTCTCTCCAAGAATTATTAACAACATGTTGATCACGGTGATCTTTGAGAGCTGAATCATACAAATGTCTGTATTTACGAACCTCTGCCATACTAGTTCTTGCCAGTCCGCCATGTTTTTCCGCGTACGACCGTCCGCGTGGTTAGAAAATTTCCTAGGTGTGCGGTGCGGAAATTTTGGGCCGTGCGGAGATGCGGTGGAGGGGCGTGGTTGTTAAAATGATGCAAGTTTGCCGTGCGGAGCCGTGCGGACCTCGCGGACCCGTCAAGCATAAACCAAGCTTCGGGGTGGCCAGTATCTGAATGTGGTTCTGATCCGATAGCATTTACTCCGTCAGTAAATTAGCTGCAGGTCTTCAAACATTGGTTACACACACACACACACACACACACACACACACACACACACACACACCATCCACTTTTCTCCTCCATCGGCAGGTGATGAAAGGCATCCAGTCGTAGCTGCGACCTGCAGCTGCAGGGCTAACCCTACCCCCCTCCCCCAACAGCAGCACGGGTTCTTTAAAGCAGTGTTTCCCAACCCTGGTCCTCCAGGCGCGCTGTCCGGTATGTTTTCCATGTCGCCCTTCTAAACATGGAAAACATGCAGGTCGGTGTGCCCTGAGGACCAGGGTTGGGAAACACTGCTTTAACGGTTATTGTTTCAGATGACGGATGGGGCCCAGCCATTATATAAACACACCTCATAGAAATATTTCGTCAGTTTGTACAAAATATATGATTTGTGTCTGAAGGCTGAACAACTGATGAGTGACCTTTGAACCCAATAAAAATCAAAACTCATCTTGTTTTGGTTCTGGTCCAGGGCTTGTGAGGGTCAGACTGTAGGAGTGTCATGTGATCTTACGTGTTGATGAGGCAGATCTTGGCACGAAAGCTTTCAGGTCCTCTGTTAGAGAAGTTTCCAGTCATTCGATGTTTCAAGAAGATGAACCTGAAACACACACAGAGTGCCACCATCATCATCATCACCTTCATCATCAACGACATCATCATCACCTCCATCATCAACATCATCATCATCACCTCCATCATCAACATCATCATCAACGACATCATCATTACTTCCATCACCATCATCACCTCCATCATCATCATTATTATCTCCATCATCAACAACATCACCATCAACAACATCACCATCATCACCTCCACCATCATCATCATTACTTCCATCATCATCATCACCTCCATCATCAACAACATCACCATCAACAACATCACCATCATCACCTCCACCATCATCATCATTACTTCCATCATCATCATCACCTCCATCATCATCATTATTACTTCCATCATCAACATCACCATCATCACCTCCATCATCAACAACATCACCATCAACAACATCACCATCATCACCTCCATCATCAACATCATCATCAACGACATCATCATTACTTCCATCATCATCATTATTATCTCCATCATCAACAACATCACCATCATCACCTCCATCATCAACAACATCACCATCATCACCTCCACCATCATCATCATTATCTCCATCATCATCATCAACAACATCACCATCATCACCTCCACCATCATCATCATTATCTCCATCATCATCATCATCATCAACAACATCACCATCATCACCTCCATCATCAACATCATCATCAACGACATCATCATTACTTCCATCATCATCATTATTATCTCCATCATCACCTCCACCATCATCATCATTACTTCCATCATCATCATCACCTCCACCATCATCATCACCTCCATCATCATCATTATTATCTCCATCATCAACAACATCACCATCATCACCTCCACCATCATCATCATTATCTCCATCATCATCATCATCATCATCAACAACATCACCATCATCACCTCCATCATCAACATCATCATCAACGACATCATCATTACTTCCATCATCATCATTATTATCTCCATCATCACCATCATCATCATCAACAACATCACCATCATCACCTCCATCATCAACATCATCATCAACGACATCATCATTACTTCCATCATCATCATTATTATCTCTATCAAAAACATCACCATTATCATTATCTCCATCACATCATTATCTCCAACATCATCACCTCCATTATCATCATCTCCATCATCATCATCATTATCTCCAACATCACCATCATCACCTCCATCATCATCATTATCTCCATCATCATCACCTCCATTATCATCATCTCCATCATCATCATCATCATCATCATTACCTCAATCATCATTATCTCCATCATCATTCCCTCCATCATCATCATCATTATCTCCATCACCATCATCATCATCACCTCCATCATCATCATCATCATCATCATCATCTCTAGGGCTGCACGATATTAGGAAAACCTGCGATATTCAATAACAGTGCTTAATATTGCGATATCGATATTACTCACGATAAATGAACAAATACTTAAGTATGCAGTGTTGATGTCGTCTGGCGTGTGACGTCTGCTCTGGGTTCAAAGCAAACAAATACTAATGCATGAATTCCATTACAACATAACATTTTTATTGCAATAATGTGCAGCTGCACCTGCTACTGCATTAGCAGCTGCACCTGCTACTGCATTAGCAGCTGCACCTGCTACTGCATTAGCAGCTGCACCTGCTACTGTATTAGCAGCTGCACCTGCTACTGCATTAGCAGCTGCACCTGCTACTGCATTAGCAGCTGCACCTGCTACTGCATTAGCAGCTGCACCTGCTACTGTATTAGCAGGTGCAGCTGCTACTGTATTAGCAGCTGCACCCGCTACTGTATTAGCAGCTGCACCCGCTACTGTATTAGCAGCTGCACCTGCTACTGCATTAGCAGCTGCACCTGCTACTGCATTAGCAGCTGCACCTGCTACTGCATTAGCAGCTGCACCTGCTACTGTATTAGCAGGTGCAGCTGCTACTGTATTAGCAGCAAAACAACAAACTGCAGCATGCAGTTTCTCAGTGACTTTAAAACATCACCTCCACCATAAAACTTTTTCTGATGCTCCAAATACAGAAAAACATCCCTTACCAGGGTTTTTAGAATAAATAAAATAAATCAGAAAATAAGTTTAAATGTTAAATAATAGTTAACGTCACTTAAATGCAACAGCAAATTCTCTCATTGCTACTGAACATTTTCTCCACTTATGTGGTTATGATAGAAGGCTGTTGCTGTAACTGGGAAGTGAACCGTGCTGGGCCAAACTAGGAGAATATTAAGATTTTCTGAGGGAAAGAGAAAAACAATTGTCTACCTTTCAGAAGAGGAACTGGCAAAAAAAACTACATGGAAAATATATGAAAACGTTTGTTTTTAACCCCAAATTGAACAAGTTTACCAAGATCTTAAAAAGCAGCTCAGATGATAAAACTGCAACTATGATTCTGATAACAAGCTAACAAACTGAACTAGCTCCTCTTAAGATAACCGGCTAGCAGAGCTTCTGACTGACAGTTTGTGTGCAGCAGCAAATCACCTATCCTGATAAACAAGGTTATAAAAGCTCATTAATGAAAAATCACTTTGATGTGTGGGGGAACTTTTCCAGGCCCTCTTTAGCAGAGTGGGACTGGGAGGAGAGTGCTGTAGCCTTTTAGCTGGAAGCTAACCGGAGCCTTGAGCTAACATCACCATCCGGTGGAACACTAGCGACATGAAGTTGGGTTGGTTCACCGGCACGTGTCGGAGTCAACCCGGGAAAAATGATTAACCCCAAAAATTCCACTATCTCCGCTCCGCTTCGGCACGAACTCCGCAGCAAAATCGGTCCCGTTGTAGTCAATCAGAGCTGTTCCACTACTGCGGCCGTGCGGCGCACGTTCCGCCATCCGGCAAAAATAGGATTGATCCTATTTTTGCCAGATGCCGGAGCACCTCTGCAGTCAATGGACAGAAACCACAACCGCCCAACAGGAAAAGGAGCAAGCACAGCTTCCGTTTTTCACAATAAATCGATAAACAAAAGGCGTTTTTTGTTTCATTTGCACAGGTTTAACAACTTTTAACAACTATCAATGGTGGCTGAAGTTTAAATGCACAAAAGTAAGCCATAAATACAGTTTCCACTATCAAAGTAGTCACACTTTGTTGATCCAAACACTGCTGATCTCTCAACACAAATGATGGGCAGATTAAACAGTTCATGCCGATGCTTCTCCCACACAACGGGTGTTTGGATCTAACTTCCGCGTTTATTGCTCGGACTGTATCGCAAGATCTCGAAAATCCTGCGCATGCCTGTTTGCCCACCTCAGGTCACCGCACCGGAGCGGAGCCGTTGTAGAGCGGGTACCAGTATGATTTGAGTTCGGAAGTGAGCGGCAGCGGAGGGCGGGGGCGGAGCGGAGATAGTGGAATTTTGGGGTAAGGGTCTACATAGGGGGCGGGCGTATTACGTGAACTGACCCATCTGATTGGCTGCATATCAGATGGGCTACATTTGATTGGTCAAATAATACTTCCGCGTAAAAAACAGATCTGGTTTACAAAAAGTTGATGTACGACACAGATGGAAATGTTGAACCTAACATTTATCGTCGTTTTTGACGTGCTTTGCGATGGGCCTATCGCACGTCCTGTTATCCCGATGACGATAATTTTTCGATATATTGTGCAGCTCTAATCATCTCTATCATCAACAACATCACCTTCTTCATCACCACCACCATCACCATCATTGGGGTTAGGCAGTTTTCCTGAAAGGTTAATGCCCTGTCTTTCTATAATGCCTCATAGGGTTCTACAACCCCCCCAAAGTACTTTACAACACAACCAGTCATTCACACGCACATTCACAAGCTGGTAGTGATTAGCCATTATATAACCATAACTGCCCTGGAGCGCACTGATAGAAGTCAGGCTGCCGAGTACAGGCACCACTGGTCCTTCCGACCACCACCAGGGGTCTCATTTATAAAGCTGGCTTACGCACAAAACGGTGTCGGAAAACTGCGTAAGCAACTTTCCACGCAAACTTTGGAACTCATAAAAAAAAATACGTAGCAGAAAAATGTGCGCAACTTTAAGTTGACTAAGGACCTAGCTTATGCACATTCTGGACATGGAGAGCACCTGCAGTAGCCAAGTGAACTAGACCAAATTCTTGCTTTGCAAAGTTTGGTCTAGGCACGCTCCATTGGAACCTCCACAGCTCCTACCAGGACTCTGGCTAGCCAATCACAACTCTCTAGAGGGGTTTCAAACACATAAAGAGCTGTGATTGGTCCATAATGGTGGGCCAATCATAGTGCTCTATCTGCTTGGTGAACAAATCACAGAGCTTTATCCGCTTTGTGGGCCAATCAGGGCACTCTGTATGCCTGGTGGGTGGGATGATGCAACAGAGTGAAACAAGAGTATGTCACATTCAGTGCGTTCACATGCAGCCACCAGTAACCCTTTTAAAACCCGAATATTCACAATAACCCGGTTCCGCAGGTCCTTGTAAACACCGCCAAAACCCCGGATATGCTCATAACCGGGTTTTTAAAAATAACCCGGTTACTACACTTGGGGTAACCCTTTTCTAACCCGAATGTTTGGTCGTGTAAACGCATACCGGGATATCCCCATCAAAGCGTGTGTTCTGCGCATGCTCTGTTCGCAAGGAATCTTGGTCTTTTGAGTAGCGAGACGTCTTGTATGCGCCAGAACACCGGAAGTAAACAACAAGTTGGGAGCAACATGGCGAGTCGCGGCACAGCACCACACTTTTGGAGTGACGAGGAAACTAAAGCGCAAACAAACGCGGTCGCTATCTCTTCCGAACTGGGAAACATGTTGTTGTTTTCACGGATACCGGAACAAGAAGAACCGGAAATGATGCATATTGCGTCTGGACGTAGTCCATACGTCCTGACGCTACCCCAACGTCCACATTTACATCGGGTTATGCAAGTTACGGGTAACTCTTTCTATTTATGCTTGTAAACGGGTTATTCTGATCAACTCAGAAACCCGAATACCGACCTTAACCCGATCATAACCCAGATATTGGCTGCATGTAAACATAGTCATTCATTGTCCAGTGGAATGCGGAGATCATTTGAAAGACAACGGTAGAACCCGCCCCACAACCGAGAGCCGTCAATGGAGCGTGGCCAGACTAAATAATACATTTATTTAGTCTGGCTTGCCAGGCTACACCTGCAGTGCTGCTGCTGAGAATACAATTATGACTACCAGCTGCATCAGTTACTTGGCTAAGTACATTATTTTGCCGAGCTTAAGTACGATTTAATAATAATCCTACGCAGTTTTATAAATGAGACCCCAGAGCATTAGGAGGAGGACGTGTCTAGCCCAAGAACACATCAACTGCAACAGACTGGGCAGGGCTTGAACCTGCAACCCTCCGGTCATAGAGCGGGCATTTAACTCCTCTCACCACTCACCCCACAGTGAAGCAGAGGAGCATGAGAACAACTGCTTATCTTGATGGGTACTTTAAAGTGATTTAGTACTGGAACCCTAACTGTCCACAGTTCCAGGACTGAGGTGGTACGTTTCATTCAGAATCAGGGCAGAACTCAACACAACCAGGACACTGACCATTTGACGCGACACTGGACCCAGGACCGAGTCTGGACCTTCAGACTGATGTCTTTCCAGGGTAGGTTTTTGCACAGCTGGTCCAGGGTCAACGCAGTACTAGGAGAACCTCGAGGGACCAGAGACTCCAGGTAATCCTTGACTGCCTCCTTTAGCCGTGACATTTCGTCCTCTGTCCACTGACCGGTCTCTGCATCTAGACACAGTAACATCGGGGTCACATAACAAGCTCAGGTTGTAAGGCCACGATGTCAGTGGTCAGCTCTTACCCATGGTAACGAAGCGTTTCTGCAGTGACAGCATGCTGCGGCCCATGAGCTCTGAAATGACTTTCCATTTGTTACCATGGAGCTTCTGGAACTTCCTGAGATCTTTCATCTCATTCTCGGAGTACCTGGAGGAAAACAACATCACACCCGGTCCAACCACAGATCAGAGCAGAAGCTGGAAGTCTCACCTGCCCAGATAGTTTCTGCTGTCAAACATCTTCCTGGCTCGAGTGTAGACCCTGGCACAGGGACGTGGGATTCCATCTGCTGTAGAGTCCGAAGATGAAGAGCAGAGAGATAAGGACGGGAAGTGAAGGAAGGGTTTCAACTGAGACATCAGGCTATTTTCCCCGTGATGTCAGCAGCACTGGGCAACGCCCACCTAACAGTTTCAACAGCCCTAGTAGTGATGGGATTTATGGCTCTTTCATGGGAGCCGTTCAAAAGGCTGGCTCCTTTGAACAAAGCAAAGCCACCCGGGGGGGGGGGGGGGGGGGATAAAGAGCAACGTCTTCCTGAGGTGTCCGTGAGGGCGCATGGGGTTGGTTAGCGTTCCTCCTGAGATATGTATATAAACACGTGTTTCTATGGTTCCTCCTACGTCCGTCACAGCGGTGGGTGGGATTTCAGCAGGTAAATTTGACCGACTTCCAGGGAAGTTTTTTAAGATGAAATCTGTTGGTTTGTGTGTCCTAACGGACCCAAACCAACAGATTTTATTGGTTAACTTAAGCAGGGAGGCCCAGAATTCCCTCCCCCCAGCCACTTGGGCCAGCTCCTTCCAAGGCGTTCCCTGGCCAGCCAAGAGACTTAGGGTGTTTCTCAATGTCAAGGAACCTTGCCTTGATGTCTTGGCCCTGCCCCGGTTGCCTAGGAGACACGTCATCGGGAGTCACCAAGACGTGTTCCAATGTTCATGTTCTACCGAGGCATGTGTGCTCCGTTTGTTAGCCGTTTAGCTAGCTCAGCGAGGACACCCGGGAGGTGTCTTGTAGCCTAGCCTTGGTCAAAAATTACCCAGAATACACCACAGTATTTTCAAAAGGACGGTGGATCAGAAGCCGGCAGCTACTTCGGGGACAATTTTCAAGTTTAAAAGTAAGTCAGCTAATTTAAAATGTTTTTTAGATCCAAAGAAGTTATCTATGGTTGGTCAGTAGCTAAGTAGTTGCAGCTTCGGTGGCTAGCGGGTGGTAACTCACTTATATATTTAATTTAATAAACATATACACAATTTAAAAAGTAAAAGGCTCGTTATATATTTATACTGAAACTAATATGTATAAAATATAACGTTATCTCCCGTGTCACGTGACGTTACGTGACCGCCGTGGAAGCCGCGGTCACGTGATGCAAGTCTGTTCCATTTAACTGTTTTCTTTGACCAAGGAAGGACAGTGTCCTCGTAAGCAAGGCGCCTGGCCTCGCACGACATCGCCTCGTAAGGCCAGGCGCCTTCACATTGAGAAACACCCCCCAGTTCCTCTAGCGTATCCTGGGTCTTCCTTTGGCTCTCCTCCTGGTTGGACGTACCTGCAAAACCTAACCACGGACGCGTCCAGGAGGCATCCTAACTAGATGCCTGAAGCCACCTCCACTGGCTCCTCTCAATGTGGGGGTGCAGCAGGTCTACTCTGAGCCCCTTCCGGATGACTGAGCTTCTCATCTCCTCTCTGAGTGAGAGCCCAGTCACCCTGCAGACAACCGTAGAAAACTGCAGACACAGCACCTATCCACCTGTTGACCTCCCAATCCATCCTTCCCTCACTCGTGAACAAGACTCCTAGATACTTAAATTCCTCCACTTGGTGCCGGACCTCTTCCCTGATCCGGAGAAGGCATTCTACCCTTGTCTGACTCAAAACCATGATCTTGGATTTAGAGGAGCTGATTCTCATCCCAGCTGCTTCACACTCGGCTGCGATCCGCTCAAGTGAGGGCTGAAGATCACGTCCCGATGAAGCCAACAGGACCACATCATCAGCAAAAGGCAGAGACCCGATCCTCAGGCCACCACCTCGGCTGCTCCTAGAAATCCTGTCCATAAAGGTTATGGCGGAGTCCAACTCTCACCGGGAACGATCCCGACTTACTGCCTGACTTAAATAATGAACTAAAACTAAAACCTGTCAGGATGATGGACAGTATCAGAGTGTACCTACCAATGCTCTCAAAGAAGTGATGTTGGGCTCTAAGCCTCTTAATCTCCAATCCCTTCTCTTGCAACCGTTGAGGAAACAGAAGATCGGTGGCTGAGCTGATACCCGTCAGCGCTAGGAAATCAGATACATTTTCCACGATTTTTCGATTCTCCTCCTTAGAGTACCTCCCAAAGCGCAGAGCCACACCTGTGGGAGGAGTCAAACATTACCACACCTGGATGTTACTTCTTAGTCTCAGGGTTCTGACCACTAACCCAGTTTCTGATGCACAGTCTTGGCTAAACGGAACCGGGTCATCTAGCATGAATACCTGTTTTGTCACAAGGCAGAAATGGGAATTATTCACGGGCTTGTTAGCGACACAGGTGAACTTCAGCCATCGCCAAAACTCGAACACCACGTTTTGGTAAACTTGAGTTTGAGCAGGAAGTTTCGATAAGGTAAGTGCCAAACATCGATCAGGGTTTCTGCAGGTTTAAGGGAGCCAAATTTAAGACTTTTTAATACCCTTTTTAGGCCACTTTGACCAAATTTAAGCTATTATTTTTAATTAAATTTAAGCTATAATTTCCAGCTATTGCCTGGAAGCGGTGCTAACCACGCCGCGATTGTGGGATTAGCCATCCAGTTGTTATTAAACTTGCACTTCCCCATGGTGCAAGCTCTCACTAGCTTAACCAGCTAATGTGCTCATCTAAAAATAGCCCCCTTTCACAACCAGCTGAATGTGTACGGTTCCGCTTACGCCAACATCGTACACAAAAAATGCTGAACACTGACTAGAAATTCACAAAAAATTTATTGTAATAAAATAATTTTTTAATGGGTTTTTGGTGATTTAAGATCTTTGGAAACTGTATTTAAGGAAAATTTGTCATTTTTAAGGCCTTAAATTTGGAAAAGCAAATTTAAGGCTCTTTAAGGACCCGCGGATACCCTGTCGATGCCTGGTGAGGGTGAGGGTTATGTAAACCTGGAAGGATCCGGGCTAAACACTGACGTGGCTTTATGCCAGAGGGATTTTACACGAAGACCTTCATGAACATGTTTTGTAGCCACCATAGAACTATGATAACTGTAACAACGTTATAACATGTCTCCTTTGAAGGGGTTCTTCCGGTACCTTGTTCTCGGAAGGTCTGGAAGCGGTGAAGGTCGTATTTCAGCATCCTCTTGATGACATCAGAAGCTTGCGTCTTCACATCTGGAATAAACTCCTGCAGCTGATCCACAAGGATCCAGTTGATGCTGGAAGACCAAAACCAGAGGAAGAAAATGTTTTACTTCCCTCCAGAGGCACAGCAGGTACATGAAGATAAGTGACCTTAATCATCTCTTACCGTTCTTCACCATCTTCATCTTGATCATTCCCCTGTCTCTTCTTTCCTGTCTTCTTCCTACGTTTCTTTTCTTCTTCCGGTTTCAGGCTGACATCTTTTTTCTTCTTCTTTCTGGCTGCTTTGTGGTTTGAGCCGGTTGCCATGGTGACAGTCATCGGTTTCTTCTTCTTTTCATCTGGTGGTGTCACCTCCGCCACACACTCCATATCTTGTCTTTTCTTCTTGTTTGGATTTGGTATCCGTCCATCAGGGTGAAGACTCAGCTCCTCCTCCACCTCCTCCACCCCAGAGCTTCTCTTCTTCTTCTTCTTATGACTTTTTATCAGTTCATCGGGGTGAAGGCTCAACTCCTCCTCCACCTCCTCCACCCCAGAGCTTCTTTTCTTCTTCTTCTTATTTGGACTTTGCATCAGTTCATCAGGGTGAAGACTCAATTCCTCCTCCACCTCCGAGCTTCTTTTCTTCTTCTTCTTCTTGTTCTGACTTTTTATCAGTTCATCAGGGTGAAGGCTCAACTCCTCCTCCACCTCCTCCACCCCAGAGCTTCTTTTCTTCTTCTTCTTGTTTGGACTTTGCATCAGTTCATCGGGGTGAAGACTCAACTCCTCCTCCACCTCCTCCACCCCAGAGCTTCTTTTCTTCTTCTTCTTGTTTGGACTTTGCATCAGTTCATCGGGGTGAAGACTTAATTCCTCCTCCACCTCCGAGCTTATTTTCTTCTTCTTCTTGCTTGGACTTTGCATCAGTTCATCGGGGTGAAGGCTCAACTCCTCCGCCACCTTCTCCACCTCCACCTCAGAGTTTTTTTGCTTCTTGTTCTTCTTCTTCTTCACCATCACAGGAGTTACACTGTTGATCGGATCAGAACATTCCACCAGACCCTCCAGCTCCCGCTTCTTCTTCATCTTCTTAGAGGAAGCTGAGAACTCTACGGCTGCCATGGCAACAACCTGAAACAGCAGAGACCGGATTAGACCCTTTTTTTGAGGGAATAGCTTTGCTGAATTCCGAGCTCAATGGATAGTATCCACATGTATGTGCTCCCTCTTCCTGGGTGAGTGAAGGCATTATTTATTGCTTGCACAACTGCATCCTCCATGGGTTTATTTTCTTCGTGCACAAATGAAAGTGGTTCTGTTTCGTTCCCTCCAGACTGCCAGTGGCAGTAAACAGAGTGGATGTATCTCCTCGCGCTCTGCGCAGGTCGAGTACTAATGTAAACAAAGTCACGCACGTGACACGTAGCGCACCTGGTCGCGAGTCTAAATTACGCGCCGATAGCTACGTTCGGGTCTCTTTGATCTTCTCGCTGTTGGCCTGGCGTGCTTCGCTGGTCAATCGCTCCGTAAGTCCGTGATTCGGATCTTATCGGTAGAGAGGTGAGTACTGTTTTTACTTGGCGTCTTCCTGCCCGGGACCGTGTGGTCGGAGGGCTCCTTCGAGCCCTCTGGGGCGGTGGACTGACGCGGTTATCTGTCATTTGCTACCGAGAGCGGGCGGTGCGGCCGGTGCCGTTCGTCGCCGCTGCGGCTCGGATAGGGCTCGCTGGCGGTCGCAGGTTTTCCCCTGTGGAAAGGGGAGGTGGGTGCGGCTGGCGAGCGCTACAGGTAAGTGGGGCTGGACGTTCTGACCGTGGTGGCGGCACGCTCAGATTACCCAGCCGACACACACACGTGTGTTGTTTTACAACTCCAGGACTGAGTCGCGTTCTTCAGTTTTCCTCGAAGTCCTCGCTCGGTTCCTGTGGAGTCGCTGGCGTCTCCCACACCGGTAGGGATGTTGGCGTGTACATCATGCGGGGCTCCCCTCCAGGTGGAGGACGGCCACGACTTGTGTCCTAAGTGCATGGGCGTCGGTCACCTCAGAGAGGCGCTGACTGACCCATGCATGAACTGCAGCATTTTGCCGCTGGCCGTGCGGGAGGACAAGCTACGTCAAGTGGAGTGCCTCCTGTTTGAGTCAGACCTGCCGCCCTCTGGTATCCCTCACCCGTGTTCCGGGAGACAGAGGGATAGACCGGCAGAGGAACGCGGCAGCCCGAGGCGCAAGAAGCGGCGTGTGACGCACCCCTCTCGCCAGGAAGTGGACACTCTGCGGGTGGAGGTGGAACAGCTCAAAGCACTGCTGACCAGAGCCCCGGACGAGGGGGGCTCGGACGACCAGATTTCTGTGAGGGCCTCAAATTCTGAGTTTCAGTCCCTCAAGGAGGAGGGGCCCTCTCTGGGCCGTAGTCAGGGGCTGGTAGTGGAGCCCCCAGGCCTGGGAGGTCACGGAGACTCGGGGATGTCCCTCCATAGCTCAGCAAGCTCGGAGCTGGCGGAGGACCCCTGTCAGTTGCGGGCGATTCTGCGAGCAGCACTGGCCAGGATTGGACTGGACGACGTGCCGGTGGCCCGTCTGGCGGGGAATCCCTTCTTCCACCGGGCTCCGGCGGTGCCCCCGTTTCAGGTCCCACCATCGCCGGCCTTTGTGGAGGAGCTGCAGCGGTGCTGGGGGGACCCGAGACAGCTCTCCCACCATGGTAAGGGATGCCAGGACCCTGGCATCGATGCGGGAGGCAGGAACCTATGGGTTGGACCGTATGCCCCCGGTGGACCACTGCGTTGCCTCTTTGGTGCTCTCCCCCGATGAGGCATTGAGGGACAGGGTCCGCTGTCAGAGCACCCAGTGTCGGGTGACGGACAGCTTACTGTGACGGGCTTACGACATCGGGGCACGGATGGCACGCACCAGCAATTCGCTGTCGGTGCTGTTGCTAGCCCAGTCCCAGATGCTGCAGTCGGGCGCAGCGGGGATGGCACTGGGCGATACAAACGACACAGCCCTGCAAGCGTTTGGGCTGATGTCCAGGGAGCTTGGTCGGTTGTTGGGCACACTGGTAGTGGCTCGCCGTCAGGTCTGGTTGGCGCAGGCCCCGGTGTCGGATGACTGCCGACAGAGCCTGCGCGGACTGCCCGTGGTGCCGGGACAGTTGTTCGAGCCCGAGGCTGAGAGGGCGTTGGAACGTCGGCGGCAGTCCAGACAGGCCGCAGAGGCCTGGAGTGGGCGTAGTGGGGCAGGGGTCCTCCCCGTGCCACAGTCCAGGCCACGAGGGGCACGGAACCCTCGGCGCCGGTTTCGTCCGGCCGCCCCCTTGCAGGTCACCCAGCAGGCCGCGGCTGCGGCAGGGACTTGGAGACGCTCGGGGGCAGGTCAGGCACCGCCCCGGGGATCCTCGGGGCAGGACAGGGGCCGCCGCCCCCCCAGGGCCCCAAACAGGCGTTGGGACACGGCCTGAGGGCTGTGGGCCGGCGGCGGGCAGATTTACACCATAGCACCTGGCCCTCTGGGAGGCCCAATGCGGAGACGCTTGGGTGGTTCGAACCATGTCCCAGGGCTACAGGTTGCAGTTCCGCCGTCGGCCCCCACCCCCTTCAGGGGTCAGGGTGACTTCGGTCACAGATCCTGCACGGGTCAGCATCCTGTTGCAGGAAATAGATGTTCTCCTGGACAAACGGGCCATAGAGGTCGTTCCGCCGCATTAACAGGCAGACGGCTTTTATTCAACGTATTTCTTGGTGCCGAAGAAGGACGGGCCCCTGCGGCCGGTACTGGACCTCAGGGGTCTCAATCGGTTCCTGAAGGTGCTGCCCTTCCGCATGCTTCGGACTCGCGATGTCCTTCAGGTGGTTTGTCCGGGAGAGTGGTTTACGACCATAGATCTCAAGGACGCATACTTCCATGTCCCGATCCATCCGGGGCACAGGAAGTACCTGCGGTTTTCTTTCCTCGGGAGGGTGTACCAGTTTCTGGTTCTGCCATTCAGCCTGTCTCTCGCCCCCGCGGTGCGTGAAGGCAGCCTTGAGCCCCCTGTGTCGGGCGGGGTTGAAGGTCCTGCCATATCTCGACGACTGGCTAGTTTGTGCGCCGTCGTGTCGCGAAGTGGGTCTGGCCACGGCCAGGGTCCTTGCCCACGTCGAGGCGCTGGGGATGACGGTGAACCTGCAGAAGAGTTCTCTGGTTCCGACTCAGCGGGTGGATTTTATTGGCATTGCCATAGATTCTGTGGCCATGCGGGCGAGGCTGACCGAGCAGAGGAGAGTCAGTATTCGGTCTTTGCTCCGGGCCTTTCGCCTTGGGGCGGCACCCCCGGTCCAGATGTGGCTTCGACTGTTGGGGATGCTGGTCTCTGCTTCTGCACTGGTGCCTCTCGGGCTGCTCCACCTTCGGCCCTTGCAGAGGTGGTTCAACGGCTTCCGCCTGGATCCCCGGCGACACCGACGGGTCAAGCTGGAGGTCACGAGCAGCTGTGTGGCTCTTTTGCGTCGTTGGGACGATGTCACCAACCTGAGTCTCGGCGTCCCGCTTGGCGCGGTTCCCGCCAGACGGGAGGTGGTCACGACGGATGCGTCACCCCGGGGGTGGGGGGCGCATTGGCAGTGCAGGTCGGTCCAGGGGTTGTGGAGTCCCCGTCAGGCACGGCTTCACATCAATGTCCTGGAATTGAAGACAGTCTACTTGGCACTAGGGCTGAAACGATTCCTCGAGTACCTCGAATAATTCGAGTACAAAAAATCCTCGAGTCAAATTCTCTGCCTCGAGGATTCGTTTAATTCATATTTAATTAATTCATGGCTTTGCAGTCGCCCGTGGTCATGTTTCACCCGGACTGAAATAAGTGACGCACATGCCCACTGGACTGAATCGCACACGCGAGTAGGGAATGTAACTTAACTTTCTCTTAAGCTATGGCGGACAACGTGGACCCCGGTGGAGTGCGAAAAAGACAGAAAATGTCAAGATGTGGGACCATTTTTCACGTCGTAAGGTGGAAATTGTAGTCCAGTGAAAATACTGTAAAATGGATTTAGCCTACCACAACACCACATCCTCCGTGCTGCAGCAGCTGTAAATGTCGCTTCTGCAAGCGAACTCGGAGCCTCTACAATATAATGCTTTTTAGCCTGTATTTCTATATATTCTGCGGACACTGTGCGACTTTTTCGTTTGTAGCACTCAAGTTTCAGCTCACACCGTACGTCTGGTAGAAACACGTCGGACTTAAAATGTGCTAAAAAATAGCATTTTTACACAAAACGTCGGACTTTTACTGTGTTGTTATTGATATTTGTTGTCCCTCGGGATTGCTGCAGGAGGACTGGTATTTATGAGAGGAAAACAAAAGAAAGTAAATAAATGTTTTGTGATCAGTATAATTTGACAAAACCACGGCAAACATGCTTTCTCGACAATCCTTGTTATTGTGTGAGAAAAAAAGTGTTGAAATTAAAACGGACGTGTGTTAATAGGGAAACAGCCGGCGAGCTGTTTGCGCATGCGCCATGAGCAGTTCTGGTTCTGTTTGGGCCGCAGCCGCCCGCAGCGCTACGTCAACAGTTATCCTCTGGCTTGCAGGCTAGCAGATTCTCGCACGAGGGGAAAATCGGCTCAGGTTGTGTACTTATTTTTTGCACAGGCATTTGTTTACTGTGAAGTAAAGTTGAAGTGCTGAAGTTTTGCAAACTAATTTTGAAAAAAACTTGAAGAATAACTGGCAACTGCTTGCTCATTTTAAGAGGTCTTTCATAATTATAACATGCTATTTGATATAATGGTTTACAAACACAAAAGGGTAATTTATTAGAGTACTCGATTAATCGAAAAAAATATTCGATAGAGTACTCGATTACAAAAATATTCGATAGCTGCAGCCCTACTTGGCACTGAGGCGCTTCTTGCCCATTCTGCGGGGCAAGCACGTGCTCGTCCGAATGGACAGCACCTCGGCGGTGTTCCACATAAACCATCGCACCAGGTCATTGTGATCGTTGAGGTAGGCTCAGATGCTGCTGACCTGGGCTTACCCTCGCTTGGCCTCCATCAGGGCGCTGCACCTTCCGGGGTGGAGGAACTCGGTGGCGGATTGCCTGTCCCGGCGGGGTCTTCCCCCGGGGGAATGGAGGTTGCACCCTCAGGTGGTGCAGAGGGTGTGGCATCAGTTCGGAGAGGCCCAGGTGGATCTGTTCGCCTCGAGGAGCAGCACACATTGTCCTCTGTGGTTCTCCCTGGCAGAGGCCGACGCCCCTCTGGGGATGGACGCCCTCGCCAATGCCTGGCCGTTGGTTCGGCTGTACGCTTTCCCACCTTCTCCGTTGCTCTTACCAACCCTCCATCGGGTGAGGGACTCGTCACACGAGGTCCTTCTGGTGGCGCCAGACTGGCCCATGAGGCTCTGGTTTCCATTGCTTCTCAGTCTGCTGAACGGAGAGCCGTGGCGGTTGCCGGCGAGACGGGACCTCCTGTCTCAGATGGAGGGGAGGATTTGGCATCCGTCCCCAGATCATCTTCGGCTCACGGTGTGGCCATTGAAGGGGGCAGGCAGCCCCCAGTCGGCTTAGAGCCCTCCATCCAGCAGGTGCTGGATAGTGCCAGGGCTCCGTCTACAAGGGCCCCGTACGCTCGCTGTTGGCAGCGGTTCTCTACCTGGTGTTCCGGCAGGGACGTGGACCCTGGTTCTTGTTCCCTGCATGAGGTTCTGCGGTACCTCCGGCACCTGTTTGACAAGGGCCGGGCCGCCTCGACCCTTAAGGTTCACCTGGCGGCTATTTCGGCCAACCACCTCTTGGTGGATGGCAGGAGCATTGGGGCTCACTGTTTAGTGACCCAGTTTCTGCGGGGCGTGAGAAGGTTGCGTCCTACCTTGTGCAGGCCGGCACCTGCTTGGGACCTTCCCCTGGTCCTGCAGGCCCTGTGTGGGCCACCCTTTGAGCCAATGACTACCGCCCCGTTGGCAGTGGTGTCTGTGAAAATCGCCCTTCTCTTGGCAGTGACGTCGGCTAAACGGGTCAGTGAGCTGCACGCACTGGACATCAGCCCCGCCTGCCTGCGGTGGAAGGCAGATGGGTCAGGGGTGACGCTGTGGCCCAACGTTGCCTTTCTTCCCAAGGTTCTGCCCTCTGGCTACGTGAATGCCGCAATTGAGCTGGGGGCGTATTTCCCTCCCCCATTTCATTCGGAGGAACAACAGCGGGCGAATTTGCTGTGCCCGGTCCGGGCACTGCAGCTCTATATTGTGGCCACAAACACTGTCCGGCAGTCGAACCAGCTGTTTGTCTGTCACGGAGGAGTGAACAGGGGTCAGGCCCTTTCGAAGCATAGGCTGTCGCATTGGGTCGTGGATGCCATTGCGATGGCTTATGCGGCAGTGGGTGCAGTGTCTCCCCCTGGGATCGTGTGCCATTCCACCAGGAGTGTTGCTACATCCTGTGCAGTGATGAGAGGTGTGCCACTGGTGGATGTCTGTGCTGCAGCGTCCTGGGCAACTCCGTGCACGTTTGCACGCTTCTACCGCCTCAACGTTGGCCACGGGTCCACGCTCGCTTCGGTGGTGCTGCCTCTGGCGGCTACCTCCTGAGTGACGGTGAGTTTTATGTTCCTCGTGACACTTCTGGCATAAGTCATCCACTCTGATTACTGCCACTGGCAGTCAGGAGGGAACGAAACAGAACGGAAGTTAAGGTGTAACTATGGTTCCGTGAGTTCCTGGATGACTGCCAGTCACAGGGGTCACTCGGAACTTCTCGGGCGAGAAGATCCCGGGAGACCCGAACGTAGCTATCGGCGCGTAATTTATAGACTCGCGACCAGGTGCGCTACGTGTCACGTGCGTGAATTTGTTTACATTAGTACTAGACCTGCGCAGAGCGCGAGGAGATACATCCACTCTGTTTACTGCCACTGGCAGTCATCCAGGAACTCACAGAACCAGTTACACCGTAACTTCCGATCTGGTGTGTCAGGGGGAGAGGAGCTGATGTTTCTTTTGACCAGCCACTTATCGCAACCAAACTTGGGAGGATTTGGTAAATGACCTGCATTTCTATAGTTTTCTCCACGCCCCACCAGACAAGAGGGAGACAAACCAGTAAGTACCAGAGCCGAACCCATCGGAAGTATGGCGGACTGGGATCGGACCCAAAATAACCGAACAGAAAGAGAACGCGACTCACAACACGCAGCAGATCCTCCTGGTTTCCGTTCCAGATCCTCACCCGGATTCTGATTCAGTTCCAAATAAGATTCGGTTCCGTTTTGCTTCCAGTCAGATTCCCTCCTCTGATCCAGGCCACGTGATGGTCAACAAACATAAACAAACATCTGATTCAGGATTCCGACCAGAACGATCGGGTGGGTTTGTGCACACTCGGCTCTGCTGCTGCACGAGGACAGAGTGCTTGCTCCACTTCCTGGGTTGTCACTGGGCACGCGCATCACACACGTGACTCCTGCGTTCCAATGAAGGCGGGAGTCCGTCCCCTATATGGCAAGCCACTTTAACATTTATCTTCTCTTTTCGATAATGCTTTTCCTGTTTTTTATATGAGGTTTAACAAAGCACTATGTTACAATTCTATAGAGGTTTTAATCGGTGAACTCGTGCTTTTCGTGTTTTGCGTGTGTGTGTGTGTGTGTGTGTGTGTGTGTGTGTGGGGGGGGGGGTAATTGAAATTATGCAATTGTTTTGAATTAATTTTGAGCACCCCCTCCACATGAAGATGGATCATCTCCAGAGGATTTTCCAAATAAACACATGAACGATAAACGGATCTGCCAATTTTAGCAGAAATCTAGGAGTGATAGTTTATTTATTTATTTGTTTACTTTTTAGATCGAGCAGTGTAAGCTCTGCAAATGCCTTTTGTTTTTCCCAATTGTTTCTTGTCATTCTTCCCGCAAACGAATCGCCTTTCTGGAGCCCAATAACGCAACTCAAGAACCACGTTTTACACAATCGTAGATCCTGGTGTAAATTGTATTTAAAATAGTTTCTAAGTTGCAGCAGGAATGGATCAACAGCGCCTCCCAGAAACAGAAAAAGCATACTTTCATTGCTGCTTATCGTAGAGGTGTTACGTTTTCTAATCTTGTAGAACTTATCATGACCATGAATGATGGTCAGGGGACAGCTGCTGAGCTCCTCGAGTAAGAATGTTAAAACCCCAAAGGCAATAAGAACTCAACATGTTTTAAAAGAAATTAAACAACTTTATTATCCAAAGCAAAGAAAGAAAAATCCACAAAACTGATGCCCATTGGCTGGCAGTTCAGAGTCTCTGACAAACATTTCTACCTGTGACTATCTGTTCTGTACGGTATTTATCTTCTAAATTTGTTAAAAAAATAAAATAAAAAACAAACAAGACTGTCACAGGAACACTTTAAATATGTTGAACTCATTTAATGAATACCTTTGCAGTGGTCTAGTAGGAATGTAAATCACACTCGAGGGCAAAACAGCCCAGAAGCACCTGTATCATCATGGAGGAGTCAGCTGGAGGAGAGAGGCTGAACACGACGGGATTTAGAGTCTTATTTCCTGATAACTGGACCTTTCGCCTCTGATTGGATCACAGCAGCGGGACTTTACTCCATTTGCTCTGCAACATTGATGTTTTATCTCCACAAACGACACAAGCCTGGAGCAGCTTCTGCCATGTGGTGGAGTTGCTAATGCTAACGGTTAGATTCTGCTAGTCCAGATGTTCTCTGCTGTTTCCTGGATGCTAAACCAACCTCCCCAGCTCCCCATTGGGAGTCAAGATGGTTGAGTCCATGATTGTTAAGTGACAGTGTGACATAGATTTGTCAGGATTTTCAAATCTGAATGTTTCATCGTTCGTTTTCTATCAGAAGCTACCACAGGAGATATGTGTAGGAGACTATCTTCAGACTGCATGAAAAACTCAGCTTGACTGACTATGATCAGAAATAATCATAAAAGAAATGTTTTTTTAGTGTTCCGCACCTTTAAACTTGGTCAAAAGTCCACATTCTACGGTTGTTTCATGAACTACATGACCCATGCTGTCTTTCAGCCAGACACCAGAGTTGGGTGGTTTTAGCTACATTAGTATGAAACTTAGGCGGTGTTGCAAACATCCACTCACTTCCTATTTGGGGTTGGGGTAAATTTTCCTCTGGTAGAAACTGACCATGATGCATTGCAGCATGAGTCAACAGAGCATACCAGTTTTCTGAGTTTTCATCTTGTTGTTGACATCCCAGCTGGGACGTGTTTCATCTCCTCTTCTGAGTGGAAAAACATTAGTGAAACATGTTTAAACAATTGTTCAGAATAAAAGTTAAAAACAATTCAAATGTCACTAAGTCTGACACAGTTCAAATGTTGATGTTGTCCAACCTGATGGGAATGACTTCTACAAATCATAGCTCAGAATCAGCCTCTTCTCTAAACGTATTTAACTGTTGGTTCTGGACTGATTATAAATACTATCAGACTCATTGCTAAGTTGTGTGAATAAATGTCTTGGAGGGTGACAATTGATGGTTATTACTATTCATTGTCCTGTTTACTCATGGGATACTTGTGCTGAACGCAGGACCGTCCCCTACGATGAGCTCTATGTGGTGGACACATGAGAAGGGTACATTAGTGGACATATTTAGAGGACAGATGGGGTGACTTTGTCTCTGTGTGTCTCTGAGATAAACTGGAGAACTGTCCAAGGTGTCTACCAACTTGGGTGAGGAGAACTGACTTTGTGAATGAGTGGACATTTCAAACGCAGCCCAATTCAAAATCCACATGGGAATTTCTTTTAGCTAAAGCTGCCAGCCAGTTAGAAGCTGAAGTGCATTCTGGGAGTTGCTGTTTGCATATTTGTCAGCCTACAACTGACCATCTACTGATGCAGCTCATGTGTATCAGGACATCCAGGTTGTAACAGGAACACAAAGACTCACGCCATTTTCAGTCCTGACTTGGATTATTGTGCAGTTGAGTAAACTGCATCTCATGAGTGACATCAGCGAGAGACAGAGAGGATCCATTCATTTGGATTCACAGGTGATCCTAACGAGCTGACTCGTCTTCATCAGCGATGGTGATGTGAACTTGGTGGGCAGAGACAGCCGGCTCTCCTTCTCCCTTGGTGTCCAGCACCATTGAGGCTCGCTGCTCATCCATCCTTCTGGACTGGACTCTCTGGATCAAACTGAAGAAATCCTCCTGTCCCTCAGCAGCCAGACCGATGACATCATCCAGGTGTGGAAGGGAGCATCTCTGGTCCTCCATCCTGTCAGACTGCAGACGGAAGGACCATTCAAACCAGTGCACAAATCCCTCTGGTGATACACAAATGTGACCTGGAACTTTTTCACTTGTTTTATGAGTTTCATCTCTGAGGTCACTTTCTGTTTATCTGTCACCTATGGCCCAGTCCCAATGGTCACACCTCCACCTGAAATATTGAAATGGCCAAAGCCGCTCACATTTTAAAACTTGAAATAATGTAAATATTCTCAAATTTTCTTGTTTTGAGTAAAAAACAAAAAGTGTCAATATGCAGCAAAGGTTGTTTGGCTCAAAAAAAAAACTAGCAAATTACTTTGTTAGATTTGTAGCGTACCAAATGGCCAAGTATGAACTTCATAATTTTCAGCTCCACACAGCTGCCCCTGTACACAGTAACACCCGTGTAGAAAACGCCAAGGTCGGGTGTTCCTCAGACTGTTTACATTCCAGGAGAAGAGCCAGAAGGAGAAGAAGAACGCTTTTCAATAATCAAAGTACTTAATTTGTGATTAAAGCTAGTCGAAACAGATGTTGATCAATAATAATCAAGTGAATGATCTGTGGAATAAAGATGTCATGATTTATGTGTTTAATGAAAACAGGACTACTGCACAGACAGACTGACCCTCATCTCCATAGAAACGCATGACACATTGTTCCAACCAATCAGAGCTTTTGGCTGCCAGAAGAGAATCTGGCTTGTTGACTTAAAGTGTCCAATCCGCTTTACTAAAACTTATCAACAATTCAGAGCTATAAAACAAGGCAATTGTCGTCGCTGTCATGACTGGGTCGACCCTTCAGACGGGCTTTGAAACGCTGTGAATCTGCCTTGTTTTATATCTCCGAATTGTTGATAAGTTTTAGTAAAGCGGATTGGACACTTTAAGTCAACAAGCCAGATTCTCTTCCGGCAGCCGAAAGCTCTGATTGGTTGGAACAATGTGTCATGCGTTTCTATGGAGATGAGGGTCAGTCTGTCTGTGCAGTAGTCCTGTTTTCATTAAACACATAAATCATGACATCTTTATTCCACAGATCATTCACTTGATTATTATTGATCAACATCTGTTTCGACTAGCTTTAATCACAAATTAAGTACTTTGATTATTGAAAGCGTTCTTCTCCTTCTGGCTCTTCTCCTGGAATGTAAACAGTCTGAGGAACACCCGACCTTGGCGTTTTCTACACGGGTGTTACTGTGTACAGGGGCAGCTGTGTGGAGCTGAAAATTATGAAGTTCATAACGTTACAATTTCATCAAAATTATCAAAAGTTGATCTTACCCAGAATAAATTACTTATTTTCAACGATCCCAAACAAACCACCAGCTGCCTGGTTTAGATCTCTGGACTCCTCAATCACTAAATTCCTTTGGCAGGATAAACCTCCACGAATTAGCTTCAAAACGCTTCAAAAGACCAAAGACAGAGGAGGACTGGATCTACCCAACTTTTATTATTATTTCTTATCCAGCAGGCTGCAATATATACCAAGATGGTTGCAAGATAACCCACTAGATGAGTCCTGGTTAGATATAGAACAGACACTTTGCAATACGATAGAGCTTTCAGACTTACCATGTATTAGCTCAAGCATAAGAAAACATGAAGGCTTCAAAAGTATTAGTATCAGTACCTCTCTGACAGCATGGTGGGAGTATCTAAAAATGACCAAGTCTTCACTAGTACCATGCAGACGCACACCTATCTGGAATGATCCTGATATTTTGCAAAATAACCCACATAAAAACTACCTCTCACAGCAGGTCAGACCCTCTGTGGTGACATCCATAAGTGCGGACCCATAAACACTCCGGACATAAAGGTAGTAATTAACTAGAGCTGGAACCGTTATCAATTCAGGATGGGTGGAAAAAATGGTATTTAACTTCTCAGCCGCCCTTAGTCATACGTGGGTGCAGGATGGTATGGCAAAGATCTCCTATATAGCATTCTTGATCATCTGCACCATCATCTGAACTGCCTCCTCAGGTGGGGCCAGCCTAGAAGCAAAACCTGAGGTGTCATCTGAGGAGCCCGCCGACACCAGCGTGGGGGAAGGATCAACCCTTTTAGCAGCTCCAGAAATCCTCCGGGACCGCCGCCGACGTCGCCTGACAGAAGGGGGTTGAGGCTGGAGCGGCGCAACGACAGGAGGGGTGGAACCTCTGTGCGGCAGTGGCCTGATAGCCAGACCTGTTCCCCAGAGCGGTGACTCCTGTTCCTGTTCTAGCTCCATAAACTCAAGGAGCGTGAGATCTTCCATGACAAGTCAGAAAAAAAATAGTTGACTAAGCTCCTAAATACTGTGTCGGCGTCGGGTCTATGTTTTGGCCAGATTATTCTGTCATGAATAGAACTCAGGAAGACCTGTGAAGACGCCAAACACGGTAAAAATAGATTTAAAAAAGCCTTCATTTGAAGCAGAATTACCAGGTGGACGAGGCTGGAGACAGAGTCGGAGACAGGCGAAGGTAGTAATGGCAGGCAGCGTGAAAGGCAGGGGTCAGGAGAAAAACAAGGTCCGGAGGCAGAAATCAGGCAGGGTGAATTGCTGGAGAATTTACTGGCAGGGCTGTAAATAATCTGGCAATGACTGGGTAGCTGAATGGATCTTTTATAGCAGGACGAGCAGGTGTGGGTGATGAGCTGAGGAGTCAGGAGCAGGTGAAGTGGATGAAGCTGATTACAGGAGCAGGTGAGATGAATGGAGTTGATTGTGATGCTGACTGAGGTTGCTAGGGAAAACAGGGCTTGGCTGGAGCTTGGTGAGGGGACCAGGTGAGCTGAATGAAGAGGCCGAGGAGGGTGAAGGATAGGAAGTCATGACACTAATCAGATTGATAATTCGTATTTATATGCACTATTGCATCTTATTGATCATTTAATAAGTGTAACCACTTCCATCACATTACATATATGTTTAAAGAGAAAGTAATCCCCAAATCTACTTTTCTGCTGCAGACATAAGTAATCAATATTTTGGAATTTTAGTGCATCATATTGAAATATCAACAATCTGTCTAAAATCGCAATTGTAGTGCTGTCTTGAGTTAAAAGTGACAATGTGTAATTTTTACTGTTAATCTCTGAAAATATTTATTGAAATTTTGTTAAAAATGAACAAAATTACACCCATTTGTTGAAAAATATTGGTGGTTTTGTAACACTTAGCCATAACAATCAGGTCTAAAATACAGGGGAGCGGGTCTAAGTCTCTGGGGGACGCCATATTAGATGCAATGTTCCTTCCATGACAGAAAAACACATTTAATGATCTGTAATGAGCGGTCCCAAAGCTTTCACCATTCATAAACACTTTTTGACACATTTACATCTTCGCTCATTGCCAGTGATGAAAGGGAGTCTGATGTGCTTGTCACTTTGCTGGAGGTTGTGCTATGAGGCATTCGTTGGTAAGGTCTTACAAAAATACCACTTGCTTGCAAGGATTTAGGTATCTACTGCCGTTTTATGCCAGGAAAGATACACACTGTCACTTTAAAAGTCTGCTCTATTTGAATGTGAATCAGCCATTGCTATTAGCCAATCTGGTATTATCTTCGTTAGCCAGTAATTATGACATAGCTGCTCTGTCCAGTCCAACAAAACAATGCGGCTCAGAGCTGCTCGCCTCCTCCATCAATCCCTCCTCCCTTCCACTTTCCCCTCCCTGTGGTGAAGAAAGTCTGTGCTTGGAAGCCTGCTGCTGCTTCTATGTCTGAGCGGTGTGTTTGTGTGTGTTTGATTGTTAGAGGCTACTTTCTCTTATGTAAAATGTCTGAGCGGCAGGTTGTCACCAATCCACACTGGAGGAGTCAGCAACGTGGAATGGCTTACTTGCACGCACCACAATATGTCAGTCCAGCTGTGGAGCGGCTTCTACGCCGTCCTCCTTGCTGGACTTGTGAGATCACAAAAGGTAACAATTTGTTTATGCCATTAACCATTAAACTAAAAGGAAGAAGGAAATGACATCATATGTTCCACTCCACTGCCATGAAAAACACACTGTTGCACTTCTCGAAAGGTGCTGGGAGTAAATAGGTTGTCAGGTCACGTGTATTGACGTAATCTACATAGGTAAGAAATCCCATCTCTGTGTAAATAATGAGTCGTTTACATTCATGAAACTACATCTGCAATAGTCTTTTATTTTGAAAATCACACTGAAACAGTGTGTGATTTCCTGTCTAGCCTTATGTTAACTGCAGAAATCGAGGCATCCCAGAATAATTGAGATATTGATTAAGGGTCAGCTGAACATAGATCGTGTTAGTATCAGACTTTTGTTCACAGATTTTCTGAATAGACCGTTGTTCTTTTAGATGTTTTGGAAACTGGAAATTATTTTCAATGTTTTTCATGTTTGTGTCACAAATGGCATTTTTTGTGTTTTTAGCTGGAGGTGGGTGCCAAGCTTGTACCTGAAACTGTATGAGCATGTAGTAAAAGTCCAGACCCGGAACAGAAGTCTGATCAGAACTGCAGGCTCCACAGATGGCAGCTGGTCCTGGATCAGGCAGCAGGCTGAAGTTTGCTCTCTGGTTTTCCAGCCTCTGACTCTGAGACTCAAGAATCAGGTCCACCAGCGCCTCTGGTTCCTCCTGGTTTCTGCTACTGACCTACAACAACAGCAAACAAATCAATAAACCATCAGTAAAAGAAGGGCAGCAGGTAGTTAAAACTCTATATAATCTCTCAGTCAGGCTAATCAGAAAATAATCTCGCAAGACAGAGGCTAGTTACATACAGCATCAGAGAACAGTTGAACCTAAAAACTGTCTGGGACACCAGTAACAGTCTAAGGTACCAGTAACAGTCTGAGATACCAGTAACAGTCTGAGGTACCAGTAACAGTCTGAGATACCAGTAACAGTCTAAGGTACCAGTAACAGTCTGAGATACCAGTAACAGTCTGAGGTACCAGTAACAGTCTGAGGTACCAGTAACAGTCTGAGGTACCAGTAACAGTCTGAGATACCAGTAACAGTCTGAGACACCAGTAACAGTCTGAGACACCAGTAACAGTCTGAGGTACCAGTAACAGTCTGAAGTACCAGTAAAAGTCTGGGGTACCAGTAACAGTCTGAGACACCAGTAACAGTCTAAGGTACCAGTAACAGTCTGAGATACCAGTAACAGTCTGAGACACCAGTAACAGTCTGAGGTACCAGTAACAGTCTGAGACACCAGTAACAGTATGATACACCAGACAGTCTGAGGTACCAGTAACAGTCTAAGGTACCAGTAACAGTCTGAGATACCAGTAACAGTCTGGTAGTCTGAGGTACCAGTAACAGTCTGAGATACCAGTAACAGTCTGAGGTACCAGTAACAGTCTGAGATACCAGTAACAGTCTGAGGTACCAGTAACAGTTTCAGGTACCAGTAACAGTCTGAGGTACCAGTAACAGTTTCAGATACCAGTAACAGTCTGAGGTACCAGTAACAGTCTGAGATACCAGTAACAGTCTGAGGTACCAGTAACAGTTTCAGATACCAGTAACAGTCTGAGATACCGGTAACAGTCTGAGGTACCAGTAACAGTCTGAGGTACCAGTAACAGTCTGAGGTACCAGTAACAGTTTCAGATACCAGTAACAGTCTGAGGTACCAGTAACAGTCTGAGGTACCAGTAACAGTCTGAGGTACCAGTAACAGTCTGAGGTACCAGTAACAGTCTGAGGTACCAGTAACAGTCTGAGATACCAGTAACAGTCTGAGGTACCAGTAACAGTCTGAGGTACCAGTAACAGTCTGAGGTACCAGTAACAGTCTGAGATACCAGTAACAGTCTGAGGTACCAGTAACAGTCTGAGGTACCAGTAACAGTCTGAGATACCAGTAACAGTCTGAGGTACCAGTAACAGTCTGAGATACCAGTAACAGTCTGAGGTACCAGTAACAGTCTGAGGTACCAGTAACAGTCTGAGATACCAGTAACAGTCTGAGGTACCAGTAACAGTCTGAGATACCAGTAACAGTCTGAGGTACCAGTAACAGTTTCAGATACCAGTAACAGTCTGAGATACCAGTAACAGTCTGAGGTACCAGTAACAGTCTGAGGTACCAGTAACAGTCTGAGGTACCAGTAACAGTTTCAGATACCAGTAACAGTCTGAGGTACCAGTAACAGTCTGAGATACCAGTAACAGTCTGAGGTACCAGTAACAGTTTCAGATACCAGTAACAGTCTGAGATACCAGTAACAGTCTGAGGTACCAGTAACAGTCTGAGGTACCAGTAACAGTCTGAGGTACCAGTAACAGTCTGAGGTACCAGTAACAGTCTGAGATACCAGTAACAGTCTGAGATACCAGTAACAGTCTGAGATACCAGTAACAGTCTGAGATACCAGTAACAGTCTGAGGTACCAGTAACAGTCTGAGGTACAGTAACAGTCTGAGGTACCAGTAACAGTCTGAGGTACCAGTAACAGTCTGAGGTACCAGTAACAGTCTGAGGTACCAGTAACAGTCTGAGGTACCAGTAACAGTCTGAGATACCAGTAACAGTCTGAGATACCAGTAACAGTCTGAGGTACCAGTAACAGTCTGAGGTACCAGTAACAGTCTGAGGTACCAGTAACAGTCTGAGATACCAGTAACAGTCTGAGGTACCAGTAACAGTCTGAGGTACCAGTAACAGTCTGAGGTACCAGTAACAGTCTGAGGTACCAGTAACAGTCTGAGGTACCAGTAACAGTCTGAGATACCAGTAACAGTCTGAGGTACCAGTAACAGTCTGAGATACCAGTAACAGTCTGAGGTACCAGTAACAGTCTGAGATACCAGTAACAGTCTGAGATACCAGTAACAGTCTGAGGTACCAGTAAAAGTCTGAGATACCAGTAACAGTCTGAGGTACCAGTAACAGTCTGAGATACCAGTAACAGTCTGAGGTACCAGTAACAGTCTGAGATACCAGTAACAGTCTGAGGTACCAGTAACAGTCTGAGGTACCAGTAACAGTCTGAGGTACCAGTAACAGTCTGAGATACCAGTAACAGTCTGAGGTACCAGTAACAGTCTGAGGTACCAGTAACAGTCTGAGGTACCAGTAACAGTCTGAGGTACCAGTAACAGTCTGAGGTACCAGTAACAGTCTGAGATACCAGTAACAGTCTGAGGTACCAGTAACAGTCTGAGGTACCAGTAACAGTCTGAGGTACCAGTAACAGTCTGAGACACCAGTAACAGTCTGAGATACCAGTAACAGTCTGAGATACCAGTAACAGTCTGAGGTACCAGTAACAGTCTGAGGTACCAGTAACAGTCTGAGATACCAGTAACAGTCTGAGGTACCAGTAACAGTCTGAGATACCAGTAACAGTCTGAGGTACCAGTAACAGTCTGAGGTACCAGTAACAGTCGACTTTTATTTCAATCATAAACACATGAAAAATCTATTTTTAACAACAAGGCGTTGTATTTCATTGAGATTCATCTGTAAAAAACAAAATACAGGTTATGAATGAATGAATGAATGAATGAATGAATGAATGAATGATGTTGAGCCCTAAACTCTGACATTTCCTAACACTGATTACTGAACAGAGGAGATGATTCAGCAGGTTCTGGAGAAGACACCTACCTTGCTCTTGAAGGCTGTGATTCTGGTTCTGAAAGCTAAGGCTGAGCTGAGGTTCTGAGCCCAAGGTTTGCTGGGACCAGAATCTCCTTCAGATCTAGAACCTGCTGAAGGAGTCTTGAGGGTTCTGCAGGGTGAAGTGGATGTTGAGGTCTTGCTTTTACTGGGACTCTGGCGTTCTGATTGTTGTTCTACAAAATCATTCTGGTGAGGACATGGAGGCTGTTTGGCTACTGCCTCATTCTGCTGAGCAGCTGAAGATCTGGAGGGTGTAAAATAGGTATTATTTTCATCCATGGTGGTGTGGTGGAGGTGCGGACCTCACTGATGGGGGGTGGGTCTTTCCGTTACACCTGGATAGGAAAACAACAGAAGTTGAGAAAGACAGGACTGTATCACTTTTCTCTTGCATTCCCTCTGCTGGTGTCTGTTGTGATGAAGTGAGGAGAAGAATGATCATCTATACCCGACCTGAGCATTGAAACAAGAGCACGCACACACGCGCGCGCGCGCACGCACACACACACACACACAGGATCTCTGGCACCACCTGGTGGCTGTCAGAGGAAGCTACAGGCAGAGACAAAAACCTGGACGAACAGCAGTTCGAGCAGAAACTCTCAAAGTTTAACTTCAAAAACACAAAGATCAGAAGATCAGATTTCTGTCTACAGGAAGCGTTAACGATGAAGAATAAAAATCTTTTTTACCTGCATTTATTCTGTCCGATGCCTCTCCTCCTCTTTCCCTACTCTCCTGTTTTCTCTGGTTTCTTTTCTTCTGTGTCACGGTGTCCCTCCATCGAAAGAAATCTTTGTCAGCTGGCACACACACACACACACACACACACACGCACACACACACACACTCACAATGAAGAGTCTGAACCCCCAGTCTGGCTTCATTTCATGGTTTCTATAGAAACTAAAGAGAGACATCCAAATATGGCCCCCACCCGTCCCAAAGTGCACACACACACACACACACACACACACACACACACACACACACACACACACACACACACACACACACACACACACACACACACATTCCTGCATTTCTAATTTTGATTATGTGGAACTCATGAGAGCTGCTGGTCCCTCTGGGCCTCTCCAGGTCACCTTGAGTCTCAGGTTCTTCTCCGAACCAAACGGAGACTGCCCTGTAACTGGTGGGTTCCCAGTTCAAATCCAGTCTCCATCTGTGTCAGTCTTTGTGTCCTTTGGCAAAGCACTCAACCCTCCTGGCCTGCTTGGTGGCGGTTGGAGGGACCGGTGGCGCCTGTGCCTGGCAGCCTCGCCTATCTCTGTGCACCACAGGGCAGCTGTAGCTGCATTGTAGCTTATCGTGTGAGTGGATGAATGAACCTCTGTTGTGTAAAGCACTTTGGGGTCCTCTGACTCAGGAAAGCGCTTTACAAGTGCAGGGTTGGGTTAGGGTGTGCATGGACTAGACCTAAGCCAGTTTCAATACACACAGCATGGTGGCCCACCAGGGTTTTAGTGCTGCTACGGTGTGTCCTTTGAATGTGCCGTGGCGACATAGCGAGGCGTGCATCTTGGACCTTTTGTTGCCAAGCTTGAAAGTGATAATACTGCAACATCGTGCTTTGAATGAACATCTGGGCGTCACAAACCAGTGGGAGATGTCATAATGATGTGTGGACTTTCCGTCGAACCTCGGCCGGCAACAGTATAAAAAATGCAAGTGAACATGGAAAGTCCCGTTCACGTTTGTAAGCAGTATCAGCTGAGCATTAGAGGATCTTCTAAACTTTAAAGCCAAAGTAAAATCTAAAAATACACCTGATCCCAGGCCCAGCAGAGAAACAGAACGATGGTAAGTGGTGTCCCCATCACAGCCGGAATGTTAATGGTCATCATCGCCACTTCAGGAGATAAAGGGACAGAAATAAACTGCAGTTAGGGACAAGGACAGACAAATGTCCAGGAGCAACGGCTTTTGGTCGTCCTGTGTTAGAGCTAAACACAGTCGGGATCATCCGAGGTCATTCTTGATTAGATGGGTTTAGGCCTAGAGCTAACAGGACTAGACCAGTTAGTCATTGAAGGAAGTTTGACGTGTGAGTCTCACAGAACAATGAGTCAAATCCATTTCTCATTACTTATTTAAAGTGTCTGTAAAAGCAATAAAGACAAAGACACCACCTGGCCAAAATGAATGTGTGTGAGTGGATAGATGAATCACTGCAGTGTAAAGCGCTTTGGAGTCCTCTGACTTGATGCGATACCAGTGCAGGTATCGTTATCATTTAGATTTATCATCTGGGGTTGCTGCAGAGGGTCAGGTTCAACAAAGCTGTGCGCCCAAAGAAAAAGGTCAGCGGAGCAGAGATTGTCCTGAATGACCAGTTACTTCAGTGGCCTGTATTTGTATTGACCCTTTGCAAGTGACGTCACGCCACTCATGTGACCGCCCCCGTCGCCATGATGGATGGCAAAAAGACCGTTTACACTCGTAGAAACTCCAGTGAGGCTAGTCAAAACAAGCCAGTTTGTAGCCTTTTATGGTTTATTGAGTTGATGTGACGGTAAAATGGTTTTAGCTTGCTGCGTGGTCGGCTGCACTAACAGACGAGGACGTAAACTCAACTCCTTTTGTGTTTTTTTAATAACTTTGATGGAGACTGAGGACGGAGATGAACTGCAGCGATCAATCGAGTGGACTAGCAGCCCTCAGATTAGTAGCGAACATGTTTTTAGAGGGTAAGATTAACGTTCATTTATTTCAAGAGGAAGACGGGGACAGGGATAAATGTTTATACTAGTTATTGATAATCCTGATGGACGCATTTCACCACGGAGGCTGCGCTCCGTCCACTGTAGTGTAAAGCGAGACAATTATTAACAATATTAAAGCTCCGATGTATGATTACGTGTGTTAAAATGACATTATTTATTTATTTATATGAGCGTCGGCATTCAGAGATCTTCTCATTCCGGTGTGAGAGCAGCAGCTGAACCCGGTAGCACCACCAGCAACAGAAGCTGGTAGGGATCCGGACTTTTTAACAATCAGCTTTGGTGTGAAGTGAAACGCTGTTTATAACATAAAGTTATACATCCAGAGGGGTGAACTTAGGCAAAGTCAGCGACGTGTTTACATCGGTGAACAGCTGCAGAGAGAACGTAAGCTAACACTGGTAAGCTAGTTAGCATACCGCTCTCTATGAGCCCCGCTAGATGCGCTACTTCTTCTGATAACTGAACTGGGCATGAACCAGTGGAAGGAATGCTGGAGGAGTTTTGTTTTTGTTTTGATCGCAAAAACAATTTCAGGCTCTACTTTTCCCTTTGTTTAGTACTCGTGTCGCTCACTGTTTACATGCTTTTGCCGTCCACCATGGTGGACCCACGTGACTAGGTGACGTTGGTGCAGAGGGTCAATAGCGCCTTCATTGAGTTCTACAACCCCCCAAGGTTCTTCACAACACAATCAGTCATTCACCCATTCACATGCTGGTGGGGATGAGCTACGATGTAGCCGCAGCTGCCCTGAGGCGCACTGACAGAGGCGAGGCTGCCTAACACTGCCACCGGTCCCTCCGACCACCACCAGCAGGCAAGGTGGGTTAAGTGTCTTGCCCAAGGACACAACATCAACAATATCTGGTTGGAACCGGGATCGAAGCTGCAACCTTCAGATTACTGGACCACCCACTCTGCCTCCTGAGCTGGAAATATACTGACTTCACAGAACCTTCTGGAAACAACGCAACAGCAAATGTTATCAGAGCTAAAGATGGACTTGTTTTTTGTGACCAATTGGCGTTTTACAAGGAACCTAAAGCTGTTATAATGAATCTACAGAACAAGCTAGGTTTTGAACACAAGCGCAGTCACGGAACGCTCAGCCCTCCCCTCGGATTTCTTTCCTGAGACGCTTCTGCTGAATCCGGAAACCTGCGTTTCCAGAGGAAACGAGTGAGCGCCAGTCGCCGTTTTCTAGGTCCAAACATCTGTTGCTGTCCGTGGCTTCAAATGGTGATTTTCTTTATGGGACTCTGGCAGTTTGTCATAAAGTTGAAGTGGTAGCAGCCGGCTGTTTCTCCTTTTCTGATATTGAGCCATGAACCAGTGGTGTTCTGTTGCTGAATACGCGAGCGCGTAAGGAACGAAGGATCCAGGGAAGTGCGACTGTTTGGCGAGACCAACAACCGGATGGTCAACTAGTTGCTTCCGGTCAGAAATGTGTTTTTGTCGGAGGTTTTTAGAGAATCACGCCATTAATTATTTTCATTTTTTATCTCCACGATATATTCATACTAGCTATGCTAGAACGTTGTTAAGAGGCATAAAAAAATGTTTTAGGCTTACTTGTTTTTCCTAATTTTTTCATAGCAGCTGTCGTTTGATTGCAATTTCATTGCACTTATTTAATCAGTCATCCTGAATCTGGAGCTAATAAGATGTGTACCTCTCATTAGTTAGCACCTGAGATGACTTCTGTGGCAAAATGGAGCTTTCTAAACGACCTGAATGGAGTTAATGGGTAGGCCTGATCAGCTGCCGCTCCCCCCAGATCAGCTCGATGAAGGAACTTGAACGTTAGTTTGTTAGAAGTTGATTCGTTATCACGAACAGGGTCTTCTCACTGCAAGACTACAACTCTGATCCTAGATTTCAACAAATGAGATTGAAAGAGGATGACAGAAGACATTCACAGTGACTCTGCTTGGTGATGCTGACATCTCAGCTATTCTGAGAACTTGAGGGACGTAATGACAGGAACCAGCGCTCAGAATCTCGTGGAAGCTTCTTATCTCCAGAGTGGTTCTATTCCAGTTTTCTTCCATCTTTGGACAGCTGGCCTCAGCTCTCTTTCTCTCCTCTCCTTAAGTGATTTCAGCCTCACCCGCCCACCTTCTCCCCGCTATAAAACAGCTGGACCAGGCTCTTCCTCCAACTCTGTCTGTCTGCAGCATGGCTCCAAAGAAGGTGGAACCAAAGAAAACGGAGGCGAAAAAGGTGGAGGTGAAAAAGGAGGAGCCACCTCCTCCTGCTAAGCCAGCAGAGCCAGAGCCCAAGCCTCCAGAGGTGGACCTCAAGAGCATAGTGGTGGAATTCTCTCCAGACCAGATTGAAGAGTTCAGAGATGCCTTCTCGCTGTTTGACGAGACGCCCACTGGGGAGATGAAGATCACCTACGCTCAGTGCGGTGACGTCATGCGAGCTCTTGGACACAACCCCACCAACAATGAGGTGCTCAAGCTGCTGGGGAGACTGAAGGCAGAGGAGATGAACGTCAAGCTTTTGGACTTCGACAGCTTCCTGCCCATGCTGCAACACGTGGCGCGCTCCAAAGAGCAGGGCAACTTCGAGGACTTTGTAGAAGGTTTGAGGGTCTTTGACAAAGAGGGCAACGGAACAGTGATGGGGGCAGAGCTACGCCATGTCCTTGCCACACTGGGAGAGAAGATGACAGAGGATGAGGTTGACCGTCTGATGGTAGGACAGGAGGACACCAACGGACACATCAACTACACCGAGTTCGTCAAACACATCCTAGCTGGGTAGAAGAGACTGTTGAAGGACAGAGTTCAACATCTGTTCAGATATATTTCTTCAATAAAACAGCTGCATTGTCTTTGTTCTGCCTGACAGTAGTGACTGCACTGGAAAGAAAACTACAGTAAAACAAGGTTCCTTGTGTTCCTGTTGAAGGGCTTAACACACAGAACCCCAGGTTAAAGAGCAAGTCACCCCCTACCAGATCTTACTCCACTCTCACTTCCTGTTTGAAAAATGCAACAAATGCTGTTGCCTAGCAGACCGAGAGGGCGGAGCCGCTAACAAATACACACACACACACACACACACACAGGCTCACAACGACATTGTGACATCATATGGTACCAGCTAACGTTCTAGGGTACCTCTTAGCCAATAGCGATGGAATTTTTTACCTGACAACGGCACAACACTGACAGTTTTAGGCAGAAAATTTTACTTTTAACTAAGATGCACCAAAGTACTAAACTATTGATTACACGTGTCTGCAGCACGATTAGACACGCATTTATATAGTTTATCAGGAAAAAAAAGTTGATTTGGGGGTGACTTGCTCTTTAATTACACGAGGCCTAAAACATCGTTAATCTATCATTAAACTAAAAGATCAAACACAAGCCCAACAGAGCTGGAGGGAACACGAAGAGCTGCAGAGCGACAGAACATGACGAGAAACACAAAAATAGTCACATGTGCCTTAGACCCTCTTGTTCGCTAAAGCATTCGTTCGTCTTCCGAACAACTTAACTCCACTGCACCTAACTTACTCAAAGGCCTGATGGGGAGGCCAAAGGAACTGACACATAAGTACGACTAGTAAAACACACAATAATACAATAAAACTAAAACAGTAAAACGCGGTATGTTCAGATCTTATCTGCATCATGAGCTAAACAATATTTTCAATCATGACTTTGAACTTATGTGAGTTGGGGTTCGTCTAAGGCTCAAACACAACTTTAGAGAGTTTTTCATATGAGCCCAAAGACTTTCGGCAATTGTTTTATGATAGGAAGACAAAAGGCCTGGAGATTTATCAGACGTGTGCTGATTACTGCCAAACACGAAAACCTGTTTTCTGCCGTTTAACTGGTGAAAGTGTCGCCCGACATCACTGAGGCATTTAGATCGAGTCAGCTCCTGCTTGTAAAGGCGGATAGATTAGAATATCATCTGCTAAGCAACTAAATGAGATCATGTACTTTTGTTTCATTTGAAAAAAGTAATCTGATTACAGGCCACACATTTACATGGTTTCAGTCACAACAAAAACTCACGACAGTGACAAACAGAACAACCAGCGGCTTCAGTGGGGTCACAGTTTATTGTGAAGCACAGGTGAGCTACAGCCAGATGTGCCGTTCTAACACGAGTAACTTTAGTCCTTTTGTTCTAAATGTTAGAACGTTCTTCTTCTAGCGCTTAAAATAAAACTATTTCTGGAGCCTACAATTCCTCTGGTAAAACACTTCCTCTGTGAGAAAATAAATGTTTTATTTGGTTATTTAAGAAACGTTAGACTCATTCAAAGATTAAATACAAACATTAGCTGAACTAATTCTTTATAACATTATGTTCTACATCAAATCTTACTACTATTCCTTTTATTGGTCCGCTGTTTTCTGAAAGGTTATTGGTGGGACTGGTCTGTCCATCCTTGTGACTAACTCACAGACCCATTCTAATTGGGTAGCTCTGAGGTCATCCCTGAATCCTGATTGGCCAGCTGGGTGTAGAGGCGGGACTTAAGGAATCGCTGGTAGCTATCACTTTCCATAAGGGTGAAGATTTGATCTTGGGCCTGCTGGAAGGAGGTGGGACTGACACCAAATTGAAGGCTCTGATTGGTCGACTCCCTGACAAACGAGTCCACGTTGACCTGGAGGAACAGCAGTTGTATCACATGACCAGTCATTACTGGACCAATCAGAGGAAATGATGATTAAAAACTGTACCTGTCTTACTCCATTTGCTGAAATAAACTCATTATAAATTGTTTCAGCTCTGGCAGCCATCTTGCTAAAGGGGCGTGTATTCTTATATCTCTCCACAGCCAACCAGAAGTCCAGGTTCTCCTCGCTGAACTCTGACTTTAGAAAGTGACGAAACATCGCCAGGCCATCTGATTAAAGAGAACGAGAAAGATTAGTGCTGTAAACCAGTGAAGACAAAGGCTCTAGTTTGTAAATGAACAGGAATTTACACTGATTGGTCAGCAGAGCTTCCAGACTCTCCGCCCACTTCAGAACTTCGCCTGTTGATGGTCTGAAAAACACACGACCCAATCAAAACCAACGGGGGTCACATAAACACCAACAGAGAAAGGGTACCAATCTTGGTTAAACCAGTCTGAGCCAGACTCAGAACCATTTATTATCAGATGAGGTGGGTCTGTGGACTTTTGTTTCTAGAAACTTAGATCAAACTCTGGAGGTCAGGTCGGCTTCCTACCTGTTGTTTCTGAGAGCTTTTTCCAAGCTGTTCCCATAAATACCGGAACAGCTTTTCCGTCTCCCGAGAAAAGCCAAACGGCTTCGAACATCTGCCACCCTGAGAAACGGCAAAGACAAAATCAACAACTCAACCGAACAAACTACCTTCATGGGGAATTCTCATTTACATACAAACTTCTGGTCTTTTTTCTCCTCAGCAGATGGTTTCTGGACTCTCCAGCCTGAAAGAACAAATAAACCTCTTTACTTCTTCGGTCTGTTCTGGTCTTCAAAAGTCTTGAGTTTAGAAGTTCTTAACTGTGGTTCTGATCTTTACCTTGGTACCGTTGAGTAGAAGTAGCATGGTGTGCAGAGTCATCCCGTCCCTCAACAGCTGTTTCCTCAGAGTCTGAGGGGAGGGAGGATTGGGGGCGGGGCCTGGGCTATGGTGAAGGGTTGCCGTGCGGGTGAGGCAGTGAATGGTGCTGTCAGACAGGAAATGAGGAGATGGGGGTTCCTGCAGCAACGAACCCTCAGAAAGAGAACGACGCAGAACTGGAAGCAAGAAAATCAGAATGATGAGTGGATGATCCATCTGGCCTCCGAGTTCCCAACTGTCTGTGACCCCAGGAAGAGCGGCAGAACTCGCCTGCAGGTCTAAAGGTGACCTCTCCTCCCTCCTCCTTATTGTCTACTTCATCTTCATCCTGTAGGCCAAAGTGGTGAGGGTTGAGAAGGAGGCCCCCTGCCCTAACACCTCCCGCATTCTCGGATGTTTCAGAGGCACTCTCCCCCTCCCCTTGCTGCCGCTCCTCCACATCTTCCTCTGCTATCCTTTTCTTCCTCTCCTCCTCTGTTTCCTCCTTTTTTTTCCAGATGGGACTCAGAGTGGAGGAGGAGTAAGGAGAGACGTATGGAGGAGGAGAGACGACACTCCTGGAGTAAGGCGAGGAGACGTAAACAGGTAAAGAAGATACGGGGGGAGAGGAAAGAGGGGGGGCTGAGGATGAGAGGGGAATGTGGGAGCAGAGAATTGAAGATGTAGGTTTGGGGGGGTCACAGGGGGAGGCGTAAGCAGATGGTGGACGATAGGGTAGGTCAGACTGATGAAGGGAGAGGAGGCCAAAGTCTGAGGGGAGGTCTGGGAGCTGAGGGGAGGAAGGGGAGGGGGAGGGGGGAGGGGGTGCCAGTGTTAATCTTATGTTTTAGCTCCCTCTGCTGGACAGATTCTGGTTCAGAGAAACAAACTGGAATTCCATGAACGGAATTGGGTTGTACCTGCTGGCTGTGGTCGGTCTCCATAGTAACCTGCTGGAGGTGTATGTTGTCATGGAGACAGAGGTTGACACGAATCTTTTGCTCCATGCTGAAAGCCTCCAGACTGAAGATGCAGCGCCAGCAGCTCTGGGAGCTCAACAGGAAGTAGATGTGGAGTGGCTCTGACGGCTCTGAAAACAACAGACAAAGCCTTTCATCTGATTGCCGCGAGAGGACTCGCTTGTTTTTAGAAACTCGGTCCAGTTCCTCAGAATAACCCAGACCATCAGGTACCAAGATCTCGCCTATAAAGTCATCTGCTGTGGGGGAGTTTGGGCTTCACCTATTCACAAGCTGCAAGAATGGACGCATTAGCTTAAACGTAACTTTAAAGTCCCTCAGTGAAGGACATGATGATGTCTGATACAGAAAAACAATCTGGACCAGAACCAGGACCAACCTTCTCTGAGCTGCAGTGTGTTCAGGTACAGCGGGCTCTGCAGGACATTACAGCGCCCAGCTTCATCTTCTCTAGTCAACAGCAGCAGGTCACTGTAGATCAACAGCATTATCTAAAACACACACACACACACACACACACACACACACACACACACACACACACACACACACACACACACACACACACACACACACACACACACACACACACACACACACACACACACACACACACACACACACACACACACACACACACACACACACTTTGATTGTGGCCTCTCGATTCTTGATAAATTCTTAGTTTAATTTTGGCTCAACAAAGTTTTGTTTCTCTTTTAAACACTGAAAAATGTTTAAACCCCAGTTCTTACTGTGGCAAGGTGGACAAACGAGGGCCCGGGCGGGATTCGATCCCCAGACTCCCGGGTGAGAGTCATACGCTCTAACCAGTCAGCCAAAGGGACATCCCCTTGGCCAAGTAGCCAGGGCACATGATCAATCGGGACATTGTGACAGGACGCTCACACTGTCACATTACCTTGTCAGGGAGGTGGCCAGCCTGGTGCAGGACCATCTCTTCAGACATGAGCAGGGTTCTTCCTGGGCTGCAGAGGTCCAACGGCTGAAAACCAAAAACATTTAGTCTTTAAAACTGTGAGAAACAACAGATGGAAAAGAAAGACTCAAACAAAAGGTCCAAACTGTTTTCCCTCCAGCACTCTGGAGGAGCTTCACACTTATTAGATTAATGAAGGTTGTCTTAACTTAAAGTCAATCAGGAATTAAGGGTTTGTTGTTGGCCCTGAGTCTGGCTACAGCCGACTGGTGAAACTCATGTTCAATGATCAATGAGGAGGTGGAGGAGATCCTCCAGGACACACGTGTCAGACACAAGGTCAGATGTGGCCCGCGAGGTAAATATCAAAAATATATTAAAACTGACCCGCTGGCCTATTTTACCACAAAGACTACAACTCCCTTGATTCTTTGCAGCGTTAGCGTGGAGCCGAAGTGCCCCCTCCTTTGTGTTTTTGCAGTGTCTGCTGCCAGTGTCTGCAGCTCCGCTGTCTCTGACAGACTAAACACTCCTCTCGCTCAGCGCCGAGTTTACTCAGGTATTTGCCAATGTTGAAGCCCATTAACGGAAATTTTATCCGCTCAGTAATGTGTTCACTACTGAAAGAGAAAGTTTTCCAGCTAACTTCTGATCTGAACTCGAGTGGTGTTTCGTTATTGGACTTCTGTGCAAGCCGCAGTTTGGCCATAACGAACACCATGTTCAAACATAAGGATGCCCATCGGTACACTTGGTACCAGGGCAGCCTAGGTCGCAGGTCGATGATAGACTTTGTAATCGTATCATCTGACCTGCGGCCGTATGTTTTGGACACTCGAGTGAAGAGAGGAGCAGAGTAGACCTGGCAGACCCAAACGCACAGTGAGGGTCTGCTGGGAACGCCTGGCAGAAGAACATGTCAAGACGGTCTTCAACTCCCACCTACGGCAGAGCTTTGACCGCGTCCCGAGAGCAGTGGGGGACATTGACTCCGAGTGGGCCTTGTTCCACTCTGCGATTGTTGAGGCGGCTGTTGCTAGCTGTGGTCGTAAGGTGGCCGGTGCCAGTCGTGGTGACAACCCCCGTACCCGCTGGTGTACACCAGAGGTTCGGGGAGCCATCAGGCTGAAGAAGGAGGCCTACAGGGCGTGGCTGGTCTGTGGGTCTCCGGAGGCAGCAGACAGGTACCGGATAGCCAAGCGGGGTGCAGCAGTGGCAGTTGCCGAGGCAAAATCTCGGGCGTGGGAGGAGTTTGGTGAGGCCATGGAGAAAGACTATTGATCGGCTCCAAAGAGGTTCTGGCAAACTGTCCGGCGCCTCAGGAGAGGGAGGCAGCAACTCGCTCACACTGTTTACAGTGGGGATGGGGAGCTGCTGACGTCCACTGGGGCTATAGTCGGACGGTGGAAGGAATACTTTGAGGAGCTCCTCAATCCCACCTACGCCCATTCCGAGGAGGAACCAGAGCTGGGAGGCCTGGGGATGGACTGTCCAATCTTGGGGGCAGAAGTTGCTGAGGTAGTCAAACAACTACACAGCGGCGGAGCACCGGGGGCGGATGAGATTCGTCCTCGGTATCTCAAGGCTATGGATGTTGTAGGGCTGTCGTGGTTGACATGTCTCTACAACATTGTGTGGTCATCGGGGGCAGTACCTGTGGAGTGGCAGACCGGGGTGGTGGTCCCCATCTTTAAGAAGGGTGACCTGAGGGTGTGTTCCAACTGTAGGGCGATCACACTCCTCAGCCTCCCTGGAAAGGTCTACTCCAAGGTACTGGAGAGGAGGGTCCGATCGATAGTTGAATCTCAGATTGAGGAGGAGCAATGTGGTTTTCGTCCTGGCCGTGGAACTGTGGACCAGCTCTATACCATTGCAAGGGTGATGGAGGGGGCATGGGAGTTTGCCCAACCAATCCACATGTGCTTTGTGGATTTGGAGAAGGCTTATGACCGTGTCCCCAGGGACACCCTGTGGGGGACGCTCCAGGAGTATGGGGTGGGTGGCTTTCTGTTAAGGGCCATTCAGTCCCTTTACCAGAGGAGCGTGAGTTTGGTCCGCATAGCCGGTAGTAAGTCGGACCTGTTCCCAGTGAGGGTTGGACTCCGCCAGGGCTGCCCTTTGTCACCGGTTCTGTTCATTACCTTTATGGACAGAATTTCTAGGCGCAGCCGTGGTGTGGAGTGTGTCGAGTTTGGTGGCAGGAGAATCTCGTCTCTGCTTTTCGCGGATGATGTGGTCCTCCTAGCTTCATCCAGCTTTGACCTTCAGCTCTTGCTGGGTAGGTTCGCGGCCGAGTGTGAAGCGGCTGGGATGAGGATCAGCACCTCCAAATCTGAGACCATGGTTCTCGACCGGAAAAGGGTGGCTTGCCAACTCCGGGTTGGGAGAGAGGTTCTACCTCAAGTGGAGGAGTTTAAGTATCTCGGGGTCTTGTTCACGAGTGAGGGTAGGAGGGATCGGGAGATGGACAGGCGGATTGGTTCGGCGTCTGCAGTGATGCGGACGCTGAGCCGATCTGTCGTGGTGAAGAGGGAGCTGAGCCAGAAAGCCAGGCTCTCGATTTACCGGTCGATCTACGTCCCAATCCTCACCTATGGTCATGAGCTTTGGGTAATGACCGAAAGAACAAGATCGCGGATCCAAGCGGCCGAAATGTGTTTCCTCCGTAGGGTGGCCGGGCTCAGCGTTAGAGATAGGGTGAGGAGCTCGGACACTGGGGAGGGACTCGGAGTGGAACCGCTGCTCCTCCGGATCGAGAGGAGTCAGTTGAGGTGGTTTGGGCATCTGGTCAGGATGCCTCCTGGACGCCTCCCTGGGGAGTTGTTTCGGGCATGTCCTGCTGGCAGGAGGCCCCCGGGTCGACCCAGGACACGTTGGAGAGGTTACATCTCCAATTTGGTCCGGGAACGCCTTGCGGTCCTGCCGGAGGAGCTAGTGGAGGTGACCGGGGAGAGGAAGGTTTGGAGCTCCTTAGTTGGGATGCTGCCCCCACGACCCGGACCCGGATAAGCGGAGGAAGACGACGACAACAACGACCAAACAACAAGAAAATATAAATCCTGAACAGATTTTAAAAATGCTGAATATACCACAAGTAATGAATACCACTGATGCGTTTTATTTAAAACGGACTTGCTCTTGTGTCATTTGGTTATTCCACATTCAGTGTTAATGCAAAAATAAGTTAGTTTCCAAATTAAAAGGTTCAAAATTGTATAAATGTTGATAAAGAAAATGTGCTAATTTGCCGTCACTTTTTCAAAAAATATTAAGTTCGGCCCGTGATTTCGTCCCAGATTTTCATTTCAGCCCTGTGTGAATTTGAGTTTGACACCCCTGCTCCAGGATATCCTGTGGGTTTATCTGCTCTTTGGGTCTTTAATTACTGTCGGCACCAGTTAGTGCTGATTGAGCAACCAGGTGGGGATCGTTTCCCAGACCTGGACTGGTTCTGGGCTGGGCTCTAGGATGAACTGACCTTGACAAAAATAGGGAAGATGAGAGTTTTGGGTTCCAGGCTGATGTAGTTTCCAAGCCCAGAGTGAGGCAGATGGGACTGCATAATGGTGCAGTTCTGGTAGTTGCCTTGGTTACCAGGTGCCGTAATCCTGGTACGGGGACGTGGCATGGTGGAAATGCTGCAGGTTAAAGGCTGCTGTGACCTCTCAGGCTGATGGTTCTGGAGGAGACTTTGGCCTCTCCTTGGGTGAGTCTGGTACAGTCGACCTGTAAAACCATCACTTCCGTCAATGTTTTAGGACTAACTGGATGCATTTTCTTGCTTCTGAAGGTTATGGTTAACCCTTCTAAAAGGAGAGTTCTCAGTGTTTTAAACGATGTGAGTTAGAGAAGACCAACGTGGCTTATGGTAGTGGTGGCCTCTCTTAGTAACAGGACAATGCAGACATGGTGATGCTGGGCAAGCTCTGGCTCCTACGCTGTTGTCTCACATATAGATTACGTTACAAAATGTTTTACTTCATCTTCATTTGTTCTGTTGAGAAACAGCATTTTGTGTCGGACTGTGTAATTGCCACCGTCCTGAATGGAGTGTTAGGGTTAGGGTCCTAAACTTGACCCTAACCCTAACACAGTCCCTCACCACCAACTCACACAACAGTTTCAAAGCTTGGCACCTCACACATTCCCATTTATGTTGAGAAAGAATAATAATAAACAAACCGTCCTTAATGAATAGAAAAGAAGTCGGGTTGCCCATAAACAGACTCGGTATGTTGGTGAGAGTGTTCACTAGTTAGCGCCTCACTAAAGTAGAGAAGGAGTCAAAGGTTACGTACCAATCGTCCCATTTCTGTTGTGGTAAAGTGGATGCAGGAGCTGAAACAGAACACCATTCAGAAGGTCTTACCAGCACATCAGAACTTTAGTGTGTTAATCAGTTATGTGTGTTAATCTGGACCAGTGACATCCTCGTGCGACCAGAGCCACCAAAGGTTTGATCGTTTCAACTTTTAAAAAACTGGACGCTGAAAGGCGCTGCTTGATGTTATGCGAGGTCCTCTGCATCCCAGATCCACCACGCTGTGAATTCACAGACTCAAGTAATTGTCGAGATGGATCGTAAGCTTGGGACTTTGGCGGGGATTCATTCTTTGGCACAAAAGATGGATGCCATCAAGGAGAGCGTGGGCGAATCAGCACGGATTGGGATAGATTAACGTCCATTATTGGGATTCTGAGAGGTTGAGGACCAAGAAACTGTAAAACAGAGAGGAAATTATCTCTGTCTGGCCCCAAAACAATTTCTAATCGGAATCTGGCGTCCTTGAGCCTGCAAGGCTCCAACGAAAACTCCCCCCTCAGAAGATATGTGGAATGTGACGTCGCTATGGCAACTCAACTGTCTCCTTTCCCAGCCTGGGCGGGACTGCGGGAAGGCCGCTGAAGCATCCAGGGTCACTGCAACCCTCCAACCCTCAATGCTCCTCCCCCTATCCACACTGAGGTGACATGCGCTGCTTATCGTGGCTGCAGGAACTGAAGTGGGGATAGTTCCAACCCACCACCCCACCTAGTGGACATTTATGTTGTGTTGTCTGAAGTCTGTTGCATATCTGTCTGAGGTGTTTTTTGCAGAGCAAAGCTGCCCTCCTGCTGGAGGGTAACTCTGAAGTGCCTTTTTTTCCCTCCACCTGAACCAATCCTCATTTAACCCTCTGATCTCTATTAAGGTAACGCGACTCGGGTTGCGAATGACCACAGTCACCAATTCTTGTCATGTGTCTTGCCCATGTATGCCTGATCTCTGATTTGTGTGTACTGAAACTCTAATTTCTCTCTGGGATTAATAAAGTATCTTTGATTTTGATTGATTGATTGATTGATTGGTTGATTGATTGATTGATTGATTGGTTGATTGATTGAGATGGTGAGCACTAACACCAAACATGAACTCTGGACAGAGGCCAGATGTTGGTGAGGAAACAAGTTTCAAACGTTTCCAGGATCAGTTTTTATATCATGAATCAGCTGTTGCTTGTTTGCGGAGACCATTTCAACCACTCTACCCAGTAGCCATTACCATAACCAAGTAGGCTATAGGCCTAACCACACTGACCAGGATAACTACACCAAACACACAGATTGTTCTCCAATCTAGCGTTATTTATCTTTCAGCACAATGAAAATCACAGACAGTTGTTCACTCTGGCTCACCTCTTCTTCTGAATTAACAGGTGACAGGATGATGTAATTGTCCCCATTTGATGATGTCACACAAGTGCCCTTAATGGTGTTAGATGAGAACACCTCTTGCTCTTCCTCCTCCTCTTTGTGGTTGTTCTTTCTGTCCTTCCACAGAGAACCAAGAGCCTCCAAACTGGAACGGACTCCTGACCCTTGACCCCGCCTGCAGCCATGTTTACTGTGTGAGGGGCGGGGCAAGAACTTGCTGCCAGTTTTCTAGGAGACAATAACCCAAAGGACGTCAGCTTAAAGATTAGTGAATGCCGCCAAAGATCTGGTTCTTCTTAATGAATCACATGACCGCCATACCTGTGTGATGTCAGCTTGAGCATTAGCCAATCACAGGGGTCACATCAAGCTAATCAGTTAGAAACAGAGTTGCTCTGAAATACCCACCATACGCTGAGATGGTGGCTGAAACAAAGTCTCACATCCTGAACCGATTCCAGGTGAACCTCTCCAGACCACCAACACGATCTGAGATGGACAACACCTGAGGAAACACATTCCAGGTAAATCTGCAAAAGTCAGAGTCCAGTCGGTCTGAAACTGTCTTGGAAAAAGCTAAAAGACAATCTGGAAGATGAAGGTGGAACTCTATCATAAAATGACCTGAATGTGCACTGGAGGCATTCAGGGGTGAAGCAACCTGAACGTGTTTCAGTCAGAGATGAAAGAAGAGACAGTACCTGATGGCATGAGCAAGATCAACACATTTCCAGGTTTCGACAGGAAGTCCGTTGAGCTGCAGCACTGAATCTCCCTGATGGAGTCCAGACTGATGAGCTGGTCCTCCTAAAAACACGAGACATGATCAATAAAATCCAGATTAGGAGTCACATGGAAGTTAACAGGAAGCAGTCATGAGCTACCGTATTTGAAATGTTCACTCGACAGTTCCTATCTGTTACATCCCAGTTCCTCCCATCGATCTCTAACTCTGTGATCGACTGCTCTGTGATTGATTGTTCTGATTCTAAGCTCTTGTTCACTGACAATAATCAGCTAGCTGAAAGTTAAACATGAGCACATTTACGTATATATATATATATATATATGTATGTATTATTTTTTTATTTTATTTTATACATTTTATTCTGTCTAAGAATATTCTGTTGGAATATTTACTCAAAGTGAAAATGTCTTTCATGTCATTGAAGCTGTACCCGTTTACATGGAAAACAAATTTTTTCCCACGTTGTTTTCTCACCACACCAAAATGTAACAGAGTGGTAAAACCATTTTGACACCAATTTCAAACTCACAAACACCGATGGTGAGTTTTTCCTTTAGGACTTGCTTCGTGTGGAGCTGCTGGAGGTGTTTCTCACCTGGATCTACAGCCTGGACTCTGACAGGACTGTCAGAGCAGATGGTGAATCCAAAACTATCCTTTCCTCGAACGATCTTGACCTACAAATGAAGCAAACGTTTTAATGACTTAAGGGAAATCCCCAAACCAACGCTCAAAACGGACGGATAAGTTTGACTGTTTACGTGTTACGGTGTACGAGTAAAAATCAGTACGAGTCACGACAGGCAGAGGCGCCTAGCAGGACCCGCCAGTTCCAGTTAACCAATCCTAACATCAGCACCAAGAGTTGAGGGCTCTGAATGTTTTTTGGCTTTATTTAGCTTTTCCTCTCGGTTAAACCTCCATCGTTGTGTTGATTTGTTCTGTAACAGTTCCTTTTCAGTGCTCTGGTTTGAACCTGAAGCAGGTTTTGTTGCAAAACACCGGGCGGCTTTTCGCCATTGCTGATCAGGTCTGGTTTATCTGTGTCCAGAGGCCCGCGCGGGTCACAGTCTCTCAGCTGTTTCCATGACTCTGCCAACACTGAAAAAGCCGTGAAAGGTTGATGCATCCTGAGACGTTTAATGTCACAAAAGGAGTTTTGTGTGCCAGAGTTGAGACGGACAGGCTGATATTAAAGTTCCTTCAGCTCCTGAGGGGACGGCTGCCGGGGTGAAGGTATTCAGAGACAACATTACGTTGCTGTTTGAGTTTCCCTGCAGGTTCAGGCTGATTAATACTGGACATGTCAAGATTAGTGCTGCTTTACTCTAAAAAGTCCAACTCAGGACTGGGTCCGCAAGTGAGCCTTTCGCTAGAAAACCTCTGTTCTTACAACACATAACTTTTCTTTTTGTGCTGCTGCTGTTCAGAAAACTGGTTTTGTTTGATGGTTTTGCTCTTTTTAGCAGAAGAGAAAGTCTGAAAGAGTCGGAGAGACGTTGAAATTTATCTTTGGTCCAACTGGACATCGAGAGGACACCGATGAGACACGGCCACCAGAACCACGCTGGCCAAAAAGTCTCACTCAATGTATAAAAACGTTTTCTCCTTTGTAATAAAGTCAGTCTTGGATATGTGAAAGCACAAAAGCAGAAAGCAGTTGTGGGCAGGGTTCCCTCCCTGGTGATGTCAGAATCCATTAGAACCTTTTGAAGAACCCTGAGATGAACAGAACTGGGTCGTGTGTTTGAACAGCAGAAGAACAAACAGCTGCTCGAGTTTCTGTGCAACGCCGGGCGACCTGGAGAAAGGTTACTATCACCGACTCCTAACCATCCAGCTGGTTCCCTCCGTCTCTCTCTTACACACACACACACACGCACGCACGCACGCACACACACACACACACACACACACACACACACACACACACACACACACACACACCACCACCACCACCAGCAGGTGAAGTGTCTTGCCCAAGGACACAACAGCAGCAGATGGGATGTGAACCTGGAACCAACCGGCGTGGGTACTTAACTCCTCTGCTAAGACAACCTGGTGGTGGTGCCAACAGAACCCAACCCCAGGACCAGAACCTGCATCAGAAACAGTAACCAGAGTCAGACCTGTGGCAGCTTCTGTCCAATGCAGACGTCACACAGGCGGTGGATGGTGTACATGTTCAGGAGATCCGCTCAAGCCCCGCAGAACCTCTCGCCCGTCTGAACCTTTTGCGAATTTGGACCAGTACCAGGAACAGGACCGGTTCAGGACTCACTGAACCAAGCCGTGCCGGACTCCACGGTGAGTCCGATTCAGACTGACAGAAAAGGAATCGGGTCTAAACATGATCCAGATGGTACAGAACCAAAGCCGGGTCAGAGGCGTGCGTAACCCTGTGTACAAGAACCAGAACCGATCCAGGTCCAACTAGTCGGAAGAAAACACAGCGTGACCAGAACAGAGATTCTGAGGTGGACTGGAAGTGTGTGTGTGGGAACCAACAGACAGAATAATGGCAGGAAGCACACACACACACACACACACACACACACACACACACACACACACACACACACACACACACACACACACACACACACACACACACACACACACACACACACACACACACACACACACACACACACACACACAGAGAGAAAAACATGAAAACAGTGGATGTGTCGCTGTGATAAGACACACACTTCCTGAACACACACGTCTGCACATCCGTGAGTTCCATCAACAACTCTGGATCCAAAACCCGGTCCAGGCTAAAAACCAGCGTCCTCCAAGAGTCCTTCCTAGAAAGCAAAATGTACAAGATTCCTCAAAACTGTCCACAGACGCCCTTCCAGCATGCCCAGTTGGTCTGTTTGGACATATTGATGGAATGTGGACTAAGTTCGTGAGTCTTCTGGTCCTCGATAAAGCAGCAGCAACTTCACTGCATAATTCATCACATCTGAATGTTGAAAGAGGAGAAAGAGGAAAAGAACGAGGCAGCAGACATGGACCAGTCCATTTGGATCCTCCCTGTCTGGTCCCGACGACCTGCTCGGGTCGTGTGTTTCAGGACTGAGGATGTGTTTCTTTCTCCATATCTAAGTGTCTGCATCACTCATCCCTATGCCCTTTATCTAGGGGGCGCTCTAGAGGACTTGGAAAGGAGGGGAGGAATCCTGGCGAGGATCAAGATGAAGTCCTCCAGATGACACCCCAGCCTTTCCTGGAATGGTTCCATTCTGGGGCAAGATGCGTTCACGACCAAAGGCTTTCTGGACCTTGTTCCTGGTTCTGTTTCCTGTTTGGACTAACTGTTGGAGCTTTTACAGCGCGGTTGGGAAGGGTTTGTAGACGCGACGTAGACACTGAGAATCAGCTGGTGTGTGCTCCTGCACCAGATGACAAGGACGCGATTGCCCAAGGACAAAACATTTCAATTAATAATGGATGCCAGGTTATTGGCCCTTTATGCAGGACCGACTTCAGTGTGGTTCCAAGGCTACTGAGAAAGGCCAACAACGAGTCATTGGTTGTCATGGTCTGCGTCCCCCTCACGTGTCTCCCTGTGTTCTCCATCCTTCTCTAGGTTTCCCTTATGTGCCTCCTTGTCTGCAGCCTCCTCCATGTTCTCCATCCAGGTGTCCCCCCAGGTTCCGGCCCCTTTAGTTTTCCAACCCCTCCATGTGTCTCTCTAGAATCCCCCCTCGCGTGTTCCCAGCTTCCTGTGCCCCTTCTGGCCTCCAGCTCCCACCAGGTTTCCCAGGTTTACTTCTTCTATTTATTCTTTGTGTCATCTAGTTTGTCTTTCCCTGTAGTTTTAGATTCAGGTTTGTTTCTTCTAGGTTCCTCCTTGGTCCATCCCCTCTTGTTTATTAGTTCTCCTTAGATCTTTAGTTATTTGTCTTTCTAGTCCTTCGGCTTTGTTATTATTCATAGGTCTGTTAATCTGCTTTTCTGTCACACACATTTTCAAACAACAATCCTCAATTTCTGTTTAAGAGGGCCATATTATATAAATCTGACTTTTTGCTTCCTGGTGTGCCACCAAATGGGTCTCTACGGCCTCTATAAACACACCAGTTGTATAAATCATCTGTTAGAGTTTGATATCAGGAATTAGATGGTTTTATGAGCCCTTTCAAGGCACACAAAGCAGTTTTGCTTGCTTTTAGCGCCCCCTAGTGTCCGCCAATAAGCATGTTGTTTTATTTTATTTTATTTATTTATTTATTTATTCAGGACAGTGCAGATTAACAAAAAATCTAATACTTATGTAGAGACTGTAAATTAGCCAGATTATAGCATAAATGCTCATTTTCATCAGTGGTCCCTAGGCAGGAAGACCAAACACAAAACATAATGACAATATACAATTATCAGCAGATAATCACATTAACAACACTAAACAAATAACATAAATAAAAATAAGTAAAAGTGCAAACGTTTAAGATACTGTTGAGGTGCTTTTGGAAGGTATTATAGGTGGGACATTCTCTAAATGGTAAATGGTCTGTATCTGATACAGCGCCTTCTAGAGTCCGAACCCCCCCCCCCCCCCCCCCCCAAGGCACTTTACAACACAATCAGTCATTCACCCATTCACACACACATTCACACACTGGTGGGGATGAGCTACGATGTAGCCACAGCTGCCCTGGAGCACACTGACAGAGGCGAGGCTGCCGAGCACTGGCGCCACCGGTCCCTCCGACCACCACCAGCAGGCAACGTGGGTTAAGTGTCTTGCCCAAGGACACAGCGACAGTGACAGACTGAGCGGGGCTCGAACCTGCAACCTTTTTCCAAAGTCAAGTTTTGACCCCTGCACTTTTTTACCATCCAAAAACAATGTTACGCTATATTAAATTGACACTGGTTGAGCTCTAGGACCAAGCGGAAAACAACCGTTTGTGTTGAAGCCTGTTTCCCATTAGAGCATACTGTAAAGATCCCCCCCCCCCCCCCCTCCGCCACACACACACACACACACTTCTAAAGTGAAAATTACGTCCATGCCTCTAGAGGGGGCTCTGGTGCCAAAGTCTTTATCACTTCTTAATGTAACGTGTGTAGAAAGCAGAGGTGGGGCCATTCCATGCAGAAGTTTATAAATTAAACAGTGATTTTTAAATTTAATTACATTTTCTAAATTGAGCATATTGTATTTTTCCAACTTAATACAATGGTGAAAAAAATAAGGGCTTTTGTTAAAGGATTTTTATAGACTGAACAACATTTCTATTGCTTTTAAAAGTGAGTCTCCAGTGAGTGACCAGGCTGTGGTGCAGTAATTTGTGTCAGGAAATATCATCAAATGTAGAAACATTTTAGCTGAGTTAGTTGTCATTGATGATCTTATTTGTTTGAAGTGATTGAATTTAATTGTGTTCGCCGTGAATTTTATGTGCTTTTTTAAAGAGCAAGTCACCCCTTACAAGTATCGTACTTCACTCCCACTTCATGTTTGAAAAATGCAACAAATGCTGTTGCCTAGCAGGCCGAGAGGGTGGAGCCACTAACAAATACACACACACTCACGAAATTGTGACATCATAATGTACCAGTTTACATCATAGCATACCTCTTAGCCAATAGCGGTGGCAGATTTAAATTCAAATGCAGTGAAGAGTTTTTACCTGACAACGGCACAACACTGACAGTTTCAGGCAGAAAATTAAAATTTGAACTAAAATGCACTAAAGTGCTAAACTATTGACTACACGTGTCTGCAGCACGATTAGACACACATTTATATAGTTTATCAGAGAAAAACTGTTGATTTGGGGGTGACTTGCTCTTTAAAGACAGCGTCGGATGCAGGATGATCCCAAGGTCCTTGAACTCTTGCACAAGGTCTAGCTCTACTTCCCCCAGAAACACATTGGACCGCTCCATGTTTAAGAGGTTGTCTGTGAACATCATTGACACTGTTTTCGTTTTATTCAATAATAGGCAAGACTGAAAGAGCCAATGCTGTGTATTCTCCAGGGCTGGTGTGAGGACTGATGATGCTTCCTGTGTGCTTTTAGCAGGTGTAAAAATAACAGCATCATCAGCATTCATTTGAAAGTGTGACAGTGACACACATTCGGCATTTATATATAAAGAAAACATTACTGATCCCAATGTAGAGCCCTGTGGGACCCCTGCTGGACAGTCAAGGTATGATCACATTGTGTCCCCCACACTCACAGACTGTCTTCTTTTGGACAAGTAAGACTTAAACCAGGCTAGTTCATTTTCTGCTAAATTAAAGTGAGTCAGTTTGGACAGAGGTTCTTGATGGTTTACTGTATCAAATGTCAAGAAGACTGCACCAACACAGATGGTTTTATCAAGCAAGGACTTTGCTGTTCCTACGAAAACAGTTTGCCGTCTCTGTGGGATGGTACTGCCGTGGTCAACGCAAGAGTGAAACTTATCTCGTCGCCGTGCGTTCGTCTTTTTAACACCTTAATCTAACAGCTGAAACATCTCCTCAGCCTTCATTGGTGTCTACAGGAGGGGTTCATCACTAAATCAAACAAATTGGCTGTGTTCATTTAAACATGCAGGAAACGTGTTGGAAGCAGACTGCAGCGCCAGATAAGCTACTTTTTTCTGAAGTCCAACAGGTGGTGGACCGGCACTCAGAAGTTGCAAATGTGGTATTCTGGCCATAGAGGGGGAAAGGGGTCTGAGTGACACACTCTGGCTCAAGAAAATTATTGAAAAATATGAAAAAGTTGCACAGTATCCCTTAAAAATATACCTTATTGTGATGTCACAATGAGGGACATTAGGGCTCAGTCAGGGCTAGCGATGGGTACCGAATTTGGTACTTTTTAAGGTACCGACCGAATTCCATAGTACCGACCGAGCACCGATTCACGTAATTTGAAACGGTGCCTCGTTTCGGTACCCGCCCTTCGTAACGAGAACTTGCCTAGACAGCTGCGCATGAGCAAGAGCGTTACGTCGTCGGTCGCTGCGAGCCAGTTTTAAACAGAGCAGCATGGTAGAAAGAACGCACGCTAAAACTTGGGTCCACTTCACTAAATGTGATGGGTAACTGGGTGATGATGAAACCAGCGACAACAATCTAAGTGAGACATCCTCATCTTAATCTGCTCTGGTAGGTAAATAAAATGTTTAAGATAACATTAGCTTGATATGTTAGCTTCCATTCCGCTAATGGTGCGTTCGATTTCTCCTTGGACCTCCGAATTTCCGACTAGAAGAACATGAACGCACTCTAAAGTTTGGCTTCACTTTACTGAATGCGACGGGTGATTGGGTGAAGATGAAACCAGCGACAACGATCTAAGTGTGAGGCATCATCGTTTTAATCTGCTCCAGCAGCTACATAAACTGTTTAAGATAATGTTAGCTTGATATGTTAGCTTCCATTGCTACCATTGTTATCAGCTAATGGTGTGTTCGCTTTCTCCTCGGAAATTCTAACTTCCCAGTAGGAAAAATCGAATGAAAAAAGACGGCAAAAGGAATGAAGATACACAGTAAATTTAGTTCACAGTAAAGATGTTTGCTTCAGTTTAATTATCAGCTTATAAACTACAAGGACGATGTTAAAATACAAACAGTTGAATGTTATTTATCGTGATATTCATCAAATATTGTTATATATTGAGAAAAATATATATTTTATTATAAAAGAGAATTAAAATATTAAACATTCAAAAGTATCTAAAATTGGTACCGTTAAGTACCGGTATCGATTCGTAGGTACCGGGAATTTGTACCGAATCGACTCAAATGTCAAAGGTACCCATCCCTAGTCAGGGCATGGGTGGGCGTGGCCACTGAAACAGTCAAGAATAAAACTGCATAAAAGACTTTATTTGAGAGGGATTTCATGTAAAGAGTTTCATGAACACTACCACAGAAGTAATTTTAACACTAAAAAGTCCTAAAATATCTCTTTTAACTCCCGTGGTGACGGCCGTATTGACCTCCTGCTGTGTGTCAAACATCATTCAACTGTAGGACTGTTTGGCACTTAAATCTGACAGCATGAGACCCAATTAGAGCTTCTGTTTTCATGTTGTTCTTTACTTTTTCTCTTTTCTCCTTTATGTAGCATATTTATTTATTTATTTATTTATTTGTCAGACTGATTTCTAATTTGGTCCAATCTGGTTGTTTTGCTGTGCTGGAGTTAACTTTGACCTACATCTGATTTGGGTCCAGGACTGACCAGTAGGACCTAACTCTCTAAACCATCTCAATCCTGCCACTGACCCGAGTTCTGAAGAGGTTCTCGTGATTCTGTTGGGTTCTTACCACAAGTCTCTGTGTGGACACAAAGCTGCAGACGGTGGTGTTGGATGAGACCGGGCCGAGAGGCTGCCTGGATGCTCTGCTGAGCTGCACGGTCTCTTTGGATCCAGTAGCACTGGAGATGGTGCTGCTGGACTGGGTAGTTGTGGTGCTGGTGTTGGTGCTGGCACTGCAGATCTGGTCGGTATCTGGGGCCGAGTCCAGAGTCTTTCCGAGGTCGGCTGCAAGCAGAAACCCACCTTCATCATCATTGCCACCTTCAGCCTCATGCCAGGACCAAGCAGTGTTCTTCCAAAACATCTCGACTCTTTGTCCAGTCTGAACCGGTCAGACGGGCAGAACAAGGCCAGAACTAACGGGGCAGAACCTCCAACTGTTAAAAAAAAGTTTAATAACCAGCTTTTGTCACTCCAAGTCTTCACGTGTGAAAAAACAACGAAGCCAATTAAACTGGATGACCATCAGCCAGCAGGTCAGATGAGCCCAGAACCGAACCTGACACATCTGTAAGGGTCCGAGAGCATCTCAGTCAACAAAGCTGGTCCAAAACATCAGTGGTAGAACTCGAGCTGAGTCCTGTGTTCCTGGAGGAACCAGAACCACAGGGCAGAACGTCAGTCCAGAAGCTGCCTGATGTCCCGTCTCTCCGACACCACCCTATGATCTTCTGCTGAAAACGACTGTCACATCTCCCTGTGATGTCGGGGGGTGGGAACGTTCAGCCACATAGGCTCAGAGGTACTCTGAAGGTCACATGGTTACCGGGCCGCTTCTCATTACCATGGTAACCATGACACCCCCCCCCCCCCCCACACACACACACACACCTCAGGAGAGAGTGAGAGAGAAGGAGAGGGACGGAGGATCAATTTGGATCCTTGCTGGCTTTTAGACCCGGTTTATCTCCATCAGGTTTTTCTGTGACAGGAAACCATTCATAACTCAGTGGAACCAGAACCAGAACCAGAACCAGAACCAGGAAACTGCTCAGACTAAAGCAGAAACCAGCAGCTGCCCACTTCATTCTCATGATTCATCGAGTACAGTCCATGTAGCTGCAAACACGTGATCGACTCTGACACTATTTCTGCTTCGCTGCTCAGCTCGACTTCAGAAGACACACACACACACACACACACACACACACACTCAATAATTCATTATTTTAACTCTGGGTTTCTCTTTCTTAGCTACAGCTGTCCTCATGGTGTTGTGCAGTTTATATATATTCATGTGTGTGTGTGTGTGTGTGTGTGTGTGTGTGTGTGTGTGTGTGTGTGTGTGTGTGTGTGTATGTGTTTCTGTGTGCTTCCCATTAATAAATAAATCTAGGTGCTGTGACTTGATGCCTGAACCAAACCAATCACCATTTCTTAGCATGAACCAATCACAGAGCAGCTTGAGTGTGACCTCACCTCCCAACCCCGTCTTTGGTCTGCTTATCGGTGATGTCACTCGCAGATGTTTGCGCCGCCCATACTCCTCCTCCAGAAGCTGAAACCAACCAGACACCTGCTACCAACACAGAGGGGGCGGGGCCAATACGTTTTTCAGGTAACATCTATTGAAAGATCTGGGGTTTGAACAAGACTAGATCTCAATGCCTGTCCTCATTTCTATTTCACCTTGACAGGAACCTTTTGAATGTTCCCTACAGCCAATCAGAGAGCAGGAATTGTGTTTAACCAACCTGTGAGGATGAGATGAGAGAGCCAATCCCAAAGCTCATACATCCAATCAGATGGCTACGCCTAAAGACCAACAGAGACATGAGTATAAGACGAGAAATAGGCTCCACCTACCGTCAGCTTGGGTATCACAGTGAGGCTCTGTCCCGATACTCGGACTTCCACCCTTTGTCCCCTCAGTTGCACAATCCCGTCCCGTGTGTATTCCAAAAGTACACACCAGTATTTTTTTTATCAGTTAACAATATTTTTGTACACATATATAATGAATCTTTTCAATAGGGAAATCTTTGATTGTAATCGTATGACTACACAAGAATAAAATATTCAATATTTAAAAGGATGTTAAGTAAAATGTACTCTGTTGCCATATTTCATTAGATTTAGCTTAGCATAAACAATGTAAGTGAATGGTAACAGCTAGCATTTTGTTTGAACAAGTCAAGAAAATGACTCCACGGTGATTGTAATTTTTCTTGATGAGCTCAATAATCGCACCAAGTGAAAACTCAAATCAGTAACACGGTGTCATGTGCCGGGGTGAGCGCTCCTCTCACTTTTGTTCCATCTTTGAGCTGCTGTGTTTCAGGAGAGGGAGGCTCCAGAGCATCAGAACGAGCGCCCGCGCTGAGAGAACAAACATCTCAGCCCTGAAGCCGATTTTCATCCACATACGTCACATGTCACGTGATCAGGAAGCAGACCGTCCATGTGTTAGGAGATTGTTTTGGGCCGTTCCTGTAAAAAAATGTGAGGCGCGAAACGGAAAAGCGTCTGCCGATCACAATTCAACAACGAATTATGAAAGAACGGATAACGCTCGAAACACACGGATTCTTCCTGATGTAAGAGGTGAGCCTCCTCTTTGTTTTGGTTGTTTTGGCGTCGACATCATGCTAGCGCACAACGTTCTGTCACTCTTAAAAAACAGTAAAAACGGTGAGAAACGCTGGCAGCGAAGGCCGTTAGCGATCAGGAAACGGCTGGAAGTGAATGAGTCAACAATCAGCGGGTCCAGCTATAAGAGGAGGAGAACACATCTCGACGCCGGATGATTACCTACAACTTGGCACTTCCAGCCCTTTGTGTCTCCAGGTTAACTAGTGATTTTTGGATTTTACAACCCTTGTGGATATACTTGCGCTTACCTGTTCCCAGGATTTTTGGATCGTTTGTGGACCTTACCTTGACTCCTCAGGATCTCCTTGGACTTCTGAAGCTTCTGAAGCTTCTCTAGTTTTCCTGAGCTCCTCTAATTGACTACTTGGACATTTCCACGATCCCGCTGGATTACTCACCTGTGCCCCATGAATCTCCTGGACGCAGCATTCACCATTCTCCTCCCTGCTGGCCTGCTCTCCTCGCGCCCCCTCTCTTGGACACTCCCTCTTGGATTCACCCCGGCACTCCACCTCCGCAATTCCTCAGCCCCCAGCTTCCCATAAGTCTTTACTCTTCACCTTCCTAGTTTAGACTTACCTCCCTGGACTCGCCTGTTCCTCTGCTCTCCCCCCCTCAGACGCTGCGGTTCCGTGGACCGTATCCAGTGCGTCCTCAGTTCCCGATTTTTATTTATTTATTAATTTTAAATAAAACTCTTTACTTTTTCCTAATTGACTCGTGAGTGGTGAATTCTGCATGTCTTGGGTTTAACTCGTCCCCAAAACCATGTCGGAGGAATTACGAGAGACGATTTTGACTTGGGGCTGCGTAATGACAAGGCACGGCTGTGAGCCATCTCTGCAGCGCACGAGGACACGAAGCAGCAGCTGAAACTCGTTCCTTACTGTCATTTGGTTCAAATGTGGCAAATGTTAAGCAGCAAACCATAAAGTGGCAATGTCAGTGAGGCATCGCGCTGCTGCGTCTTGGCCTTGTGCCGTGCCGCGGAGGCTTAAAGTGCTGCAACTTGTTACCATTCAGATGCATTGTTTATGCTAAGCTAAAGCTAACAGATTACTTGTGAGGTTAAGTGTGTATTGGGCCCCAAACGCATTAGCCAGATCAGACAATTTTCAGTTTATTCCAGTCACATGGTTCAAGTGGGCGTGGTCAGGTTTTAGGAACCTCGGTGTGGACTCCAGAGTCACGAGTAACTGATGAATAATTGTTGTTGTTTACCTGGTGTCAGAGAGCCGTCTGAACACTGAGACCAACAACCTGCCACGGAGGCGGGGCTTCGTCACGTACCTGTGGTGCACCAACAAACATTCTGAGCATATCTGGGAGGTTTCAGTTGGACGTTAGATGGAAGTACGTTGGACAGTTTGATCTGAAATTCTGAATCTGAACACATGCTGAAACTTCTGAAATGAATGTGAAGGAGCAGGTCCATGAAGGGCCTGATCCAGGATCTGACAGATGTTTCATCCTCCAGTCGACCATCTGTCCTCTGATGCTTCGTCACAGAACAGATGGTCGGTTGTCAGGAAGTCCTCTAAGCTAAGTCCTCCTCAGAGCTGAACATCTTCAGCGGTTTGGGGTCATGTGACAGACACCTAAACTAAACGCTCTGGACCATCCTTCAGGAGGTTCGGACAATCGACTGGAAGAACGTCCGCTGTGTGAGCTCATCAGTGTGTTATGTCACTGGTCACTGTGTGATGTACTCGGTGTGTGTGTGATGTCTGGGGTGAACAAGGGGCAGCATCTCACAGTGTGAAGTTCTGGTCATACTCCGGGTTCTTGTTGTTTGGGACCATCTGTGTCTTCATGATCCTAACTTCATGATCAAGGTCAGACGTCACACTCAGCTGTGAACACACACACACACACACACACACGGTTGCTGTGCGAGGAGAAGTTATCGCTGCTGATGAACACATTTAATATCTCACCTTCACGTACGAGTCACATGACTTGTGGGATTTTCCCATCAGCTCCTTGGCCCTGTTGACTGCAGAGACGCAGAAGTTAATGGGTTAATGGCCTCACTTCTGAGGATCAATCCCTTTCAGCTGATTGGCTGATCCATCTCCTTACTGTGAATAAGCAGTTGCTCCGCCTCCGAGGTGATGGACAGCTGCAGCTGACCTGTAGAGATGAGCAGGTAGACTGACAGACAGCCAACTGGTACAAATGCAGGATCTGTGATGATGATGATGATGATGATGACTTGTTGATCATACCTCTCCCTCTGAACACAGATGGGTGGATCCTCCCCCTGCTCCTAGTCCTAGTCGAGGTCCTGGTCCTCTGCAGTCCCTCTTCTAATCTCCTTGATCTTGAACCCATTATTCTTTCAGAACATCTCCTGGTTCTGGACGCTGTCGGCTGATCTGGCGTTGTTCTGGACCTGACCTGGAGCCAAGGCTGAATGGGTCAGTGGGAGGTTTGCCTGCAGAGTCAGAATCCTGCTCAGACTCAATAACTTCAACTGACCTCAAAGGTTCTGGTTTGCTTGTCTTGGTTTTGAAGTATCTCTGTGAACACTGGCCCAGTTTGGTCCACTCCAAGCCCTCTGATCAGATGTGGGTTCTGTTTCCTAATCTCTACTGGGTTCTGGTTTCTGGTCTTCCTAATCAGAGCCATTCTGACCTCTTGCTTGCGGAACTTCACCTGAACTCCAGATCCTAGTCCTGATCTAGCTGCAGACTTGAATGTGGTCCTGGTCCTGGTTCTGGTCTGTGAACGCCTGCAGAAAGACAGAAAGCATCAGGTTGTGGAGCTGTGATTTCTGGTCAGTGACCAACACAGAGGTCTTCTCACCATCTCTGCTCTTTGGTCAGGTTCTGGGTTGTTCTGGTAATGTGTAGATCCTCTCTTGGATCTCTGTTCTCCTTCCAACCCTGCTCTTTTCTTCTCTTCATCTCATGCTCCTCCTGCTCCTCCTTGTTCCTCCTGTACGCTGCAGACAGCTGGGCCTCTTGGTGCAGCTGAAGATCAACTCCACCACAGGGCCTGTAGCAGACGGCATGTTATAAAAGCCACCAACGGAGGTGTGGGGGCTGCTGCCCTTCTTCTTGTCCTGGGTTCATTGCTTTAGACCCGTTTGGTCAGACCAATCAGCACCAGGCAAAGATGTAAACATCTCCCAGCATGCACTGCTTCTGGTTTCTTGCCATCAGATTGGCTAACGTCTGGATCCAGGACGGTTCTGAACCACAATCTCAACAGCAGGTTGGTGGTTTTGTGCTTGTTGGTTGTGGGTTGGGGTTAGTTGATTTTATGAGTCACACAACGTACCACAGATTTGTGCTCCACCTGTAAATCTGTCTAAAAGGCCGGAAGAGTCAGAACATCTTTGAATCCTTCACTGTTTAATGGTATTTGTTTATTGAATATCAGTAGTTTAATCATTGTTTTATTGTTAAAGGGGCATTATGGAAGTTTGACAGCAAAAACATGTGTAGAAATAATAAATGGTGTCCACCAGCGGGTACGGGGGTTGCCACCACGACTGGCACCGGCCACCTTGCTACCACAGCTAGCAACAGCTGCCTCAACAATCGCAGAGTGGAACAAGACC